ATATATAAATGTATATATATATATAATACTTACCAATGTATATATATATATATATATATATATATATATATATATATATATATATATATATATATATATATATATATATATATATATATATATATATATATATATATATATATATATATATATATATATATATATTTATTTATATATATATCAACTTTTATAATTTAATTAAATTTTGTATTAGTTAAAAACAAGCAGACAAACTAACATTACTACTATATCTTAATATTAAATTTTTTACCGATTTAAAAAAAGGAGGCGGTTTTTAATTCGGATGTATTTTTTTTTGTTTGTTACCTCAGAACTCTGTCATTTATAAACCGATTTGGAAAATTCTTTTTTTTATCTCAAAAGATATAATTTCAGGTTGATCTCATAAAAATTTTGTTAAAATTAGATCACTAATTTAATTTTTAAATCAAAATACATAGATAGATAGATAATTTATTTACATTACTTACAGCACACAAATTACAATAAAAAAAAACATACACATATTACACAGTAAAAGAGATAAAAAAATAAAAAAAAAAAAAAAAAACAAAACAAAAAAAACAAAACATATAAACTAAATAAATAAATAGATAAATAAATAGATAAATATATAAAATAAATAAATAGCTAGTGTACTTAGTTGTTTAGTAAGTCGGTGTTTTTTTAATCGACTTCAAAAAGAAGAAGGTTCTCAATTCGTTGTATTTTTTTATATTTGTTATCTCAGAAGTCCGTTAGTTGTTACACCGATTTGGAAAATTCTATTTCATCTTACTTTACTTACAGATTGGTCCTATAGAAATTTTATCAAAATCGGTTTTGTAGGTTAGTTTTTAAATCAAAATCACTTGTTTTATTTCATTTAAAAATGGTGCTTTTTTGTTAAAAAAAATCTTAGATTTTACACTATACTAATTTTGCCCGCAATTGTTTAAGTTTTGACAAAAGCGACACTTATAGGTTTCAAAGTTATTCTATATTTCAAGTTGGAGTCAAACAAATGTGTTCACAAAATTTTATTCAAATCGGTTGACTGGTTTCGGAGATTAGCTTCGGATTAAATTCGAAAATTTATATGAAAATCACGTGTCTCTATGTTCGTACACGATCATCTCCGCCTTCTAAGCGTTCTATTGCTGCGTTGACAAGGTGCCCTGATATGAGATTTTATTTCGAATTTTCCTTTTACACTGCTGAATCGTACTTTATTTCCTTAAACGCCTTCTACGAAATCTTGGGCGTGAAAGAATTGTATTCTTACATCGTTATTAAATGGAGAGGTTAATGAAATTGAAAATAATTATCTATACTAATATTATGAAAAGAAAAATACTTTAAATACACACTCGTAATGGGGACTTGAATTTGTGTAGGTATTTAAAATACGTGTAAAAAACGCGAAAGTTTAAAATTAATTATGAATAGGAAAAATTTTATTGCTTTTTATATTTGTCTGTGTGCATAGTATTATATTATCTGTGGTAATAGATAAACTCAAAAATGAATACAATTGATTTCTAAAATTTTTTCACCTATACATAGTTGCATTATGAGTGAGTAAAATAGGCTAGATTAGATTAGATTTCTTTATTTGCGAGAACATTGTTTTTTACAGATATTAATCTATTAAGTACAAATGTTCGCCTTATATTCTAAAACGTTAATATTATTTACAAAAAAAAAAAAACTTTTAGTATAATAACTACCGGATTACTTTACGTGCAATTAGATCGAGAAAGCTCGACTAGTTTCAGGATCTATTTGAATTCGCAGTCGCTCATGACTAAGGTTCACTTATTACACAGAATTTTACTGCCAATATTTTCGTATGTTATGTAGCACTATTTATCTAAAATTGTGTCACATTAAGTCAGTCCCGAAAATAAACATAGTATGTGTACAAAACCACTGTTTATGCCCTGGCATAGACTGGGCCGCCCCTTTCTTTCCCGTGGATGTCGTAAGAGGCGACTAAGGGAGGGCTAGGGATAGGCAGCAACGTCCCTATTGAAACATCTCTAAAAGTTAACTGAGATTGCCAATCCGCTTGTCAAGCTTGGCAACTTTGGGCAAAACTCCCTTTAAGGAGAAGGTTTATGTCCAGCAGTGGACAGTTAACGCTTGAAATAATAATAATAACAAAAAATATTTAAAAATACATAAACCTTTAACTTACTATCACTATTTATGAACAAAAATATACAATCAAAAGTTGTTTTAATTAATTATATATCATTATTATATTTCGTCCCATTTTTAAATGACTACTTTAAAAAAGAAATACCAACATTGTTAAATAATTAACGTAAGTCATCAATTTATAAAAATAATCACATTATACCGGTATAGAACTATATTAATGTACACACATATATAACATGGCTATTATAATTTATATAAATCTTTTCCTTATCGTTATATACTGTAATATAGATATACATACATATTTGAAGGTATATCGATACATTTGTTCATACACACACACACACACACTCATATTATTATCAAGTATTAACATCAGAAGTCAGTTTTTGTCGTCAGGCAAATGAAAATTGGATCAACATTCAGGTTATTCGATCCAAGGCGGTCGGTGAATACCCGAAGATGGAAGGAAATATTTTTGTCGCATTTACCTCAAGTCGTGCTTGCTATGAAAATTAGCATTATTCACATTATAAAAACAAATATACATGTTTTTAACCGACTTCAAAAACGAGGTTCTATGTTTTTTGTTTTATGTTTGTTACCTCATAACTACGTCAGTTGTAAATCGAGTTGGAAAGTTGTTTTTTTTTTCTTTTATAAATTAGTCACATAGAAATTTTTCCAAAATCAATTTTGTAGTTTAGTTTTAAATCAAAAATAACTTGTGTTACCACAATGGAAATTGTATTTTTTTTTTCTGGAATACAATTTAATTATTCTTTATAATATTCTAATAAATTATTTTTTTATACTTATATGTATGTATATTCGCAAAAATGTAAAACAGTCCTTCTAAAGGAAGGTTTTGCACAAAATTCGTCTTCATGGATGCTTCTACCATATTGTTGTTTCTAAATGTCTGAAAAGTGGGATACGAAGTGAAATTTCTAAGTAATAGGTATAAAAAAATTGCTTGGTGGTCCCGGTCTATACCGGCTATTCTATAATAGGTCATCCTTTTCTTTCCCGTCGGTGTCGTAAGAGGCGACTAAGGTAACTTAATGGTCAAAAGACTGGCAGAATCATCCTTCTTATAATATCACCAAAGACTAACTGCAGTTGCCAATCCGCCTACCAAGTGTGGTAACTACTAGCAATACCACCCCCTTTATGGGGGAGGCCTATGCTCAGCAGTAGACAATAGATAAGAGGTATGGAGAATAAAAGAGTCTGTTCCTAAGGAATGTCAACGCATGAAAGGTACTATAAGCATCACAGTTCAATCTATATTAGTGGTATCTGTCCATGTTCATTCATAGACGACAATTACTACATTCCAATAGGTGTGAGCTGCCAACTTCCTTGTCATGTTAAGTAGTATAAAAAATTAATGAATTGACCCCTGATGTATATATCATCATTATCATACCAGCCATATACTGTCCACTGTTGAACATAGGCCTCTCCCATAAGAAAAGGGGGAGGGGGTTTCCACGCTTGGCTGGCGGATTGGCAACCACAGTTAGGCTTTGGTGATGTTCTAAGAGGGGCACTGCTGCCCATCACTTGACCATAAGTTTCCTTAGTCATTTCTTAGAACACCAATGAGAAAGGAAAAGATGGCCTATTCTATGCCGGGACCACACGGCAAATGTATGTATATAGAATATAAATTAATACATTATGATAAAGTTAATATTATAAACTCGTTTAAGTCTTTTACTCGTATAGTTGTTTATAATAAAAAAAAATTACAACAAAAGTAACAATAGATAATAGCCTTAAATCTTATGTCCCTAAAGTACTAAATTGGCCAAACTGAACCTGTTTATCAACTTGATTGCTTTGTAATCTTTGTGAGTAGTAGGTTACTCAATCACTTCAAGCGAAACTATGAATGTGTAATTGCGACGCACTTAATAACTTTCTAATGTTTTACATCATCATCATTATATCAGCCGTTAACTGTCCACTGCTGAACATAGACCTCTCCTTTTTGGGGATAGTAGTAGTAGCCAGTAGTTGCCATGCTTGGTACGTGGATTGGCAACCGCACTGATGTTTTTGATAATGTTTTAAGAGCGACGCTGCTGCCCATCCCTCGAACATTAAATTCCCTTAGTCACCTCTTACGACACTCACCGGAAAGAAAAGAGAAAAAATATTCTACAAGGAAGCAAAAAATTAAATAATACATGTATCAGTAAGCAACCGGGCGTTTTTCAAGGCCCTTTCTTCCACGCACAATCACTCTTTGGAATCAACTTCCAGCAAAAGTATTTTCGAACCGATACGACAACATAACCTTCAAAAAGAGCCTATTCCTTTTTATAAGGCCGGCAGCGCATCTGCAATGCCGTTGGTGTTGTGGGTGATCATGGGCGGCGGTAGTCACTTACCATCAGGTGAGCTGCTTGCTCGTTTGCCCCCTATATTATAAAAAAACCCATGACTTGACATTTCCGGAGCAGATCAGGTAGAAAACGAGTGAAAAACTTCTAGAAGAAGCGAACTGAGGTTACGTAAATTAATTGTTCGTGTTCCAAATTTCATTCAAATTCTGTTCAGCCATTGATTGAGTAACAAACATATAAACATTTTTAGAATCTTTTACACTTATGTAATTAGTAGAATAATATGATATCACCATACTTTGAGATGTCACTGCCACATCTCAGTACTTTTTAAACTAAAAGAGCCATGCTAGTACACCTGTGTTAACTTCTGTCTTAACGTCAGCAACTCAAGTAATCGACTTTAGTACAAAGCGTATTCATAAGGAAATATAGCTCTCACTGGACGCGAACCTCAACCGCTCTTTAAAGACCCTCCCGGCGTCCTGATATTGCAGTCTACATCTGCACTCGTGCGCATATAGACGTCTTCGATCTGTCTACCAGGCTACTGGAACACATCCAACATGAAAGGGTTAATAGCGTTCTTGGCCGTCGCCAGTGTGGCCTCCGGTGAGTATCATTATATCGTTTTTATACTGTTTCATCTATTTTGTTTCAGCTCAAATGAGTTAATATACGAGTGATTTTTTTTATAAATATACTAGCTGTGCCCGCGACTTTGTCCGTCTAAACCCAAGTTTCTTCAAAAGGGAAGTAATCGTTAGCACTGTTACCCTATCAAGTTGAGGGGAAAGGGATTGTTAGTAATGGGGTATAAAAATTCAATTGCTAGCAACACATGTTCGTCGACCCCCACGCGGTTCCCTCTCATAGTTAATCCTAGTCGGATTCGTCGCAATTGGCCAACTGACCTGTTTTCATTCTCATTTATCATCTCTTACTCGTGTCACGCCAGTGTATACCAGCGTAAACCAACCAGGTTTTGTTATAAATAAATTTGGCAGGAACTTTAAATCAGAGAAATAAAATTACATAAAAATAAAGATGCCGTATATAGACGTGCTTGTATTGTGATGAACGGTACCTACTCTTTTTATCCGACTACTGAAAAAAGAGGGTAATGTATTTTTGATATAAAATATATATATTCTTTATTGCACTAAAACATACAGTAACAACAATAAGTTAATAACAATGTTAGCAAAAGTTTAAAGGAGATTTCTTCCAGTCAAGCTAACACAGTGGCATAGGAAGTAGTGAGTGGGCTGTAGTAGTGCTAAACAGAAAAAATAAATATTTATTTATTTATTTAGATTACTAGTTAATAGAATTTTTGTTACGTCTGAAGTTGCTAGTTGTTTTGGGAAGCTAAATCTGCATAACTATTTATGTCTACGCGCTCATAGCTCAAAGACGAATCTAACTAAAGCAAAACAATAACAGTCTATCAAACAGGTTCGATTCTCATGCGAGACAATTTAGTAAGTGAAGTTTTCTAATTAATTCCCTTGAGTTTTGGAGCCTGGTGATCTGTAAGACGGGTAATCCTAGTACCGACACCACTCTCTCACAATGATTGTTTTTAAATTGTAACCTATATAGTTGTAAATTTTATTATGTTGTCATTTTGTGAGAGAAATAAATAAAAAAAAAAAAAATTTACTGAATTAAATTTTAAATTAGAATTGAAAAAAATTTAATTTAGACACAACATTATGAATAAGTAACATAACAATAAATTTAACTATCACTACATCTGTCTCTTTCGCACACAAAATTTGTTTAAATTAATTAATAATATATTTTTGATAAATTTTAATTGTAAGTTTATTGTTTACCAACAAATAATAGGAATAAATAAAAGTACAGATTATCTAAAATTAGATGACTTAATACAATAAAAATATGTAGTAGGTAAAAAAGTAAATGCAGTTTGTCTGTAAGATCATACAAGTTTGTTTATTTTTTCATCTAAATTTATTTATAAAAAAAAAATAGTCACAATACATCTTATCTGACCGGAGGATTGAACTTAGGAACACCAAGGACGCAAACTGGTTATAAATCAATAAGACTCATTACATAGACAGGCGTGATAGATATGTACATATGTATATATTTTACTACATTCTTAGATTATATAGATAGTAATAGGGCATCGAGTCTTAAAAACGGGTCAACTTTTTGTTAGCTAATCGTAAAATCAGCTAACTCGTTTTTTTTTTATTGGTGTTCTACATACTTACGCATACTATGTACCTTGACGTATTATTTAATAAATAAAAAGAGTATTTAGGCATTAAAAAGATGCGGAAATTATAAGACAAAATAAATATACAATTTATAAAGTAATCACACAATTAACACGTCAAATTGTATGAAAAAGTTGACCCGCTTTCCTCGAAGCATTTGTATGGAGACACTCTATCTATATAATCTAAGACTATATTACATCTTTCAAGAATGGCCTTTTTGTACATACAAACAAGTATTCATATTTAATAAAGAAAATAACCTAATACTTAATATTATAAAGAAGAAATATTTATGTTTTTGTTTATAATGGACAAACTCATAAAATACGTAACCGATTTTAAATATTCGTTTACCTGTATATAGTAAGCTACATTATTAGTACATAACATGTGTTATAATTTATTTAAAAAAAAATCAGAAATCCCTACACTATCTACCCGTGCGAAGCCGGGGCGAATCCTAAATGTACTTATTTTCTTTCTACCCTTATCCCAATTATTTATTTGGGGCCACCGTAATGTTTTTACCTTACATTCTTCACTATTCATACTCAATTCCGTATTTACTTCTATTCTAGCTATATAAATTTTCACTATCAAATTTAAATATTCTTTATTACACTTTAATATACAGTAATAATAACAATTAAAAACAATGTTAGCAAAGGCAAACTTATCTCCAAACGAGATTTCTTCCAGTCAACCTAACACAGTGTCATAGGAAATAGTGAGTGGGCAGCAGTAGTGCAAAACAGAAATCAAAATAATAATAATAATTTATAAAATTGTACATATTTTTATTTATTTATTCATTAGTACAAATATGTGTACATGGCGGACTTAATGCTAAATGCATTCTCTCCCAGTCAACTATAGGGAAGTGTCAGAATACTCGAATGCGGTACTACTAATTATTTATACATATTATTAAATTTAAATCATTATTATATAGGCAGTAAAACCATGCACATATAATACGTTTGATTTCTATAGTCAATTCAAAACAGAAATATTTTTTGTTTATTTTTTATTGGTTCATTCATATGTCCTCCATATAACGCAATGCCCTTCATAAATTTATGTTTATTATCGATCATTAAATCTCAATATTAATTATACCAGAATTCCAATGATTTTGTGCTTAAAATGTACTTAATACGTAGATAATAAATACATGGATAGATAGATAATTTATTTGCATTACTTACAGCACACAAATAACAATACAAATATACACATAATACAAATATATACAATAAAAAGAGATAAGAAGAATGAAAAACAAAAAAAGCAACAAAATAAATATATTATATACATTGTAAATATAAACCTAGATGATACAAGGCAAAAAGATGTTGAGAAATACCCCACGGGCAAGGGAGATTAATTATGGGAGAAACTTCCCTAATAGGTTCTATATGGACTCGCGGGCATTCCTTCAATTTAAAAGTAAAATCATTTACCAAAGCAATTTAAATTCCTGGCGATGGAAATCATAAGAAACAGCTGTAATTTAAATATTAAAGGAATTATTATTTGGTAATTTTTTGTGGAAATTATATGAAAAAATAACAAGCTTATGGCCCACCAGATGAAAAATATTAGCCATCGCAACACGAACAGCGCCATGTACACAACAGAATACACTGGGACACCCATTATTAACTATATAACTATATAAAAATATATATATAACTGACAACAAAAATCTTATGCCTTCATACCCTATAATTTTACTGTTACTTCCCACCCTTCAAATCGAAACACAGCCACCCAAACGCAGCTGCTTCGCGACAGATACACGAGTGGGACAAAGGTACCCAAGCAAACAACATTTATACAATCTTAAACTTTAAATACAAGTACACTAAAACTGATAAGCAATGCCAGTCTAACTTATTTTTTAATAAATTTTATTTTTGATTTTATGAAAACCAAACAAAATATAAGTAAATAGATACAATTTAGCAAGTCAAAAAAATTTGCAAGCAATGCTCGAAAGGAATGGTCTAATTTCTCATGACTAGTGTTAAGTAAAGCAGTTTTAGCGTTCCGTATCTAAAGAACAAAAGCCGCAAACCAGACCGTCTGTGCAATATGACGGTTGGAATCCGCTCATAAATTCATGTTCAAATCATCTTTATTTAAATAGACTTGTTTACAAGCACTTTTAAATCGTCATTCTTTTTTTTTAATCTCAAATCATAAACCAAATGATCTGAAGTAATAACATCTCTTTTATTTGGTGAAATTTTGACAGAAATTTGATGATAAAAGCAATATTTTTTCTATATATAAAGTGTTGATTATTTGTTTGTAACAGATAAACTCAAAAACTATTCAACCGACTTTAAAAATTGTTTCACATATAGATAAAAAGGTATATTATTAACGAGTAACATGTTGATTATAGATAATCGTATCTGACAACTTTACTGTATCTTTTGAATTAGACCCTACACCAGTTGCTAGGTAACGCCTTGTTTATTTCGTTTTGAAATAGAAAATATAGTTATATTTTTCTACTTAATGAAATAATAAAAAAATCTATCTACCCGTGCGAAGTCGGGGCAGAGCGCTAGTATTTGATATTACTAAAAAACAAATGTAATATTCCACAATTTATTACAATGAATATAGGACAGATTTATTATTTATTTATATATTTACCTTTTGCATTTTTTACAATAAAAACTGCCTATGTAGTTTTTATCTTAAAAAAAGCTTATACATGCATAATAACTCAATAAATACAATATGCGCACATCTTTAATATTTATTTATTTTGTCACAGAAAATTTAACAATCAACATTGAAATCACACCAAAAATATCTATTTCAATACTGAGACCAATACTGACACGAGTGTAAATCCTATCAATTGCATAGGTAAAAAACAAATTAAAAAAAAAGTACGCGACCCTCGCTTTGCGAGTCTGACTCAAACTTAACCAGTTTTAAGATCATTTAAATAAAAAAAAAGTCTAGTATTACCCTATACTACACACGAGTAAAAAAGGAAACATCGATAAATGAGGAAAATGGTATAAAAAACATTAAAAGTTTTTACACTGACCTCTTGCAAACCGGCTTCTACTCTTGTTTATTATTTTATATGTGACTTCACCCCTGCATATGTAAGTAGACACCGATTAACATACCTAACCGGTTTCCAACATAATATATTGTATATTGCCTCCGATCAGTAATAGGTATGTATTGCCAATTAAAGTAATGGGTGGGAAGCCCCGATCCTTAATTAAGTAGTAACCAATTACAAAATGGAAGAGCTTCCCAATTCGACTTTATCTTTTATGCACGCTACGCGATTTCTTGCGAACCCATTTTCAAAGAGCTTATTGGTGTGTGGTACCTTAATAATTTAATTAAGACAATAGTTAATCTATTTTAAATGTCGTATAATATATTTTTGTACACATAATAATACAGTCGAGTTCAAACTTTACAAACATTAAAATAAACATTTTCCTGTAGGAAAAAATTGTGTTGTAAACCCAAGTTTATTCTTAGCTCAAAAAACTCTGTTAAATTGAAAAGTTTCAGTTTTCGGGGAGGGAAATTTTTAATTAATAATTTCATAATGTTTTTAGGGAAGCGCTATGTTATTTCTAAGGAACTTTTTTAACGTTTGTTAAAATTAACAATTTGTAAATTTATAGGAAAATTACTCTGCCGCCATCCGTCAATTACAAAGTACATTTTTTTCTTATCCGGCTAAAAATTATTCTATCTTGCACGTTAATCATTTACATAACTTCATACATCGATTGTGCGGTTTTGGAGATTAGCGTAAACGAACATTGTGACACGAAATTTTCATATATGTATTAAGATTATAGAAAATTATATTGGCACTCGCGTTCGACGTGTAAGAGAACCCGCCCACCATACAGTCTCCTAAGATCCAATTTAGACGGCATTCGGTTCGGATCACGCTCGCTCCAGTAATTTCATTGAATGCTTTTATCCAATGGAGCGTATTACAGTTAAATAACATTGTAGACAACCAAAAACATAAAGGAATTCGATCTAAAATTCAATATCAAAGGAAACAAAATGTTTACAAAAAAATATTACACTGAAAATAAATAATGAGTGCCACGTGCGGTGACTTATGGTGAACTATGAAATAAAGGTCGGGGCGTACGAGCCAGAACACTCAGACTTGAGCCAAAATTGGACCAACCAGAAATTGAACCTTAAACTCATTTACATAAAGTAATAGCAAATTCAAATTTAAATCATTTTTATTCAAATAAACTTGTTTACAAACACTTTTATATCGTATTTTTTTTAATCTATAATTATAGTTACTATTTTAAATCCCTGTTAACATTATGTGTATTTATAGAAATGTTCTATGTCTAAAATTACATGATCATTAAAAAGCCCATGCTATATCGACTAACACCATGCACGCTTGTCATTCAAGTAATCGTTTAGAGTGTGATAAGCTTTGTTCAATAAGTGATTTTAATGATAGTTTTAAATTTATTGTACCCTAGCAGCCCGTCCTGGCGTCGCACAGGTGGACATTTTTAACATTTCCCTTTACTGCTCTGCTCCTATTGATCGTGGCGTGATGAAAAGTATACTATAACCTGCCTAGGAGTATAAAGAATAATTTTACCAAGTTTTGTTAAAATCCGTCGAGTAATCTTTGTTTCTATAACGAACATACAGACAGACAAAAATTTTACTAATTGCATTTTTGGCGTCAGTATCGATCACTTATCACCCCCTAATAGTTATTTTGGAAATATATTTCATGTATAGAATTGACCTCTCTACAGATTTATTATAAGTATAGATAAGAACCATCCAGATAGTACAGAGTACAACATATATAGAGTTGATTACAACATATATATGACAACATCTTACATTATCAAGACTAAATATAGGTATATATTACTCTGTATGTTATCTTATATGCATTGATATAAAATATACTCAGTAAAATTTGTTATTACACCTAGTTTCCTTATAAGTGGTCTCGCGGCGAAATTTTATATTTTTATAAGGGATCATTAGCATTGTTCCTCTCATTGTGTAATAGGCTAAGCACGGTAATGTCACATGATGTCCAAACATAAGATAATAATAAATCAATAACACTAAAAAATTATTGAGTGAAAGTCAAAATTATCTGTTATATTTATTAGCCGACTTCAAAATACGAGGTGATACTCAGTAGTAGTGCCATAGAAATTTTATCAAAACCAATTTAATAGTTTAGTTTTTAAATCAAAATAACACGATTGAAGTACATAGATGTTTTTTGTGGAAGAAAATCTTAAATTATTTCCGAGAATTACAAAATTAATTGTTAAGTTTTGTGATAAATAAGCGCTGTATGTCTATGTACATATGTACTTACCTACTATCGGTGTACCAATCGCATCGTTCGATCCTTAAACTAAAATAAGTATATTGTATTAAGGGGGAACCGAAATAAACGTTTCACTTCTGAGAACACAACACAGAACACTTAGATCAGAGTCAATTTAGGAAAGTTAGTTCTAAATTGGCCCAGTCGAGTAACACCTCCTCATTTACGCAAACTTCACTATCCGTCGTATATTACATTCCCTAAGTTTTTTATAAATTATTAACATTCCATACCTTTACATTATTAGGAATCCTAACTTCACTACTTCAGGTCCCTCTCGAAACCTAGAAAGAAGGAAACCTGTACAAAAGTCGATTGCTTGGGTACCTCTGTCCCATTCGTGTTTCTACCATGAAGCAGTTGTGTTTGCATGGCTGTGTTTCGGTTTGAAGGGTGGGATATGGCGTGTATTTACAGGGTACAAAGGAATAACACCTGAGTCCTCAGGAATGGCAACGCATGGGAGGTATCATAGGCGAAACAGTATGTGTGTGTACTGTTATGTCCATGATACTGCTTATATCTATAGGCGACGGTTACCACTTTCCATCAGATGGACCATCAGCTTGTTTGCCATTCTAAGTCGTATAAAAAAAAGTCGTCAGTATAAGTACCTATGTCCCACTCGTATTCTTGCCGTGAAACAGCTGTAGTTGCATGGTTATCTTTCCATTTAAAGGATGGAATATGGCAGTGAATTAACAGGGTACGGAGGCATACCATCTTAGTCCTCAGGGTTCTATGAACATAATAGTGTATTCTGTTATGTCCACGATGCTCTTCATGTCTGTAGGCGACAGTTATCACTTTCCGTCAGGTGGGCCATTGGTTTGTTTGCCATTCTGAGTATCGTAAAAAAAACCATCGCCACAAATTATAATTTATTCTTATTGAATTTGTCACGGTGACCAACTGACCTACTTTCATCCTTATCAGTTATCCCCACTGGTGTCCCTTCAGTGTATACCAACAACACGGGTGGGGTTCTCATTCCATTATCATCCATTTAAAAAAAAAATTATCATTATATTCGTTCAAATAATGGAAAAGTTACTTAATCTATTTTATAAAAGTACGAAATAAATATAGCCCCATACCAGCTATCAAAAATTAATCTTATTTACCATGGTCGTCTATTATAACTTTAATCTTAAAACAAAATGCAATTTTTTTTATGAGACGTGTAATTTCAAACAAGCTGACAGCTCACCTGACGGAAAGTGGTAACCGTCGCCTAATAAATACTAATAATATGAATAGTATTTTAAATTGCCTACTAACTTAAATTAAAGACTTTACGGAGAGAGCTATTTACCATTCAACGCCCACATCCCATCCTGGGGTTGGATTTCAAAGAAGGTCAGCACAGGAGTGGGTTGGCAATTTATCATTACGCTTTCAAGTGAATATAAATTTACTACGTTAGTTAACGTCAAATTTTTGTTTCAGGCGTCCAGTACAATGGATTACGAGGTAAGTGTTGCTTAAAATTATACTACTAAAGATATACCAAAACCTAGATTTTATAATTTATGTTGAGGGATTTTTTTTTACAATTTTTCTGACTGATGTTGATTCTTGTTATTTTGACAGTGTTCTAGACTTTTGCTTTAGACAATCATACATAGAGTTTTCGATGCCAAAAATTCATAACGTCATAAATTCCTTGACAAAATGTGAAAAATTTAAGTTTAAATTAAATAATTGTTTATTAAAACATTACTATATCATTAAACAATAAATAATTATGTGACCATATTTTTAGAGAGTCCTGTATAAATACTATGTATGTATCCAAACTTCAACGAGGTTTTTTTAAGGATAATCTTTGATAATAAGCGGTTGATTGAAATGTAAATAGAACATTTATTTATTGCCACAGCGAATATGATAATATAATATAATATATTTTTTAAGTTTTCTAACACTCAGTTTCAAAATAAAAAGAATATGAGCCTCTAGATATGTTTTTAGGTTTATTACTTTTCACCAACAGTTAAATTCGGCTGGTCGGACGCCCTCGCTGATGTGGAGTACTTCTACAAAATCCCCCGAACTATTAACGACGCTGAAAGTGAAGGTTGGAAACGCACAGAACGTCCTCCTGGAGCTCTTAGCGTGCTTAGGATGTACTGTCCCCCGGGGAGAGGCGTGTGTGGTCTTTACGATACCGCCGGCTTCGTAGCAGGGCTGCAACTTGCTGTAAGTATTGCATATTATTATGTGTTCCTAAATAGCTGTAAGTAAGTCCTATTTTGCTCACATGAATTGAAATAATAGATTAATAAAAATATAAAAACTAAAATGCTTTGAACCTTATCAAAATTTTTAATTCCACCAAATGAATAATAAAGTGCGAGGATTTGGCTTTATAATCTTACTAATATCATAAATATAAAAATCTGTAAAGATATTAGAATGTTTGTTACTTGAATTAATTTTAATTGAATTTAATATCACGTACGGTCTATGGATTAATACATAGAATATTTTCTATCCTTATTCACACAAACAAACCAGTAAGATTTATCACGTAAAATAAAAATCCAAATAAAATATTCAGATATTGGTTGTACAATTTTATATAACACATGGGATTTTTTTACTATGAAAGTGTCCATGCGTCCTATAAAATTCAGAATGCTATCTTCCCAATCGGTGCAATCTATGCCATAATTGGAAGAATAGCAACCCATGAGGATCTCGAGATTACTTGTACTCCGTAATACGTAAACATACAACTCTCGTCCACTAGCCAATCGCACGCTGTCGACTGCGTTTATCTAATTTATTTCAACAGACAAGATCAATGATATTGTAATGTAGTGTCGTGAACCGCTTTCCTGTTCTCTTTGCCGGAATCTTTTGCGACTTATGCTGTAACATGCCAGTTCGGATTCAAAATTATTATATTTATCTTAGTACAAAAACTACTAATACTAAAACTAATTAACTACGTAAGCTTATAAAATATTAAAAACATTGTCAAATTTTTGATCAGCACTCTTCTTAAATATTTTAATTGGAACATACTCTTTTAGATCCTCTGGTTTTTATTAAGTAGAAATAGTTTATTTAATTACATAGACTAGTCTACCAACACATATACTGAAATAAATATCTTTACTCATATATCAATGTATATTAAGGAATTCTGGTAGTTTTATAAAGTTTATCTTATCACCCATCAAGAAAAGCGCATATTCCTTATTAAAAGGCCGGCTGTACTCCTGCAATTCCTCCGGTGTTGCGGGTACTCATGAGCGGCGGAACTATCAAGTGAATCGCATGCTCGTTTACCTCCTATGTTTTAGAAAAATGATAATCTATTAAATCAAATATTGTACTTACAATCCTACTGATTGTTGCATGCACAATTCACTAAGATGCAAATGAAATAACTAACTAGAGAGAGCGACGATTTCAAACACATTGCAGATTAAAATTAGATACGTATACAAGCAGTCAGAAACGTTCCTTAGAGAATTATTATGGATAAAGGACTGTCTACGATTGTAGATCGTACTGGATTGGTGAGCAAGTTGGACAACGTTTGACTGTGGTCCGGGATCCCACATTCAAATCGTGGCCTAAGCCTCCGAACTTTCAAATCCATGTTTAAATCATGTAAAAAAATCTGCCAGTTACTTCGTGCTTTAAAAAATCGTGCATAACGAAGAATATCTTGACAAAAGAGGGTGATATTTCTCACACGATTAGTGCTAATAGTCACGGACAATAAAATGCTGGAATGATGAAAAACAAAATATAAGAAAAATATCGCATGTCCAAAACAGAAATTTTCTATTACTACACACATGTAATGTGTAGTAAGTAGTTACTGTACTTGACAATATGAAGTAAATTGCATTGTTAACAACAAAAATAAACTACATCAATCCGACATGCAATAGTTTGTGCATATTGAAGTTCAAATTCCATCAGACTGATCATCTATTTGTACGAGAATAATTTTATTAAAAAAAAACAGTTTCGACTACATAACACTGGATAAACAACTAAAATTCATCTCACTCTTTGCTAAACAATTTGGCGTGAATTTACTGGGTACAGAGGAATAACACCTGAGTCCTCAGGAATGGCAACGCATGGGGGATATCATGGGCGAAACAGTATACTCTGTTATGTCTATGGTACTGCTCAAGTCTATAGGCGACGGTTACCACTTTCCATCAGGTGGGCCGTCAGCTTGTTTACCATTCTAAGTTGTATAAAAAAAAAGACAGAGCCTTTACCAATACTTTAGTTTCAATTCCATCATCATCATATCAGCTGTATAACTGTCCACTGCTGAACATAGGCTACATCCATAAGGTGGATTTTGCCGATAGTTACCACGCTTGGTAGGCAGGTTGGCATACATAGTTAGGCTTTTCATGTTTTAAAAGAGACGCTGCTGTCTATTTCTCAAATTTAATCAATATTTAATTATTAAACTTTGCATTTTAGTTACCAGTCGACGAATTCGAATCCTTGGCCATCAAGCCTGAGAAGAAATTTGTGAAATGGCGCGCCCCAGAGGTCGGATCAGAGCCTTCAAAGGACTACTGGACCATAACACAGTACTTTGTTTCTGAAGGTAAACACAAATACGACGATGATATCAACCGTTGACCATCCACTGCTGAACATAAGCCTCCTGCTATTGGGGAGTTTTGCCAGTAATTGTCACGCTTAGCAGGCAGGTTGGCAACCGCATAGATTTTGATGGTGTTTTAAGAGGGACGCTGTTGCTCATCCCTCGACTATTATTTCCTTAGTCGCCTCTTACGTCACCCACGGGAAAGGAAAGGGTGACCCATTCCTGCCGGAACTACACGGCAAAATCATAAATATAGTCTATTTCTTACTTAATGTAAATGTAACCAAATTTTATTGAAATAATCACAAAAACCCTATTTTAATGAAATTATATTAGTAACAAATCAAAATCAATCAATTAATGAATTAATTTTTAACTTCGAATTAAGTACTATTTATTAGACGTAAGTATTTTATAGTTGGATCAATTATTCGTTTGTTTACATTTTCATGAAGTTCTATTGAAACAAACTATAGATATATTGCGCGATATGTAGTTACATAAGGAAAAATTCCAAAATCATAAGGCCTTGAAATTTAATACCCACAGTGGTTTCTCCTTGTAACGTAGATATGTTTCTTATAATTGATTGTATTTATAATAAGATTACTAATGTAATTTTTTGGAGGAAACAATAAATTAATAACAATAACATTGTTTGTTGCAAAGGCGAAGTTATCTCTAAAAGTGATTTCTTCCAGTCAACTTAACATATCCACTGAATTAAGATTTTAGATCTAATTATGGTTGAGAGAGCGGTTTTTGATTTTTTTTTTTTATTTTGATATTTTAATGGAATGATAACTACGCCTGCGCTATCGTTATATGCAAACAGAGCACCAGTGAAGGATAATAGATGAGGAGGAAAAGACCATCGTGATGAATTTGTCATGAATTAAGCACAATAGATTCGAGGGGGACCTGCAAGGAAGTCAACCTGCTAAGATATATTGTTAACAATAGGAAACAAATCTCCATTACTAACAATCCTTTCCCCCCTGAGTAAGAGGTTTGCTATATCATATATATGTATGTATATGTTCAACAATACTTAACACTAAATCAACAAGATACTATAAACAACTTTGTGGTAGCTATCCTAGAATATCTAAACATAATAGTAATATAATGCTACCGGTCTATAGTCATACCACCTACCTAATAAATTTCTTGTTAAAATTACATGTGAATGTATTATGTTTACATTGAGTTCAAGTGCTTGGCGGTGGAAAATAAAAAAAAAAAAAACAATGAATAATTGTAATTAGGAAAGCCAGTGAGTACTCAATGCTTCGCAAACAGTGCTTAAATTCAAACAACGTTCAAATATATTATTTTTCTCGATATTCGCATCTATATGGAATTTTGGAGGGTTAGCTTGAACAAAACATTATTGTACTGTATAAATTAATGTAACCATGTTAATTCTCTGTAATGTGTACGTATTGAAATAAAATAAAATAAAATATGTATGCAAGAATGAAGTTGTAACTAACCGAGAGATATTTATGAAAAAATGCGTTAGAAGTTAACATCAGCAATATAAGCCAAAACAATATTTTAAAGAATTTTCGTTAATATGTTTGTATCGATTTTACGCAAAAATCAATGCACCAAACTATACGTGTTCTCACGGTAATGTTCCTGAAGGTTGACTTTAAAATTTGATACATGTTCTATCTCGATAAGCGTACTAGAAGTCGCAGGCAAAAGCTAGTATGCAATGACAGAACTTTATTCTTGAAACTGACTTTGATTTTATTCAAATAGTGTATTATTATGAATATTTCATAATATAGTATTTGGTGAACGCATTATTTGCTTCTTAATCTCGAGCACAGTATTTTATATTGGATCATTGAAATCAAACATAGCAACACAAATAAGTATAACTTATGTAAATAACTTATACTTATGTTGTTTACGTAAAACAGATCTAAAAATTATAAACGAGAAAATATTGATTAGTTTCACATATTCCTTTACCCAAATGTCATCCCTTATTATCCCACCATATATTTATTAAATATGGATATATAATACCCCGAATTTGATAAATTGTGAAATGATCTTATATTGCTACCTACATCGAGCACCCTTTTATTTATTTATTTATTAGATAAAAAAGAAATCATAATTATGGAATAGTGTTTAGAAAGACACCAAATGTAAAGGTAAATGTTACGAATAAGTTATACATTTTAAGGAAAAAATATAAATGAATGCTTTATACATGGTGATGTTGTTGCACTTTTTTAAGTAAAAAAATTACTCTAACTAAAACTAGGCATGGGCAATATGGACATCGCTTCGATATGTCTATATTGGGTTTCTCTGGATATTGATGATCGATAAAAGGTCATCACCCATTTTAATATCGCCCATATCGGTCGGATTACTATTTCTGAATATGTTAAGTCTGTTATCTAATATTATTTTTTGGATAACAATCTTTTAACATATTCGTTATTATTATAATTAAAATATATAGATATTATATGCTATGTATTACAAACCCCTATCTGAAACCGCAACTTTAGAAATACCTAAACTTCCAAATTTCCGTTGCTATTTATTTGGTATCTTAACCATTTCTAGAATAATCTAAGGAAGGATAAATATATTTCAGAGTCACTAAAAGCCGGCGCTGGTCCTCAAGCAGCGAATGGTGCTACTCTTCAAGATGGCGGCGTGTGGGTCACAGGTTTAGATGGCAGACTACTCAGAATTCCAACCAAAGAATCTGATCTGAGCAACACATTGTATAAGAAGCAAAATTGCGTACCAAACATGGGTAAGGGATTAAAAGAAACCTACTTTTATGTAAATTATTTTTATTATTATTATGTAAATTGTGAGAATTTTAGCAAAGTTTTATGAAGTCAAAATTTTTGTACCTATACTCAAATACATATTATTGCAAACATAGAAAGGAATAATAATTTGTCGCCTATATAGCCAAAGATTTAATAAAAAAATTAAAAGACCATTAAGTATATCCTTTCAGATAAAAATATCCAATTTGGTTTATCGGAGTTATGAGGTAACAAACATAAAAAATACATCCAAATTCAGAAAGTACTTAAATTTCGATTTAAAAAAGAGATAGGCCCTTATTTATAAGTCAATTGATAATAATCATGTTAATATGCAAATATTTTATCATTACACTGTCTCTGTCACATTAGTATTCCTAGAACTAGACGTAACATACGTCGTCGCGTCGGTTTATTAGATGTTAAGCCACAATCGTGCCATTTACCTATAGGGTTGATGGGGCATCTTCATATTAATGAATAATTTACATGTCTACCATATATCTCGTAAACAAACGAAGGTCTGAATATCATATGCCCCGTATCAATATAATATGACTATGATTATGAGCCTCCCTTGAATGATTTTGGGTTTCTATCCTTTATTATGAACAGAGAGAATATTAAACGATATCTTTCACAGAAATAATATATGCATATACGTAGGATATGTAATTTTATGGGTATAATATAATTATACCTACATGAAAATGCTAGCGACCGTTCTTAATACTGCGGTCGCGTTTGATGATACCCATGTTAAATCGAGTTAAAATAATACAAACTTAAAAGTATCTACATATATAAAAGTTATATTAATTGATATCAAGACGTTATTAAAAATAAAATCGCTACATTTACGAAGAATAACATAAAATTTTCTTCCTTTTATTTATATAGGTACTTACCTAAAATTACGAACTAATAAAATATTTTTACTTTCACTTACAACCGATGGATACATGAAGTGTTGCAAAAAATGTCTTTAAAAACTTTGTCTACTCCGCAAGAGACTTTGAATGAGGATAAATTACACGTACTGTTCTTTCATAGAATATCAAGGGTGAACATTATCCCCTAATTTTCTGCCACTATATTCCTGTTTTGTTCCGCGTCGTTTTCCCTGCTTTTTAATAAAACTTGAAAATAGCTAATGGCTACCCTAAAAAACCGAATCCAAAGGGAAAAAATAAAAGAAAGGTTGAACATAATTAAAGTATTCTAGAAAATTCATACCCTCAAAGGGATCAAAATTTACATGAAATTTTACACGTTTGTTAAAAATTATTATACGAATATAAAATAAAAAACAATTACATTCGTATAATTAAAAAAAATTTACAATTACTCCTAAGGTACCCATTACTACTACAACATGACAAAGGACATGAAATGCGAGGACCACCTCCCGTGGTTCGTCCTCGTCAACAAGGGCGAGCTTATCGGCACAGGCTTCATGATGTTCGGCAAACTGGCGCCTCAGAAGACGCGCGACTGGTTCGAAATACCGCCAACACCTGAACAACTGCCTGAGGTAATAAAAAAATAAAAGGAAAAATGAGAGGAAAAATGGAAAAAGGAAAAATGTAATAATTTACAGTATATTACAGTAGTGTTGTAGAAATCATAGACATAGGTTTGTGATTTTTTTTTATTTGGCAATGGGCTAGTGATTAGGAATGAATGAAAACTCTTTATTGTTTCCTTAAAAAAATGTTACAGATTATAAAGATTAACAATATGTATACCAAAGATTTAGTTATTCCTTGTTTTTAGATGTACACAAATAAAAGCAATAATTAATTAGTGTTGCCCAATATGCTATTTACAACAGACGGGAAATAAAGGATCGTATAGGAATTTGATATCGGTGTCTATGATTTTTACTATTTATATTTCGATACTTTTTTTAATCCAAAGCTCTCAATTCCACTATTTTTTTATCTTACGCAATAATTGTATCTTTGCTTTATTATATTCTTATTTAGGTAATGCGAACAAATATTTGTTTGCGGGTATCGTTCTAGTTTTATTCAAAACATAATTTTAATTTATTAAAATTTTTTATTAAATATCGACACTCGTTATGACTCTCAAAAAATATTTAATACAACTTGTTAATGTATTTTCTACAGATCGTGATCCCGTACGCACCGCCTTGCTTCGGTGACTGGGCAACATCTTATGGACTAGTCACTCTACATATTTACTATATCGATGACCCATGGAACATTCGTTGCCAGTAGGTATTTCAGGGACAGTTTTGGTCTTGTAAAAAATCTTTGACCGGACACATTACGTGCCACCCGTTTCCTGAATAATACCTAATATTTTAATTCTGATTCTGCATACTTTCTTTAGAGGCAAGATCTGAACGACACCATAGATTAGTATTATATACTAAGAGCACAAACGCTTCTTTAAGCATTGTGAAATCACTTAAGTGTCATCTAATGTGTTTGCTTTTTCTATAAATTAGATAATCTCTTGAAACTATTAGTACTTTTTTAAAAAAAAAAACGTACTCACATTCTGAATTTTCGGAATGCCTTTTATGTGGCATGCTAAAATATTGTAATTTTACTAAATGTATGCACCCACCTACATAAAACTAAAAGTGTTGATTGTCAACTATGTGCATGAAAATACGCATTCTACTACCTAATTGTACTTAATAAGCATTTAAGTGAACATGTAGCTATTTAAAATTACAACTTTTTTCCATGTTTTCTATCAAATAAATTATGGCTATGTGAAAATAACAGCATAGCAGAATAATGACATGTTTTTCTTCCCTTTGCTTTATTTTATCCACTATCCTTATCCCTGTTTGCACGATTACTTATGCATTAAGAACCAATATACTTCTATTCTTATTACACAGCGTCCACAAGGGCTTCTAGTAAACTCAATTTTTTTAGTTTATTGAATATTTCTAAAAAATAAATTCCAAAAGTAAAAAATATTTTCTATCTTAGTAAAAAAAAAAGGTCGTCGAACCTGAAACTTAACAATAATTGAATTTTTCGATATTTGCCTCTAAATATTTCATAGGCGTACCAACAAAATAAATGAAATTGTTTTAAAAATTGAATACAGTAATTAAAGATTGTGCCCCTCAAAAAAAAAACCGATTTCATAGCGACAAAACCAGTTATTTTGATCTAAAAACTAATGAATTGGTTTTGATAAAATCTCCATGAAACCAATCTGTAATTTTATCCTTTCCAAAAAAAAAAAATTTCCAAATTGGTTTACAACTGACGGAGTTATAAGGTAATAAAGGTACATCAAATATACAACTGAAATAAGAAACTCCTTTTTTTAAGTCGGTTGAAAATAATTTAAAGGCTCCAGGTACATCCAAGTAATAATAAAAATGCGAAGTTGAGTTTGTTTGTTACGCTTTCACATCTAAACCGCTGAATCGATTATGATGAATTTTGGTATAGAGATAGATAGAACATTGGAAACAGTTATAGGCTACTTAAGTCAGTGAACATATCTCAGTCACGCAGACAATAGTAAGTACTACAGTTCTTTGAGATAGTAAAAGGACATCTATTCTACGTTAAATAAGATTTTTTTTATACAACTTAGAATGGCAAACAAGCTGACGACCCACCTGATGGAAAGTGGTAACCGTCGTCTATAGACTTGAGCAGTACCATAGTCATAACAGAGTATACTGTTTCGCCCATGATACCCTCCATGCGTTGCCATTCCTGAGGACTAAGGTGTTATTTCTACAAGCAAGTAGCTATGTTCGAATGGCATTTTTTGGTTTAAGAGATGGAATATAACAGTGAAATTACATCATTGGTAGACATAACTCAGGTATAACAACGCATAATCGATATAATAGGGATCACAGTAGCATTCATTTGCTTGAATACATACAACAGTGTGGCGTACGAGTACAAATATTTAATATGGAACCTGTCCTTAAAATTTTACATTAAAATAATTTTCAATGCCTTTTTATAATGCCTGTCTCTATCTATAATACTTTTCAAGTTTATAAACGGCGGTTACCACCATCCATCAGGTGAGCCGTTAATTTATTAATCATTCCAAAAGGGAGGGAAATCACTACAACCTTAGTCCCAAAGGGTTTCCAAATACATGCAATATATGTTTTCAAATAATGCATGGTTTGCAATAGACAGCGTAGAATGTGACTGCAGTGTTATTGCAATAAATATCGTTAAAAATCTCTTTTATTGTATTTAAAAATTGAGCCGATGAGGCGACGCAACACTTTTGTTTTATAATTTTAAGTTAATTATTTCACTCATTCGTGTGCCTTTATCACATAAATGCGATGTGCCCCATTACGAGTCTGCATCCTCCTTGAAAACGTACTCCCTACGTTAAAAGTCTTAACTAAAGACAAATAAGATGCAAATAATTAATAGGACTTTCTAGCTGAGAATTACTATTATTATATTTCGTATATTTATTATGAACATTTTTTACAATTATTTTTTTAAGATAATAATGGAATGGTAACCCCGCCTGCGCTAACAGTATACGCTGACGGGGCACCAGTGAGGGATGATAGATGAGAATAAAAAGGCAGGTCAGTTAGCCAATCGTGATGAATACACCTGGAATTCAGCACTTTAGTTTACAGAAGAGACCACCTGAACACCGACCTGACAAGATACGTAGCTAGTAGTCGGACTGGTAGTCCGTATTACTAATAATCCTCCCCCCCCCCCCCCCTAGTAACATTTTACAAAGGTCATTTTTAACTTTATACGATAGTTACACTAAACTTGCTTGCGTGTCTATGCTATAAGTAGTTACCTATTATGTATAAATAACAAAATATGTTAGCATGCGCAATTGTGATATGAAGTAATTTAAAAACCTTTAAAGTATCTAAAATTGTCGTATAAGTTTCCAGCATAGACAGCACAACGACTGTATTCACGTGTTTCATAGCAAGTATCTACTATTCTTAACCTGTGTTATGCATAGTTACTTTAAAAATTCTTCAACTTTTTATTGACCACAAGCTAAGAGCATGACCTTTATCTAAAACAACTATCAGGGAGTTAATGGGCATTGACAATAGAATGGGCGAAACAGTATACTCTGTTATGTCTATGGTACTGCTCATGTCTCTAGGCGACGGTTTCTTTTCATCAGGTGGGCCGTCAGTTTGTTTGCCTTTCTAAGTTGTATAAAAAAAAATTTGAGGATAACACCTACGCTTTCTATTGGCAGTAGGTATAAATCTAATCGTAGACTTTTTTAATGGATGCTCATGGAATGGTAACACCGCCCGCGCTAACAGTATACGCTGGCGGGGCTCCAGTGAGGGATGATAGATAAAAATGAAAAGGCAGGTCAAATAGCCCATCGTAATTAATACATTTGAAATTTCGTACGATGGTTTCCAGGGGTGACGGAAAGGGAAAGACGTGGAGGTCGACCTGAGAGATTAAGTATATTGCTAGCAATGGGAATGGTGGTCCGCATTCCAAATCATAGATTTAGTATAACGTACTTATTTATTAAGTATGAATGAATAATACTTCTCTGTACAATATGGCCACTCTCTCATCCTGGGGGCACATTCTTATACATTTTCATTTGTTATCAAAATGGCTTCTAATTTTATATTAGATAAAAGATTCAGATCAATATATCTTATTCGATATTACTTCGAAGAAAACGAAAATTGGTCTCCTAATCTCTTATCGTATCTTGAGTCAGATATAACTGCTCAAAAAAGGAATGCACCATGCATTTATTGCATGTACCAAACTGTGAAATCGTTCTGATGGACAAATTCGCCTGATGTGATTTGATTTACAGATGGATTTATCATTCCATTATCATCTATAATGAAATCTCCATACGACGACAGATTTTCTTACCTTCCTATGGAAAAGCCGAGGGGGAAACCCTTTATCCCGGCTTCAACATCAGGGGTGACTACACCAGTTTGCGGTGACGGGATGAATGCCAAGTTATTTCAACATAGCTGTCTTCTTTAATCTTTAATAATCTTAATTGGAACCAAAAAAAATTGTTACAATTACAAAAGTAGGGTAGTGTGCGATATTAGTTAAAAATTGTGTTGTTCCAACTGTTTCGTTAGCGTTAGCGTTCCAGTAGAATAAAAAGACAGAGTTAATTAAAGGCAAAGGTAGTCTTAGCATATAGCATGTACATACCGCACATACACATATATGTGCCTATACATACATATAAACATTAGATTCTACGCTATGTTACTTTAATTGTATAGATTGCAACTTTGTTTCTTTCTTACGGTGGTGAGTGTTCTTGGGCCTCTTCTCTCTTGACGTTAAATGTCTATAGTGCAACCTCTGCTTTGTTGGAAACTAGATGGTCCTGGGGTTGTTTATTTTATTATTCATTGCCCATTTTTAAAAACTTAGTTAAAGCCCACTACCTATCCTTATAATCACTTAGTCCTACGTATTTCCAGTTTTATGTGTGTTATATATATGTGTATTAATATGGTATATTTGTATGTATTTATGCGTATATATGTATATGTTTGGTTGTATGTATTTATTTATGTATGTATATGTATATGACTATGCTGTCACAAATATTATTTTTTACAAATCTATCTTTTTTAACGCGCCACCTACCTACTTATGCTTTAATCCTTTCTACCCAAAGGTTGTCTGGAAGAGATTGCTTAGCAATAAGACCGCCTTTTGTACTACACTATACGTATTGAAAATTGTTTTAACAAATCATGTTATGTTGGTGCAATAAAGTGTTAAATAAATAAATAAATAAATAAATATTCTTTTTTTTTTATTTCAGAAATGGAGATTCTATAAAGCCAGCTCCTGCTTTCGAACGATTACTTCTAAACGGATATCGGTACGCTCACCAGGTGTCAGATGAGCTGAAGAGACTGTTTAGCGGTTAAGATATAGTTTCCACGCCTTTTGATGTCAAATATCTAAACCACTCTCTCCCTTATTTTATTTATTATTAACAATTGTACCAAGTCAAATATTTCCCTACAGCCACTTATGATGATGCAGCGATCCAGAATACATCCAATGATTATGGATTCGATCCCAGTACAACACAATAAACAAGCTCCGCCTAATTTGACACGAGACAGCGCAAAATGAAGCTATCCAAGGCTATTTATGTAATATTTAACTTGTGATAATATAATTACAAAACAGTGGATTTTTATTTTATCTTCAATCCCAAAAACTCACCTATGGGAGAACTAGGTTGAAAATAGATATCTACATAAAATATTACTTTAAAAAATTTTTTGAACTGGTAATTGCTTGAAAAAGAAATTAAAAAAAAAATTGCTAAAATCAATAAATATTCAACGTAGTTCTAAAAATTTCTTGTTGAAAGAAAAAAAATAAATTTGCGCAGGTCGATGTTTGTCCTAGAAACTAGAAAATAATCCTATTAAAATTATAAAAGTGAAAGTTTATAAGGATGGATAGATGATGACTTTTTCCCGCAAAAATTACTGAGCGAAATTTGATACATAAATAGGTTATATCCTAACATAGCATATATGATACTTCATGTATTGATTCAAAGCTGCGGCATACAGCTATGACAAACATATACCTAATGCTCAGATGCTTCAGAAAATAACATGCTCCTATTCAAATAAGATCATTCATTTTTTAACGAAATTTATCATAAACAGAATTCGAAATGGAGGGCAGGTTGTTTTTCATCTTGGTCAATCAATATATCACGGTTACTCAAACAAATTTATATATAAAAACTAGTAAAACAATAATAAGACTCTGTGGTACTTATAAATCAACATTTATTGCAGTCAACTAACACCAGTGGGCGCTTTATGTGAACGTTTCTTTAGCTTTTGTTGTCTGCGTTTGAGATGCCGCTGGATCCTTCCAGTGCCCTCCTTCTTTAGATCTTCATATTGCTGGACTAATGCTTCAACTCGCCTTTCAGCTGTAACAAACATATTTTAAGTTATTGTTATACTCCTTTCTAGTACATATTTTATTAAAAACATTTTGTTTTATTAGTATGTATTATTATTATTTTTTAATAACAATTTTGAGCCTTTTACTGACAAAATGGGATCCATTTTATCTCAAATAAAATATATATATTTGTATAGTACATTATAAATATTAGCATACTGATGGTAAAATGTTACCATAGTTTACAAATGCATGCAACACCATAGGTATCATATGGTTAGTTTGTCCAAGCACCTTTCACTATTAGCCAATCACCTTCCAGTAATTCATCAGCAGTCACATGATTAATAAAAATATTAACTTACACTTATTCTTAAAGTGAGGTTGTCTTCCATCCTTAAACTCTTGCACAACATGAGTTTTCTCTCTCTTAGCTGACGCATCCTCTTCCTTCTTCTTCTTGCTAGCTTTATGCTGGTCATTTAATCTCTGTAGCAGCCTACGTAATTTCTTCTCTTGCTCCGGATCTGTTGTTTGTTTAAGCTCTGCTCTTATTTTCTTGATATCCTTCATTCGTATGTCAGATAAGAAATTGTAGTTTTGTGAGAATTGTTTTTTGTCAAACTCACCACAGAGGGGGTCAAATCTGTATGAAAAAAAAGTATTGTCATGTTACTTACTGTCATATAATATTATGTCATATTTTTTATTTTTTGGTTGGCTAAACCTAAGAATGAAAAACAAACCGTCAACCTCTGATGGAAAATGGCAATCATCATATACAGATAAAAACAGAATCATAAATATCACAGAATATACTGTGACATCCATGGTGCCTAACTCTCATAACATAAAATTGACTACAAGTTGATATATGTATGGTGGTTTAGTGATGGTGTCTAAGTAAGATGTTTATAATGTTAAAATGTGGTATAAATTACTGTTTGTAACTTCTTAATGGATTTTTATTGTATATAGCTGAGAATTTATATAAAATATGTATAACTGAATAACCTAAGTTATCTGAACATACTTTATAAACCATAAACCTTGCAACACTAAAGTCTATAAATGAATATTTATATTCAGAGGTTTCCAAGGCAGTCAGGTGTGTAAATTTTTTTTATGCAATTTAAAATAAACTAGCCCACCTGATGGAAAGTGTTAACCATACAAAACAAATAAAAACACTTATTATATTATATAAACACAAATAAAATTACTTATGAGAGAGACAAGCATGGAAAATAGAGTCTTCTTCACATTCACATTCACACAAACATTTATTTTATCAGGTACCAGTTTTTGTCCATGACATATTCATATATATAAATATGTATATATTGATATATATATATATATATATATATATATATATATATATATATATATTCCATCCCAAACACAATGTTAAGTCACCAACGAATAAGAAACAAACACACAATAATCAATCATTAATAAAATATTTTTAAAACATCCACATACCGTGGGTCACGAACTTCTCTCTTCTTGATTTTAGGTACATCGAACATAGGCACAGGTTTTTTTGAACTCATCTCCCTTGGTCTATTTTTATTCTCTCTCTTGAATATCCTAGGTCCGTCTGGTTTCTTTTTGTCATTTTTACCAAACAATGCTTCCTTGTACACTTTAGCGCCAATTTTTTCTTTCAACTTCTGCAGCTCTTCGAAAGAAAGCGAGGATAATTCAGCTCTGATAGATGTCTATTTAAAAAGAAATTAAATTAATCAATCAAACATTACTATAGATTTTTTTTAATGGATGAGAATGGAATGGTGACGGGTGGTGGCGGGGCACCAGTGAGAAATGATAGATGAGCATGACAGCAGGTTAGTTAGCCCATCGTGACGAATGTAACAAGTATTAATTACAATAGTTTCCAGGGAAAACCGCGCAAAGGTCAACCTGACAGGGCTTGCTAGTGGTGGGACCATTAGTCCCCTCTATAGTAGGTTAGATAATGTTACTGTTTATTATAAACACGTGTACTCACTCTTTCATCGTCAACACTTTGTTCGGGCATAAAATTGTCATCGCTATCTTCACTTCCGCTCATTTTTTATTTATAATTACTAATATTATAATAAGAACAAGAGAAATAAAAATTGTATTACAAAAAAATAAATATAATACAGAAGTTGACAGACCAAAGTCAAATACAGAAATTTTATAATGTTGCTATTGTCAATCAGTCAAAATCGAATGCTTGAAATTTGACAATTTATTTGACATATTTTAGATATGACATGATTGTCTCTATAATCTGTATTTTATGTTATCAAAATGACAAACAAATTATCAGTAAAGCTTTTCGAATTTGCATTCAAAACAACATTAAATTTATTTCTATTTAAAGTACGGCCTATTTTCTTAAATGTTTAACATACATGTATATTTGTGAATTTCGTTAAAAGTTTCAATACTAGATTAATACAGACGTTGACTAAGTAATTTTGGAAACTAGACTAGCTTTCAAACTTCTGAACAAAAATTGCTTTAATTATATTAATTAGTATTTATTACTTTAATTATGCGTTTTTTAATTACTTTTACTTTTCAAATGCATATAATTTTTTTCTCTAAAAATTTAATTACTATTTTTTTCTTTTCAGCATTTATTTATACACAATAAAATAAAAAGTACTTAATTTATTAGTAAGAAATGGAATCAACTAAACCTAGCACAGTAATATCTAAAATAAATGCTAATGGACTATTTCTATATCTGAAGGTACAATGGATGGAAAATAATGAATTTGATTTATTTAATATAAAAATTTTTCATGCAAACAGCAGTTGGTCAGGTAGATTTTCTAGAGAATTTGCAGAGCAACAGAGAAATCGTATAGATTTAGATGAAGAAGAATATATAACAAATATCAGAGAAGCTCTGGAAGGATGTGATAGGTTCTTATATGATTTTATTGTTCAAGAAAAGGAGAAAACTGCAACTTTTTATTGGAAAAAAAAGTTTGAAGATGCTCACAGGAAAGATGGTTCTGTACCAATGTATCGTGATGAACAAACTGAAAGCATAGACTCATTGTTAGACCATCTCTTAAAAAGTAATAGAGATCTAAAGTTAACAATTATGGAATGCAACAAGTATAATGAAAATATCACTAAAGACTTGAACAGATACAAGCAAGAATTGAAAGATTTTGTAAATATGAAAACATCCATAGAAGAAACATTGTATGGAAAGTTTGTACAAGTGCTGAATGAGAAGAAGAAAAGAATTCAATTATTAGAAGAGACTTTACAAAAATTTAAACAATAGTAACTGTTGAGTTAACTGTAAATTTTATAAAATTAAAAAAAAAATTAAATGTTTCAAAAATTTTATATTAATATATTATAATGAATTTTATTATAGATTTATAATTTTATTTTCATTAAATAAAAGTCTTTGTTATAACAAATTATCAAGTAGGTTATTAAATGTTTAAAATACAATAATATACAGTTTATTATAAAACTTACTAATGTAATAAAACTGTAAACAGATAGTGTCTGTGCATAGTAGATATTAAAAAAAAACAATCCCTCATATAATTTTTTGATAAGGGCAATGAATTTTTTGATAAGGTACTGTACAAAAGTCATTTGCTTGGCTATCTCTGTCCTATTTGTGTTTTTGCTGTGAAGCAATCATGTTTGAATGACTTTCATTTGTAGTTGAAAAGTGTGATATGGTGGTGAAATTACAGGGTATAGAAGCAAAACACCTTAGTTTTCAGGAATAATTCTGCATGAGGAGTATCAAGAGCGACACAGTATACTCTGTTATATCCATGGTATTGGTCATGTTTATAGCTGATGATTACCATTTTACATCAGGTGGGCTGTCAGCTTATTTACCATTCTAAGTTTGATAAAAAAAAACTAAGAGAATCACAATATTCTATTTTGTACAACGGGCTATAGAAAGTATACTAAGACTTTAATATTACACTCTCGGCGCAAGATGCCTAATATATCTATTATTATCATTATTTCAGCCATTATCTGTCAACTGCTGAATACAAGCCTCCCCCATAAATTGCCATAAGGAACGGTCCTAAACCACCTGCATTCATTGACTCCCTACAATGTATTTGAGGTCGTCACTTTATGTAGTGGGGGGTCCTCCTACATTATACCTATTAACTACAATAGATAGGAGGGAAAGGGATTGTTAGTAATGGAGACTGAGAATCCTATTGCTAGCAATATACCCAACCAGATCGACCTCCTCGCGGTTCTCCCTGGAAACTATCATGGTTAATTCCTGACGAATTCATCATGATGTGCTAACTGGCCTATTTTCATTCTCATCTATCACCCTTCACTGGTGCTCCGCCAGCGTATCCCGTTAGCGCAGGCGGGGTTACCATACTATTTTCACCCAGCAAAAAAAAACTACAATAGATATACGAAACAAGCGATATTTGTATATTCCTTATTTTCTAGATATGATAAAAAAAAACTATATTATAACTGTAGATTAATTTATTCAGTACAAAATTTGTTTAATTAGTTTTATTATATAAATATAATGATGAATTAGTAGCTACGTCCGAATAGCGTAAAATATTGTGGCTTTCTGTCGCAATTGGGATGTATGCAGCGGTCGGACGGGAGAAGGTCGCGCGGCTGCAAGAACGGTATGCAGAGGGACTTCGCACCCATGGCCGGGCCTTTAATTTCTTCGGTTTCGTCCTCTTCTTTCCTATATAACAAATGTGATAACTATATTATTAATCTTTTAAATTTACAAATTACAATTTATTTATTTCTTGAAAATATATAGATATATTTGTGAAAACAAAACTCCTATATTATACCTATTAACTACAATAGATAGAGGGGAAAGGGATTGTTAGTAATGGGGGTTGAGAATCTCATTGCTAGCAATATACCCAACCAGGTTGATCTCCTCGCGGTTCTCCTTGGAAACTATCATGGTTAATTCCTGATGAATTCATCATGATGGGCTAACTGGCCTGTTTTCATTCTCATCTATCACTCTTCGCTGGTATCCCGTTAGCGCAGGCGGGGTTACCATACCATTTTCACCCATCAAAAAAAAAATAGGCAAAAGGGCAGGAAAATTATGAATATATATAATATAAAAATAATCATATAATACCATTTTTAGGTTTGTTTTGCCAGTACTTACCTCTCACTGTCGGCTTTGATCTTGTCCTCGCACGATGTAATACCACAGAAGGGCGCCAGCAATATATGTTTGCGGTCTAACGCCGAAGTGAAGTCCTCCCATTTGTTCACTAACGACAGTCGTTCATTGCGATCCTTCAATGCTCTGTATTGAAAAAAAAAATTAAAGTGACAATATTTTCAAAAAATATGAAAAAAGTAATTGTATTTCCGAATTATTATTTCAATTATTAATGCTCTGATACTCTATTCTGTTCTTATAAATTTGTACTGAAACTACTGTTGTCTGGTACAAAGATAATTATTATGTTATACTCGACAAATTACTACATATATTTATATATTAGGTCATGTGGACATAACAAAAAATACCCTTATAATACTGTGGTACTATATGGCATTTTAAATAATACAAGCAACAAAGAACAAAATTCTAATTTCAATATTTTTATTGAAATAAAAAGAATAAAAATAAGATTGATAAAACTGCATAACATTAGATAAAAACAGAACAAACATTACAGTTGAAACTTGAACCGCGTTTTTAATTTGATAAAATTATCATTATATCAACTCCCAGCAGCGGTCATTCCGAATTGATACTACATCGTAGACCCTTTCAAGAGCATATTTTTTTAAACGACTAGCAGTACACCTGCAACTCCTCAATGTTGCGGATGCTTATAGACGGTAGTAGTCACTTATCATTATGCTAGCCGCATTCTCCCAGTGTTACAAAAAAAATCTTACTTGGTGAACATTTCCTGGTGGGTCCTGTCCAGCAGCGCGACCAGCTCGGCGGCGGCGGTAGCGCGCTTCATGGTGATCTTTTCACCGGTGAGGCGTCGCACCGCCACCAACTCCTCACGCGCCAAGTCCTTGGGGCCCAGTTCCACACGTACCGGCACGCCCTGAAATTATATTATTTTTACTTATGACCATAGAATATATTTTTTAAATGTCCTTAGAACGTTATTGCTCCAAATATTGTAAAACTAGGAGGGGGGGGGGAAGTATTGTTATATGTTATTAATGGGGCTATTAGACCCCATTACTAGCAATATACCCTCTCAGGTCGACTTCCACGTGGTTCCCCCTGGAAACCATCATATTTAATTCTTGTCGAATTCATCATGGTGGACCAACTGATCTGCATTCATTCTCACCTATCATCTTCCACTGGTGCCTCGTCGGTGTATACCGATAACGCGGGCGGGGTTACCATTCCATTTTCAGCCATTAAAAAAACATTTTGAAAATTTAAAATTTATATAAATTATCGTCATATCAGCAATTATCCGTCCACTGCTGAACAGAGGCCTTCCCTATAACTGCCATAAGGAACGATCCTGAACCACGGGCGTCCATTGCGTTACACTTTTACATGAATACAACTGGATCAATGGGTACAGAGGTATAACACTTTAGTCCTTTGGAATGGCAACGCAACAACGGGGGTATTATGGGCGAAATAGTATGCCGACAGTCGGCCACTTTCCATCAGGTGAGCCATCAGCTTGTTTGCCATTCTAAGTAGCATACAAAAATATAACACACAGTGTTTAGTCCCAGAATAAGCACAACTTGAACCCTTGAAATGTACACATAGTGTACTAGACGTCTGAAAGAAATATTAAATACTTTTTTTTTTGTAAGCAGGTAGAAAATGCTCAAATTTTCACAAGGTCGCGTGGTCCTGGCATAGAATAGGCCACCCCTTCCTTTCCCGTGGGTGTCGTAAGAAGCAACTAAAGGAACTTATGGTCAAGTGATGGACAGCAGTGTCCCACTTAGAACAACACCAAAACCTAACCGCGGTTGCTAACTCGCCAGCCAAGTGTGGCAACTGTTAGCAAAACTCTTCATCGTCAAATATATAAAACAATTATAACATATCTATGGAATCAATCTGTAAGTATATACTTTCAAATAAAAAAAGGAATTTTCCGAATAGGTTTATAACTATCGGAATTATCAGGTAACAAACATAATTAAAAAAAAAACAACCGAATTGATAATCTCCATCTTTTTAAGTCGGTTGAAATACCTTTAATTCCCAATGGTTGAATTTCCAGCCCGGTGAGTAATTGTCCCTATAGTCGCCTTCCGCCCTGATGCCAGCAGCAACGAAATCGTTCACTAACTCCTTGCAAGAGTCTATCAGCTTCTTCCTCTCCTCCTGCGTACTGGACGCCGTAATACCGCATGGTACCACTATGATTTGTATTTCAGCAACGCGGGGAGGCAACACTAACCCTCTGTCGTCGCCGTGAACCAATATTAGTACACCTGGTAAAAAACATATTTAGGTATCATCAAGAAGCCTCATTGACAAATGTGATATAACCACCTCCACGGAAATAAATCCTTTAGATTAAAAAAAGAACAATTAAAATCAGTTAATTATCGCGCGTTGTCGTATTTAAGATTACTTTAAAGGGGAAAGGAGCTTAAAAAAAAACGTTCTTTAACAAAACGCATATATATTCTCAAACATGTTTTTACAAAACTGCGCGTGTCAAATTAATTAAATTAATATAATTTAAAATAAATATCTAAAACGTGCATTCCGGGGAGGGCACCAGACTTTTGGAGTGGGCACACCGGTCTTTCTTCTAAATACTCAATAATAATATACTAATATAAATACTCATTAGTAATATGTTATCGTGTATCATAACACACAAGAAAATTTTGTTTAAAGATAATTTTGATGACAAAATTGATATATCTTGAAAAGCGTCGGTTTTTTTGGTTGGTTAGTCTGCTCATGTCTATAGGCGACGGTTACCACTTTCCAACAGGTGGGCCGTCAGCTTGTTTGCCATTCTAAGTTGTATAAAAAAAAGCGTTATTCGAACAAACCCTATCGCAAGCGAAATATTTTTAAATATTCAATACTTTCATAATTCTTCTAAGAAAAGAACCCGCGAGAAACTTAACACTTTCAAAGTAATAATACTTACACACAAATAAAAAAAAATGATAAGATAAATTTACACATTTACACATTTGGTTTCCACTGTCATATTTTTTTATATCATTGACATGGCAAATAAGCATACGGCCCACCTGATAATAAGCAGTTACCGTAGCCTATGAACGCCTGCAATACCAGAGGTATTACGCGCGCGTTGCCAACCCTGAAGAAACCTCTTTAACCCCCTTTTGAAGATATATTTTAATAGTATATAGAATATTTTTTTAGTATGTGCAATAAAGTATAAATAAATCATATTAGTATATAATTTATTTATGTATAATTAAATATTGTTAACAACTTAAAATATTATCTAATAAAATATTGCGTAATTTATAATATTAGTGAAAAGTCGAGGAGAATGAGATCACTTTATATAACAAAATATCAAAATACCTATCGTTCTGGTGGTAAGACCCCATGAGTTCTGGTACACGTACGCTTTTTCCTGCGTCTCGGGATCGTCGTAAACAATCTCGAACATCTTCGAGAAGTTCTGACCCAAGTGATGACTCGTTGCACCCTGGAGTTGCAAATTAAATAAATTAGCGCCATCTAGTGGCACACTAAGTAATGTCTGTACTATGAGTATGGATTACACGGAAGAGAGAAGAGGAGCCCTCTGCACTCCGCGTCAACATCAAAATCATGTACAAGAAGATGCCACGCCGACATACACAACAACAAAAAATACGATCAAATTGAAAACTTCCTTCTTTTTGAAGTCGGTATAAAAACTTTGTGCCACTGTAGATTATTATTTTTTAATCCGATTCCTATAAGAAATGTTAAGATTTTTTTTATGGCAAATAAGTAAGACACAGACGGGCGTATAAATAATTTTAAATACTTTACCTGTATGGCTCTGCCACTGGCCGGTATATACGCTTCCACGGTGGTGGTGTAATCGCCACCGGCAAACTTCTCCTTTTCCGTCTTACGACCTTTCACCACCGGTATAGCGAGTAACTCTTCGTAGACGCGCGCGTACAAATCTTTACGGGAATAAACAACCTTGTGTTAACATTAAAAAATAAATTTATTTCATTTCGTTGCAAATTAAATTTATTTTCATTTCATAAAATTTTAAATGAAATAACAAAAATGCCCATTTAATGTTTTTGTTTCCTGCTCTTATCCTATTTGTGGTCGGCGTAATATGGTTTCATTCATATTATACAAGGTTTCGGCTTTCGGTTTTACGACCAAAACCTATAATAGTTAATACGATAATTATTTAAATATAAAATAAACATACACATAATAATATACATACATACATACTTGTGTATAACTTTAAAATAAATTATGTATTTACAATCAGTCTTACCAAGTATGAGCAGTACTTCCTCGGCGGCCTCCTCCTGAGTGCGGAAGGCGGTGTGCCCCTCCTGCCAGAGGAATTCCCGCGTGCGGAGGAACGGCTGCGGCTGCTTGAACTCCCATCTCTGTATTCGTGGCAGTAAAAAAAAATTATGTAACATGTATGGGCCATGTTTAGAAGGCGTAAAAAAGGCTATTCATATTTTTTTCTTGCAGCAGAGTTCCACTTGTTATTATTGAATTGGCCCAGTAGTTTTCAAATGTTTTATACCATTGTCCGTTTATATTAGTTTTATTACGATTATGCAAGATAAGATTAAAATAAAATTAAGATAAAATTATACCGTTTTTTTTTTTCGAAATAAAATTTACTCAATAGTCGATTTTTTTTTTATACAACTTAGAATGACAAACAAGCTGACGGCCCACCTGATGGAAAGTGGTAACCATCGTCTATAGACATGAGCAGTACCATGGACATAACAGAGTGTACTGTTTCACCCATGATACCCCCATGCGTTGCCATTCCTGAGGACTCAGGTGTTATTCCTCTGTGCCCTGTAAATTTACGCCATATCCCACCCTTCAAACCGAAACACAGCCATGCAAACACAGCTGCTTCACGGTTGAAACACGAATGGGACAGAGGTACCCAAGCAATCGACTTTTGTACAAAGTCTCCCTCTGGTAAATTATTAGAATTATTTTGTTACCATTAGTATATGTGCGACTGCCAATATTTAAAGGTTGAGTTCTATTATTATTAGAAGTTCTGTAAAACACACATGTAGCGACACGTCCTCTAAATAAGGTATCTTTAAGCAAATTTATAGATCATTGCTCGGATCAATAATATAATAATAATAAAATCGATAATAGATCGGATTGACACCCAAACTGCGAATAAATACTGAGCACCTAACAGTCAACACTATACTACTACTCTTTTACTTTTAAAAGACGTGTATGTATTCTCAGACGTGACATGCTCCCCGCCGTCTCCCCACCCCTCCTTAAATATACCTATGATAGATAATGGTAGGCTGGAATAACTATTGTATATGATATAAATACCAACCACGGGGAAAGGGATTGTTAGTAATGGGGTCTAACAGCCTCATCGCTAGCAATGTACCCTATCAGGTCGACCTCCACGCAGTTAACTCTGCGACTGGAAAGCATCGTGGTTAACTCTCGTAGAATTCTTTACGATGGGCTAACTGACCTGCTTTCACCCTCATCTATCATCCCTCATTGGTGCCCCACTAGAGTATACCGACAGCGTAGGCGGGATTGGCATTCCCTTATCGGCTATTAAAGGAATACTAACCACGACGTTGTTCCACTGGTTGAGCTTGAGCGGCAGGTCGCGGTGGCTCTGTATCCACCTTGCGTACGCGGGGTACATGACAGTCTCGGAGGTGGGTCGCACAGCGATGTGCTCGGCCAGTTCCGACGACCCGGAGTGCGTCACCCACGCCACCTCCGGCGCGAAGTCCGCTATGTGCGTCTTTTCGCGTTCTAACGCCGCCTGTGTACAATTTTACTTTATTTATGACTAGCGGCCCGTCCTGGCGTCGCACGAGTGGACATTTTTAACATTTCCCTTCACTGCTCTGCTCCCATTGATCGTGGCGTGATGAAAAGTATACTATAACCTGCCCAGGAGTATGAAGAATAATTGTATCAAGTTACGTTAAAATCCGTCGTGTAGTTTTTGTTTCTATAACGAACATACAGACAGACAGATAAAATTTTTATTGATTGCATTTTTGGCATCAGTATCGATCACTGATCAGCCCCTGATAGTTATTTTGGAAAAATATTTCATGTACAGAATAGACCTCTCTACAGTAATATAAGTATAGATAAAGTAAGTACAATATTTTATTTTACATATAGACTGGACATAAGCCTTCCCCATAAGGGGAGTTTTGCCAGTAATCGCCACGCTTGGCACACGGGACGCATAATTTAATTATTATATTAGTAAAAAATAAGTAAAATCATTCGCCATATTAGAAATGCATCAAATTATTTTTAAATACAAAATTATCAATAAAGGCCACAAGTCTCGATTTCAATGCCATCTAGTATGTCTTGCCCGATTTTTTATAAGCTAACGGCCCATCTGATGGAAAGCGGTAACCATCGCGCATAGACATGAACAGTAGCATGGACAGAATTGCCTATGATACTCATGGTACCCCGTGAAACACATGCTTTCCATTCTTGGGAATTATTATGTTACATCCCTTTATGTATTTTAACTACTACTACAGTGATTACTGTGACGGTGGCGTCCTCTGTTACCAAGAGCTTTTAGATCGTTTACGTTATAATATTAAGGATTGAGACACTACCTAGAAGTGAGATGAAAGTTTAACTTTATATTCAAAAGCTCACCTTAGATACGAATATGGGGAAGTATCCATCTTTCACGCCAAGTTTCTTGAATTCAGTGCTGAGGAAGTTACGTATCACCTCCCATATGCTGTACGACCACGGCCGGAGGATATAGCACCCGGATATGTCGTAGTAGTCTATCATTTCCGCTGTGTTGACAAAATTAATTTTTAAAACATTTTTTCCATGCAATTCTAAATAACAATAAATTATTTAACGTATGGTTGAGTATTTTGAAATATTTTCTGAACACTCTAACCGCCTAGACCTTGAGCTACCTTTAATTTACTTTTACATTTATGAAGCATGTATGTTAGAATAATATGTAGTTAGGGGTAAGAAAATTATGTATCTAAACAATGTTTTTTTTTATTTTTTTTTATATAACTTAGAATGGCAAACAAGCTGACGGCCCACCTGATGGAAAGTGGTAACCGTCGCCTATAGACATGAGCAGTACCATAGACATAACAGAGTATACTGTTTCGCCCATGATACCCCTCATGCGTTGCCATTCCTGAGGACTCAGGTGTTATTCCTCTGTACCCTGTAAATTCACGCCATATCCCACCCTTCAAACCGAAACACAGGCATGCAAACACAGCTGCTTCACGGTTGAAACACGAATGGGACAGAAGTACCCAAGCAATCGACTTTTGTACAAGTTTCATTCAATATAAAATTTCATTATTATGAAACTCGTAATAACCACCTATTGTAATTTTATATGGAATGCAATAAATAATAAATCAAATATCATATTCATTAAAAATAAAATAATCTAATTTTCTTTTTTCTCAATGTTCTCTACAAAGGTTGTCTAGAAGAGATTGCTTAGCGATAAGGCCGCCTTTTGTATCACTTCTCATAAAAAAATACTATAAATAAAACTATAAAAAAAATAAACCCAAAAAAAATTGCGAAATATGAATGGCGACAAAGCCCTTCCTGCATGTGGCAAACGGAACTATCAATAGATACGTTATCGTTACCCTATGCGTAGGTTAGAACGAGATGGCAACGTGCGGCGTCTTATTCTATCTAAAACACATTTAACATGTTCAGTTCAGTTCAACGACATTCGTTGTTGATAATTGATTTCCCACATTTTGTGCTAAAATTACGAATGAACTTACATTTGGTTATGACCTGTGAGTACCATTCGGGTAGATTTGTGTCCTTGCTGGCTTCCAGGCCAAGTCTTGTCACCTTCTTCACGCCTGTTGACGACTCCTCTTTGACTGGTTTTGGTGACTGTGATAAAAAAATGCAATTTTTTTTATTTATGTGCATAATTTTTAACTTAGATTATTTACTAGTTTCCCGTGGCTTTGCCCGTGTGCATTAGTATATAAAGCACGTTACGCATTAACTCACGATATAAATTTACTCTTTAACAAATTCAAATGCATTCCACGTGCCCCCCAACCGGGAAACCATCATGCTGAATTCCAGGTGTATTCATCACGATAGGCTATCTGACCTGCCTTTTCATTCTCACCAATCATCCCTCAGTGGTGCCCCGCCAGCGTATACCGTTAGCACAGGCGGGATTATCATTCCATTATCACCCATTAAAACAAAATCAGGGTAATCAAGATTAGTCAAACATCTTTATAAACTTTTACATTTGAAATAATTATTAGTAGGATTTTTACAATAACTTGTTTACGAAGTAAGTAAAGATAACTGGAAATCAATCAACCAATCGTTTATTTGCATAAACTAGCATAATTGATAAACTAACCTAAAACAATAGTAACTTTGATATCTAATATATAAAGTTCTCGTGTCGCGGTATTTGTTACCAAACTCCTCCGAAACAGTTTTATCGATTTTTATGAAATTTTCTGTACATATCGGGTAGGTCTGAGAATTGGCCAACATCTATTTTTCATACCCCTCAATGATAACCCCTAAATATTTTTTTTATTATTCTGACATTTTTTTTTTTTTATTTTTATTTTATTATGATTAAGCATTGAAAAATACATACAAATTAAAATTTTCACGCTTTTACGATCAACCTCTATTGTTTAATCGCAATTTTTATATGCCGCAATAGGGCTGCAAGATGACAATCGAATATAATAATTGTAGTACGATATTTTGTCATGTATAGTTCTAAAAATAGTATATATGGTAAAACAACGTTTACCGAGTCAGCTAGTATTAATTTTTTTTTTATTTAATTATCATACATAAATACATTAAAAAAATTGGATTTTTAGTACCACTTAAACCTCTTGGGCTTGTGTGTGATACTGTGTGATACTTGTGTGTGATTTCTAAATATATAAAACAAGATCAATTAAACAGACCTTTTCTTTCGGCTTCTCTGCTTTAGCCTCTTTAGGTTTTTCTTTTTTCTCTTTCGGTTTACTTTCGCGGGCCTGCGCCGGCGGTGCGTACGCAGTGCCCGTTAACGTTTGGTAGCTCGCCTTGAGGTTTAGCAACTTCTTCACCTCCGCATCTATGGTCGCCTGGTAACAATGAATTAAAATTGTAGAATATTTATTTATAATTAATATCTGTGTATTTTTGTCTTCCTTAAGAATTATTAAGGGGTAAGCAGAGAGCTTCATAGGATTGTAGATACAGTAGTTAAAACATGTAGTTTTTCTTTTTTTCATATTTTTTTAAATATCGTAAGCAATCTTTTTTTTGAAACAATGGGATACTTCCTCATATAACATATCAGATAAATGTCTAAAATTTATTTTAAATCATCTAGTGTAAGTATAAAGTTCAAATGTCTAAGAATAACAAAATTACGGGTTCAGATTTTGCCTATTTTGAATGTTAACCAATCACAAACTTTAAAAGACCCATTTTTTGTTCTTATAAATTAATACAGTTTTACCTTGTCTGCCTTCTTAGCCTTAAGGTCTCGAACGATATCGCCTTGCTTCGTAATCTCTGCAACGATGGCCGCTGCACTATCCCCACCATTGACATTCATTGTTGCTGGAGTTTGCTGTCAAAGTAAACATAATATAAACAATAAATTAGCTTGGACATAACATATTAATTATTGCATTAATATTTAATGTTTGTTATATATGTTATAATGCAATATGCTGTTGGTGTTCCAACGAATAGAGAAATAAATTATTACGGTACTAGAACAGACTATCATAATTATGTTAAACGAGTATCTATTTATATATATAATAAAAATTAACTAAGGAGTTGTTTTTAGCTATTCAATATATAAATAGACTATAGAAGCAAATATTGTGTACATGTTATACATTTATTTATTTATATGTATTTTCTATATATATACCATATATATATATATATATATATATATATATATATATATATATATATATATATATATATATATATATATATATATTTATTTTCTATGCATCAACGAAGTAATGAAGAAAAAGAAGAAGTAAAGAATTTTAGTCAATAAACTATTTTATACAGTTTGGTGAACTAACTAGTAATTATTAGGTGAGTTGGTTAAATAAATAATTTTAAAATAAATATTATATGATAATTAACAACGAATGGAAAAAATCTAAGCATTCTGTTTTAGTATAAACAGTAAAAGACGTGAAGCTCCTCGTCAAGAAGTATTGTATATATACACTGTTGTATTGTAATGTAAGCATTTAGTTACATATTTGTATTTATGCAATGTAGTAATGTCATGTAGTCCCGACATAAAATGGGCCGCCCTTTCCTTTTCGTGGGGCGTCGTAAAGCAGCAGCGTCACTTTTAAAATAATACATTTTCCTTTTTAAAAGGCCAGCAGCACACCTGCGTTGCCTCTGGTGTTGCGAGTGATCATGAACGGCGGTGATCATTTACCATCAGGTGAGCCACATGCTTGTTTGCTCCCTGTGTTATAAAAAAAACAAATATCCAACTGCGGTTGACAACTCGCCTGCCAAACGTGACCTACCAAGGGGGAAGCCTATGTTACATAGTGATATATTAAGCACTGGCAGTTAATGTTATCATCATCATCATCATCATTTATAGAAAATAAGCAATCCAGTCGGGATTAAAATAAATACAGAAAGATAAATTAGTACTTTACATTACCTTTATATAAAATTTTATTTTTTATTTTGGTTATATTACTGTAATTTTCATACGGAGTTCTAATTTTTTTACCATAATATCATATTACACCTATATTAGTCGCTCATCTTTTTATGCAACTTAGAACGGCAAACAAGCTGACGGCCCACCTGATGGAAAGTCGTAACGGTCGCCTATAGACATGAGCAGTACTATGAACATAACAGAGTGTACTGTTTCGCCCATGATACCCCGCATGCGTTGTCATCCCTAAGGACTAAGGTGTTATTCTTTGCTGTATATATTACTTGCTGATAATGCAGCTTCCTATAGATGAAAGAGTTTTTAAAATCGATTTGAGTATTTTTGATTTTATCCACTACAAATAAAAAAACATACTAAAAATTAAATCTTACCTTTTATATTTGTGATATTAGTATATATGTCGATATATTGTCACTAACCTGTTTATTATTTGCAACAGAAGCGTTTGGCGTCCAATCGGTGCCAGTGATCGTCTTGTACTGTGCCTTCAGATTCAAAAGTGTTTTTACCTGTAAAATATTAGTTATATATTAATTTTAGTCCTGTTATTATATTCATAACCAGAACAAACTGGGCAATAGTGCCAACACCGTGGTAGTGAAAAGGGATTGTTAGTAATAAGATCTAACTGGCCCATTACTGGGGGGAAAGGGATTGTTAGTAATGGAGACTGAGAATCCAATTGCTAGCAATATACCCAACCAGGTCGACCTCCTCGCGGTTCTCCCTGGAAACTATCATGGTTAATTCCTGATGAATTCATCATGATGGGCTAACTGGCCTGTTTTTATTCTCATCTATCACCTTTCACTGGTGCTTCGCCAGCATATCCCGTTAGCGCAGGCGGGGTTACCATACCATTTTCACCCATCAAAAAAAAAAAACTGGCCCATTAATAGCAATACAATCTATTAGGTAGACCTTTACGCGAATCTTCTTGGAAACGATCGTGGTTAAATCTAGTGGAATTCGTCACGATGGGCTAACTGACTTGCCTTTTCATCATCATCTAATATCCCTCACTGGTACCCCGCCACCGTATACCGTTAACACAGGCGTGGTTACTATTCCATTATCACCCATAAAAAAAAACACTGTAGGGTGAGGACCCAGTGATACGTAACAAAGGTATATCTTACTTCAGACACCAGTTCTTCACAATACCTTAAATTGTTTAACATAAAAAATAAATTTCTTTGCAATAACTTTTGCGAAATTATCAAAATAAAATATTATGTTAAAGGTAATAAACTTATTATAGAAATGAGAACTGAGAATTGGCCGCACTGTAACTTATTTAAATTACAGTTATATGTATATTTTTTTATAATAAATCTTTATTTCATTTCATTTTCATATTAAAATAAATTTGGCACTACTGTCCCCAGTGTCTCTTACCTCAGCGTCAACGGCCGCCTTGTCCGCCTTCTCAGCCTTCAACTTCCGTACCTTATCGCCCTGCGCTGTGATTTGGGACAACAGTTCACTCACTCCACCGTCGTTCGTCTTCTGCACAGGTGCTGTGTTAGCAGGCTGTAAACGGGCGAGTAATTTTCTTTTATAAATATACACTAAAATTATATGAAATCTGCATAGTAACAATATGTTATTTAAAATACATGTACTTTTGCATCGTTTTATTAAAAAAGAAATAAAAATTAAACATGAGTCTGGTTTCAAAATGTCATCCTCAAACGTGCTGTATTTTTTAAAACGTTTGCACTAAATATTGTAAAAGAAGCGATAATATTTACAATGTTTCAATAGTAAATTATCGATAAACTCTACACGGATTAATGAAGCGATACAGTGTGTTATAAATTTAATAATACTAATGACTGCTATCGAATTAAAGTAGTAAAATAAAACATGGGCGTATCTATTTATTATACTCGTACTACAGATACGTCACCACAACCAGATTTAGAACGTCTTTTTTTTTTATTAGAGCAACCAAGAACACATACACTATGATTACAATTTTTATCTCAAGCAAATAGTTCAGGTAAGTATATAGTGTTGGCTTAATTACTGGTTACCACGGCATATATTATTTTTTTAGAAGTAAACAAATAATTTATTTATTTTAGCCAAAACAACATAAAAAGGTGATGTGCATAAATATTTATTTATTTATTTAACTCTTTGTTGCACTAGAAACATAAAAATGTACAATGACAATTGAATAATTCAAGTGAAATACAGTAACATAAATACAGATTGAAATATATACATACTGGTAAAAGTACAAAGGCGTTCTTATCACTAGGACAATCTCTTACAGACAACCTTTGGTTAAAGGAGAACAGATAGAAGTGGGTAGGTGGCAAAAGAGTGAATTAATTTTTTCGTGATTATAATACAAAAGCCTATATTGCACAAAAATATCAAATACATAATTTATTAAACTAAATATATAGGTATGTTTAAATATATAGTATTTTATATTCTAACTTATGATATAAACTGAATAATATTTGTTACAATAATCCAAATGTAATTCTAATCCGTTCAGTAGTTTTGGCATGAAAGAATAACAAACATTCATACATTCGTTAATCTTTAACTGTATTTATAATAGTAGCAGTAGAACGCCAAAAATTTTTTTTTTCGATTTTTTGTTAATTGGCAGATTAATCTCGTCTCTTCGTGACATTTGTTTTCAAGATTTTATCACTTCTTTTTGTGACTTGTTTCTACATAAATGTAGAAAGTTTATTAATTACATCCATTTAGATATATTTTCTGTATTTTTTATTATTGACGTCTTTGTAGAATGAATTTTAATGTTTGGTATTTTTTGGTTTAGCTAAATGTCTAGTTCATAGTATACAAACTACTTAGAACATTGAACTTTTGAAATTGATTGCGGTTGATCATAGGCGGGGATAATCAATAACCATCAGGTGAGCCGCATGCTCGTTTGCTCTTTGTGTTTTAAAAAAGCCTTCCATATTTTCAACCGACTTCAAAAAGAAAGAGGTACTCAATTTGTTTATATTTTTGTCATGTTTGTTACCTCATAATAACATAAACCGATTTGGAAAATTATTTTTTAATCTGAAAGGATATACTTACACATAACCATCATTTCAACCATTATCCGTCCACTGCTGGACATTACACATTATTCCCATAGTTATTTTATCAAAATCGATTTAGTAGTTTAATTTTAATAGAATTAATAGATTTATTAATAAATTCATATATTAAAATAACTGATTTTGAATTTTAAAAGAGGTTTGTTTGAATCGAAGCATTTGGCGTTCCATTGTTTCTGCCTACCCTAATGGAAGACAGGCGTGACAGATATGTATGTAAGTATGTAAAATAACTGATTTTGCCATAATTGAGGTCGGTTCTTTTTATGGGACACAATCTTTAATCATCAATATGTTACAATTACGTAAATGTCTCACTAACCTGGGAATTATTCGCAGTAGCGTTAGGTGTCCAATCAGTGCCGGTTAGGGTTTTATATTGTGCTTTGAGACTCAGAAGGGTTTTTACCTGTGAACAATTAGAAGTCGAACATAAATAATTTTTCAACCGACTTAAAAAAAGAGGTTATCTATACGGTTGTATTTTTTTTTTCGTTTGTTACCTCATATCCCCGTTAGTAATAAACAGATTTGGAAAATTCTTTTTTATCTGAAAGGATATACTTACAAATTGGTCACAAAGGAATTTTATCAAAATTAGTTCAGTGTTTTAGTTTTAAAATCAAAATAACTGGTTATGTGGCAGTTTAAGTCTTTTTTTGTGGAACACCATCTTAATTATATGTAATGTCCCCAAATTGACTTTGGGGACATTATAATTAAGATGTATATTTTAGGGTGGAGGGTGTCATGGGTGACACAGTCGAGGCCATCCAAGACTCTTAATCATGAATGTCCACGAGCTCCAGTCGGGTCATCATTATAATAATTAATTATTTTAAATTTGAACTCAGAACTGTTTTCGTGGCAAAATAACTCATAGTTAATTAAATATTGCTATACTAATATACCTATTAAAAATGTAGTAAAGTTTAAAAAAAAATCTTGACGTTAGAAAAACAATTTAATGGTGTTAAAAAATAACTAATTCTGAAAATTGACATTAGACGAAATAAGTTTGAGAGCACTTGCAGTTAAGTAAAATTGGTACTATTATCCCCAGTGTCTCTTACCTCAGCGTCGACGGCCGCCTTGTCTGCCTTCTCAGCCTTCAACTTCCGTACCTTATCACCCTGCGCTGTGATCTGGGACAACAGTTCACTCACTCCACCGTCGTTCGTCTTTTGCACAGGTGCCGTGTTACCGGGTTTCCATTCCTGTAACATTATTTTGCTATTCAACTGTGTGATCCTGGGATCATAGAATGAATTTACCAGAGGAAGACTTTGTACAAAAGTCATTTGCTTGGGCACCTCTGTCCCATTCGTGCTTCTACCGTGAAGCAGTTGTATTTTCATGGCTGTGTTTTGGTTTAAAGGGTGGGATATCGCAGTGAATTTACAGGGTAAGAAGGAATAACACCTGAGTCCTCAGGAATGGCAACGCATGGCGGGTGTCATGGGCGAAACAGTATACTCTGTTATGCTCATGGTACTGCTCATGCCTATAGGCGACAGTTACCACTTTGTTGTTACATAAAAAAACCCTTGTGTGTATGAGTTGACTAAGGGCACTTAATGACTGAGAGATGGGCAGCAGCGTCTCTTTTAGCAAAATCAACAAAAGCCTAACTGTATTTGCCAATCTGCCTGCCAAGCGTGGCAACTACTGGTAGTACTCCCCTTATGGGGAAGATCTATGTTCAGCAGTTGACAGTTAATACCTGATATGATGATGATGATAAAAAATATTTTATAATAAAAAAAATTATGACATTATTTTTTTTTTCTAAAATGATGGTTCTGACTGAGGATGAAGATTGAAGAAAAAAATTAGAAGTCGTAACCTCTTAAGGAGTTAACGTCACAGCTCAAGGAAGTCGCAAGAAATTCAGGAGACAACTTCTTTCTTAGTTTTGATAATGGATCTATGAGTTTTGTTTACCCACTAGTTCATGTTTTTATAGGATTCATTAATCTAACCTGTCCTGTAGCAGCCTTATACTTCGCTTTGAGGTCCAATAAAACCTTCACTGCTTCATCGATCTTGGCCTTTTCGGCTTTGGCACTTTTGAGCGAACGTACAAGATCACCTTGCTTCGTGATTTCTTGATCCAAATTTCCGGCGTCGCCCGTGGCTGGTGTTTTAGCAGGCGCTGGAGAAGCTCCAGGTTTCCACTCCTAAATGTAAAAAATAAATATTACAATCATTTCCAAGAAGTTACAGCTCTTTAAAATTTCGATTTAAGATTCGATTTAATTTAGTAATCAGTTTATATTCATTTTTTATATGTAACTTAGAATGGCAAACTAGCTGACGGCCCACCTGAAAGAAAGTAGTAACCGTCGCATTTAGACATGAGCAGTACATGGACAGAGTACATAAGTAGTAATATTGTTTCGTTTATGATATCTCCCATGCGTTGCCATTCCTGAGGATTTAGGTGTTATTTCTCTGTACTGTGTAAATGTATATACCGTCAGTTGTAAATCGATTTGGAAAATTATTTTTTATCTGAAAGAATATACTTACAGATTGGTCAAATAAAAATTTAAATAAAACGATTTAGTACGTTTTGCCATAAATGTAGTGTTTTTTTTGTGGAATACAATTAATTATATTTACAAAAAAAAGATCATGCAAAGTTGGTACGGCTTACTAGTACTATATTATACATTTTTTACCTGTCCAGTAGTAGTCTTATATTTTGCTTTAAGATCCAATAAGGCCTTCACAGCTTCGTCGATTTTGGCCTTTTCAGCCTTAGCACTTTTGAGCGAACGGACGAGATCGCCTTGCTTCGTGATTTCTTGATCCAACTTCACGGCATCACCTGTAACTGGTGTATTGGTAGGCGCTGGAGATGCTCCAGGTTTCCATTCCTGAATGAAATGAATAAAAAAATTATAATAAATAATTTATTTACACTTTATTGCACAATTTATAAAGTAAGTGATACAAAAGGCGGCTTTATGGCCAAGAAATTTCTTTCAGACAATCTTTGGGTAGAGGACATTGTGAAAAAGACAGAGGGTAATGTTCTAAATGAACCTTTTTTACATATACTGACAATTATAGTTTTTTTATAAAAAAGAAAATTTATAAACAATTGAAATAGAACAAAATATATATTCAATACAGCAAACAATTAATATAAATAATAATATTATACATACAAAAACCAGCATATTTTACAAACATGTAATATAGAGGTAATATAAGGGTAATATATTTTAATGCTTAGCCTTACTAATATTATAAATGTAAAAGTGAATTTGTTTGTCACCTTTTTACAGTTTAAACAATCTCTATGAAATTTGGTATACATGTATTATATAGTATGGACAATGATATAGGCTACTTTTATCCCGGTCAGTAAACATATTCCGATTACGCAAACTGAAAAAAAAAAAAAACTAATAATGAATATATTTAAATATCATAATCATCATTTCAGCCATTATCCGTCCGCTGCTGGACACAAGCCTCCCCCATAGACTGCCATAAAGAACGGTCCCGAGCCATGCATCTACTGACTTCCTACAATGCATTTCAGGTCGTCATTCCATCTAGTGGGGGATCGTCCTACACTGCGTTACACACCTGTACTGCTCAGTTTGCTCCCACTTATCAGGCTATTTCTCTGCTCAATTCTCTGATTGCTCAGCAGCCAGATATTGATATATTTAATGACAAAATAGGCATATTTTTAAACTGTTGTACAAAATTTGTATGTTTGTAAAATAAACCTATGGCTTTGGGAGACTGTAAGTGTGGTGAGTAATTTTTAAATAAATAAATAAATATGGTCGAATAAAATACCTAACTTGGCGTAACGTAAACCTAATTAGAACTCATTGTAATTAAACACTACAAGTTCACTGTAATGATTACATGATATTAAATATCTAATATATAGTGTAACGACATGACTCATGTTCTTTAGAAGTTATTTATTGTTACGAATAACAAACTTGGTTTATTAAAGTAAATTAATAAGAATTAAGTTTTCTTCAGGGTCGATAACGTTACGTCATACCCATAGTGTTGCAGGCGTCCATAGATTACAGTAATCGTTTACCATCAGACGGGCTGCATGCTTGTTTGCAACATCCATGGTATAAAAAAATATGTTATGGGTCGGATTAAAAGTTTCCGTTACAGCCGGTATGAATATTTGGATACAATATGATGGTTTCTGAGAACCTGCTTTTTTTTACCTGCATTCTTTTATTAACTAGCTGACTCGGTGAACTTTCTATCACCTAATTTCTAACGCAATCTATTAAAAGAATTTCGAAGTAGCAATTACTATACACAATTACCTATTTTATTCAGTTCAAAGTACAATAGGTCTGATATAGCTCAACAAGGTATACAACAACAAGGTAACAACAACAACAACAACAACAAGCCCTTAAGAATAAAAAAAGTTTTAAGCTGAACTTTAAGGTTTTTTTTTTCTTTATTTGTCTAACCCTGCATTTCAAAAAATAAAACGAAAAAACAATCAAATCGATCAAGCTGTTTTTGAGTCTTAGAGTGTTTAATGAACGGCGATTCTTTTATATATATATATTCGTATAAAAATTATATCCAACTAGTAAACAAACTGATAATTTATAGAAAGCAATATCGCTGTTTATGACTTATAAGTCATAAACAATGATATTGCTTAGATATTAATTAGAGACATGACAAATATCATAGGAGAATATACTGGGGTCGATTCTGAGAAGCTATTTCTTTAATAACCAAAATTAAAATATTAATTTCATATCACAGCAAAATCTTTATTGTAAGGCTCAATATGGACTAAATTTCTAATTAATTTAAGCCAATCAGCACATAGTCGATTCCCGTCTATCTGTCCCTATGTACGCTTAGATCTTTAAAACTACGCAACAGATTTTGATGCAGTTTTTTTAATAGATAGAGTAATTCAAGAGCAATGTTTATATGTATAATACATGCATAATATAGTAGAGGAACACTGATAATTTTAGAGGTTTCTAATGTAACGTCGTAATGTAATTGGGGGGCTTGCGGCGTTATTAAGTATCAGCATTGCACCCGTGCGAAGCCGGGGCGGGTCGCTAGTAATATTAAAATTTTAGTTTATGATGATCCATATAACGGTAATTTCTCGAACTCACTTTTCATACTTCTAACTGTGGTCAGTAAACATATCCAAGTTATGCGCACGAAGACGCAGGAAAAAGCTAGTAGCGCTATAAAAACATGCCGATACACATATTCGTGACCTAGCCTTATAGTAACGTTCTTCAAACACTGCACACTTTGCAATTTCATCAATAAACTTCTCATTTAATTTGAAACTGCAAATGGATGCATTTTACACACACTGCCTACGTATGTATAATACTTACCTATTTACCACATCAATACTGCGTAAATTGTCAACTTTGGTGTACAAATTTTTAATAAATAGAATCATTTATTTGTTATTGTTAACATTACTAGCTGTATCCCACGGCATCACCTGTGTGTATCATAGTATAACAAGCTAACGGCCCACCTGATGGAAAGTGGTAACCGTCGCCTATATGAGCAGTACCATGGACATAATATACTGTTTCGTCCATGATACCCCCCATGCGTTGCCATTCCTGAGAACTCAGGTGTTATTCCTCTGTACCCTGTAAATTCACGTCATATCCCACCCTTCAAACCGAAACACAGCCATGTAAACACAACTGCTTCACGGTAGAAACACGAATGAGACAGAGGTACCCAAGCAATCGACTTTTGTACAAAGTCCCCCTTTGGTAGTCTAGTCTGTATTGATGGTGTTAAATGTTTTGTTCTAAAGCCGTCTCGTGAATTAAATAAAATCCACGTGAAGGTCGACTTGACAGGGTATATTGCTAGCACTATACAACTGAATCATCGTAAATTTTTTATTTATAATGTTACTAACCTGGCCAGTGGCAGCTTTGTACTTGGCTTTAAGATCCAATAAGGACTTGACGGCCTCGTCAATTTTACTCTTTTCGGCTTTTGCGGTCTTGAGAGAGCGGACCAAGTCGCCTTGCTTGGTGATCTGCTCGTTGAGTTGAACAGCGTCGGAAACAGCAGGCGCAGATTGCTTAGACTGAGTAGTTTGTACTGGTTTTGGCTGTGAACAAAAATTCACAAAGTAAATAAAACTTCACAGCAAGTATATTTTTACAAACAGATCGTCAGATGGATCACCAAATTCAATTGGTGACAGAGTCAACTTTTGTCAACCTGGCAACAAGGTCAAAGACCGGTCAAGTACGAGTTGGGCTCCCTCGTTGAGGGTACCATAGATAAACCAGAGGGAGACTTTGTACAAAAGTCGATTGCTTCGGTACCTCTGTCCCATTCGTGTTTCAACCGTAAAGCAGTTGTGTTTGCATAGCTGTGTTTCGATTTGAAGGGCGGGATATGGCGTGAATTTACTGGGTACGGAGGAATAACACCCGAGTCCTCAGGAATGGCAACGCATGGGGGGTATCATGGGCGAAACAGTATACTCTGTTATGTCCATGGTACTGCTCATGTCTATAGGCGACGAATACCACTTTCCATCAGGTGGGCCATCAAGATCATGGCTTGTTTGCCATTCTTAGTTGTATAAAAAAAAAAGAATGCACAGTATGTTTATAACAAGCAAGTGGTTATTTCGTTTCGATTACGATCTTACTACAATAAATAATTAAAACGCTGTTTATCGAAACAGTGTTTAACAAATCTCTGTTTAAAAAGACTAAATATTATTTAGTTCATATAACAATGGTTACTTGTAATTTAATGTATCAAAATCTATAAATTATATAAATATAATTTCACCTCTCTACAGATTTATTATAAGTATAGAGTATAGATAGAAGATTATTTCCTACACCTACCTACCACACCAGGAGGACAGCACAATACGTATAAAATGAGGGGAAAGGGATTGTTAGTAATGGAGATTGAGAATCCTATTGCTAGCAATATATCCAACCAGGTCGACCTTCTCGCAGTTCTCCCTGGAAACTATCAAGATTAATTCCTGATGAATTCCTCATGATGGGCTTACTGGCCTGTTTTCATTCTCATCTATCACCCTTCACTGGTGCTCTGCCAGCGTATCCCGTTAGCGCAGGCGGGATTATCATACCATTTTCACCCATCAAAAAAAAAATACGTATAAAATAAATATGTATATAAAAAATACATCGAAAGACCACGAGAAATAAAACCACTAACTAAACAAACGTATTAAAAATTTGCAATTATCATAACATAATACAAATCAATCGGAGCGGTACTTGGAAAAAATATTTTTGCTATATACCTACCGTTCCGATTCATTTGTACTAGCATTCTAAAATCTATTGAAAATTAAAATATATCTAGTTAATAATATATGATATAAAATGGCTACCTTATTGAATGTATTTTTTGTAAGAGGGTTGACGTCAGGCAGGTGGCCGGTCGTAAAACTAAAAAACCAAATCTTTTTGTAATATGGATAAAATCATATTACGCCGACCCCAAATGATTGAGATAAGGGTAGAAAGATGATGATGATGATTGAATGTATTTTTAAATGCAATGGACCCCTAACAAATACTATTATTGTTGTTATTTCAATTAGTATTATCGTATTGAGGTTGTAAATGTGAAATTAAGTTTCTCTTTGAAATTTTTTTAAAACAATCTTTGTATTTTTCCTATAATATTTATATATACCTTTATAAACAATTATTTTAGACTGTTCGTTTCATAAACTTCGGAGATAATGTTTTTTTTTTCTTATATTTTGAATCATAACTAAAAAACCATGTAGCATAAAAATAAATAAAAATCAGTTTTTAACTGCAGAGTGTAGAGAGAGAGAGAGAGGTAATAAATTTTAAATTTAGAAGTTTTGAAACAATCGTCTCGAAAAGTAATGTATACCTATGGGTTCATATTCAGCAGCGGGACGCTGTCCTTCTCAAAACATCTCTAAAAGCCTAATTGCGGTTGCTGACCCGTTTACCAAGCCAAGGGAAAGGCTTCTCTTCAGCAGTGGATAGTTAAGAACTAATATAATGATATAGACAGGCATGAACAATAAAAAAAATACAATTCCATAACCGATACCCCCCAAAAACAAAGTTAAAAATAAAATTTTAAGTATCTACTAACAAGCTTAAGTAACTTTTAAATAAAAATACGTAATTTATTTTTAAATACATCTAAATATTAAATGCTTTACCTTAATATGAATTAAAAAGAAATTAAATATAACACGTGTCCACAGAATATATGGGCTTACTAAAGCGAAGAGGATCGCAAACGAGATTACAAGACGCGTGACCACGTTACTTTCTAAAATATATTATAAGTAGGTATATAACTGAACCGGTCTCGTAAATATATCAAAGTCCATTGCTGCTATTTAGATCAGTAATACAATTCGATATAAAACAATGAAATCATTGGATGTTACGTACTAAGATATTATCTTGACCACTTAAAGGTACTTATGACTATACAAATATTGATAGGAGAATTTTTTTTAGTGGATAATAATGGAATGGTAACCGCGCCTGCGCTATCGGTATACGATGGCGAATTAGTAAAAGAAGCAAATCGAAATATCAAGCTTATAGCAATTCTCCAACTATTGTGGTAATGGGGAAGGTAGTCCCCACGGCTAGTAAAATCTGTGCCTCTAGTGAGAAAGGGTATAACTCAAGTTATAGCCTTTTTCTTTTTTAGGCTACTTTAAATAAGCAAATTTTTCTCTTTCGAATGGTATAAGAATCGTAACGATATCTTTAAAAACAATAGAGATAGTAAACATGTAAAAGGCTACAATTAACAAAATATTTGTGGTAAAAAAGTCATAATTAGAAATAAAACTACAATATTTTACAAAAATTATTTTTGTAAAATGAATCAGTTCGATTTGAACCCTTTTACACCATTTAATAGCGATTATTTTTTTATAGCGTAAAATACACATCATTGTTTTTCTTCAATACTTCAATAAAATAGTTTCAATTCAACTTAAAACTATTTTCACATCATAATTTTAATATTTTTGTTAAGTGTGATTAGGTATAATAGAATTATTTTTAAAACTATAGGTTTTACACAAAAACCGACAATTTCATAAGAAAGAGGAGAAAAAATTACTATAAATGCAATCATTGACTTGTTCAATTAGCAAATAATAAAAGCAGGAGATTTTTTTTCTTTATTTAAAATAGTTTTTTGGCTCTCCTGAAAAGTGACCATTTTGAATTGAACCCTTTCTCACTAGAGGCACAGAAATATCCAGTTAGGTCGACATCCACTCGGTCTCTCCAAAAAACTATTGATTAATTAATTTTTTTGTCTCTTTATGAGTCTCTTGTCTTTTTTTTATACTAATCATTTTGTCAACTTCAAAGATAAAGGAATCTACAACAATAATTCACATTTGAAGAGACAGAGAGAAATGTTCGATTCCCAGAAAGATTCCAAACGTGACGTAAACAAATACGTAATATCGGCTGATTTCTATATATATATATTTTTTGTGCAAATTTGACAACAATTTTTTGAATAGAGCGTAATATCTTTCTTAATAAGTATGTAGGTAGTTTTGCGAATTAGGTACCTATTGACTGAGGTAGACGCAAAAAAAGCGCGCGCTCCGGACATCAGCAAAAAATAATTACACACACCAATTCACAGAAGTACAACATTTATGTCTACGCGTTGTTTATTTCGAATTGTGCTGTTCTTTTAATATGTAGAAATGCTGAATTGTAATTACAAGAATTGCGCTCTTATAAAAGTAACACGATATCATTACGTAGCTACTACCTAAGACTGTTTATAATATTTTGTTATAATCAAAGCATTTTGTATTCGATATTCATATTTAGCCTTTTCAATAATTTGGTTATTATTATTTACCCTTTAAAATAAAAGGGGTAGCGAAGAAATTAGGTACTATGAGTATTCTTGATATTTTATAATATTAAGTCTTAGTATTACGTATTAAATACTGTAAGTAATGTCAACAAAATTAAAGTTTTTTTTATTTTATTTTATACTTTATGATTAGGATCGATTGGTTCTAATTTAGCCTGTAAGATTTGCTCTAAAGAAAATAAATAATAAACACTATACGATATCGTAGACGGCTACAGTAAAGTACACTCAGGTAGGACGAAAAATTTCATACCTGGGTAAAACGTTCATTTGCAGTTCCACAGTGGAACTGCACGAAAATAACATGAAGGTTTATGATAAAAGGTGCAAGGAAGAAAGGTTCTTGAGGGGCGACCCCGTACGGGCAAACGCAGTGTAGGACGACCTCCCCCCCCCAACTAGATGGAGTGACGACCTCAAATGCATTGCAGGGAGACAGTGGATGCAGGTGGCTCAGAACCGTTCCTTATGGCAGTCTATGGGGGACACCTATGTCCAGCAGTGGACGGATAATGGCTGAAATGATGATGATGATAGTAAAGAATAAAATCGTCCAAACTACGTTAACGCAAAAACGCACGCACAAATGTACTTGCTTCGGCAGTACATATACTAAAAACACGCACGCACACACATACACATAGGCTTCTTTTTATTCTGGTCAAACGGACGAAGTCGCGGCTAAAAACTTCTAGTAAAGTTATAATATAATATAACGCACTGTCTCGAACAGTCACGAACACTTACCAACGCTGACTATGTAATAACAACAATAACATTGGGTGACCTACCTATACCGACATTAGTGCTATCAATATTAGCAAAAAAAGTTGTGGTAATGGGGACGGTAGTCCCATTGTTAATAATATAAGCTGTTAAATCGACCTCCACGGGATTCCCTCTGGAACTATACTGGTTAGTTCATGGTGAATTCGCCACAATGGGTCCATCACTAAGATCTTCCTTCTCATCTATAATCCCCTACTGGTAGGTACCACCAGCGATCGTAAATACAATAGCCTAAGTTACCGGGGTGGGGGAGAGATGGGTTAAGGAATTGTTAATAATGAAGACTACCTGTTCCATTGACAGCAATCAGGTTGACCTACACGGGGTCCCTGGAAACCATCGTGCTGTATTCCAGGTATATTCATCATGTCTACTACATATTAGCCTACTAACTGACGTGCCTTTTCATTCGTGCCCCGCCAGCATATACCGTTAGCGCAGGTGGGGCTACTATTCCATCATCATTTATTAAGAAAAAAAAAGTAAACCTACCGTTTTATTTGCACCCATTTAAAAAAATCCATTTGTTACAAACATTATCCGTCAGTAACTGTCACAGGTAACTTGTTACTAGCTAACATGGATATGACAGGGGGAAAGGGATTGTTAGTAATGGAGACTGAGAATCCCATTACTAGCAATATACCCAACCAGGTTGATCTCCTCGCGGTTCTCCTTGGAAATTATCATGGTTAATTCCTGATGAATTGATCATGATTTCATTCTGGCCTGTTTTCATTCTCATCTATCACCCTTCACTGGGTTACCATACCATTTTCACCCATAAGAAAAATAAAAATAAAAAAAAAAACATGGATATGACCTATCCGGTATCTACACCATTAAGATACAGGATAGTATTCCATTACCTTACTAATATAACAAAATTATAATTGGATGATGTCTGTATATGGAAGATATTTAAGAAAATAATTAAGATTGCATTGTGGCAAAGTCAGTTACTTCTTATTTAAAAGCTACTGAACCGATTTAAACAAAATGTCTATGGTACTAATCTGAAACTAAAACAATAATTTTTAGAAATTTTATCTGTACGTTTGTTCTGGAATCACGCAATAACTGATATTCACGCATATGAACTAATCGGCAAAGAGTTACAAAATAAATGAACTAAATTCAAGAACTCATGATTTAATTCTCAACTCAAGTCATCAATGACTCAGACTTAACAGTTTTTTTTTTATCTATCTAACAAACACTAAAAACAAAATAAATGTTATCAAAAGTACCTGAACAAATGTATGTAAAATATAGTTAACTACTTACACTTATATGTATATTAAATGCAGTTCCTGAAGAACTAACTCAAAAATTGGTGTATGTTTTATTTCAATATGCCATCTAAAAGTGGTCTATTTCATTGGCTTACCTGCTTCTGAAAACTACGCAAGTTGTTATTTATAAATAGCAAAATAGCAAATTTATAGCTGATTAATCGTTTACAAAGACATAAGGATAAACGGAACGCATCAGATAAATGTCATAACTGTCAGAGCTGGAGAAGTCAGCGAAAAAAAATTAAGAAATATTTTTAATTTGACCCGCCAATTTTATTGTTAATTTTTTTCTATAATTTAATGGTTTCCAATAAGTATTCGTATACGTTGCTCATCCATGTTTCTGAATTTAATCTTGTTAAGTTGATAAGTAATTGCTATTGTTTACAATTTCAAATACATATTGGAAAGTACACTGTCTACACAATAATTTGTTCGCAACTTTTATTATAACTATTTTATTGCTGAATCGCATATAGTTTAAAAAGATCGACATTAAACTATTAATCGAACTATTTTTACGCAAAAGGTAAGTAAGTGGGTAGATAAGTATAGTAATTAATATTAGTACTATATACTTTGTTAAAAGTTCTTTTTACCATCACTTTTTATTTAATTATTATAAGATTTATTTCATGATTTTAAGACGTACTTTAATATTATTTTTAATTTATCGTTTGTTATAATACCTACTACATATACTGATCGGAAGTAACATCTATAATTTTCAATTTTACATTGACTATAAAAAAGTAAGTACCTACTTTCTAATATAAAAATATGGAGATGGTAACTCATTAGTATATAAAATAATTAATCCTTACTAATATATGCACATATTACTAATATATCCTTAATAATACATACATGAATATGTTTGTTATATTTTGGTATTTTAATGCCTTATAAAATTTTGTATATTTGAGATGGAGAAGAACTTGGCTCTTATTTAGATAAATCAACATAGCCCAGTAATGTCGATGATATTGTGGGCATAAACTAGTAACTACTTAATCCTACTACTACTTATAAATGGCAAAGTTTGTAAAAATGGATGGATGTTTGTTATTTGTTCATGCAAACCTATTGAATGGATCGAAATTAACTTTGGTATATCAGTAAGTTATATCCTAATTTAGCATATGTGATATTTTATAAACTGATTCACACAAGAGAGGCTGTGGGATACAACTCTTACTTACTTTAACTAGATTCCAATTGTATTAAAAAAAATATATATTTTATATCTAGTAAACAAATATTTAACATGATTAATTAATCTAATTAGTTTTACTTAGATATATCTACTAAAACAGCAATACTACTATCAATACAAACATGGAAAATGATGATATTATAATTATTGAATGTGGCGAGTTACCAAAACCAATCAAAGTCTCAAATGTAAAAAAGAATAAACAAGAAAGATATGTTACATGGAACAAACATGGTAACACAGATACTTTAGTTGTTACTCAACAAGTTAAATTCAAGAAACAGAAATATGGAGTCATCGTGAATGTTAACACTAGCGTATCAGAGAACAAAGTAATGAAACCAAAGAAAAAGTATTGCAAAAGGTGTAAGAATAACTATTCCACAATGAACAGAGAATCTTGCCTAAACAGAGTAGTACCAAATTGTTTGAGAAAAAATTGTCAGCATATTATAAAAACTAAGATTGAAAGTAAAAAAAAATATTGTAATAAAAAAGTTGGTACCTATTAATAATATTATTCTTTTTATATTTAAAAAAGTAATTTAATGTAATATAATAACATTTTTTATAAGTCGAATTTAAGTGATTTATAAATAAGAATTAAATTTCTTCCAGACTAAACAAGAACATAAATGTAACGAACAAACAAAGAAACTATCTAAAGATTTATCAAATATCCTATCACCTATATCTTCTTCACCTTTGAAAAATGATCACATGCTTTTGTCACCAAAAGCACAAAACATATCCTACGAAGATATTAGTCTAAATAGTCTTGAGAACTATTCAGACAACAAAATTGATATCCTGATAAAGAAAGCCAAACTTGTAAGATTTTATTTTAGATATTGTTGTATTTTAGATATTAAATATTTTATTTCAATTATTTCTTTAATGATATGTAGGTAGATAAAAATATATATTAAAAGAAGTCTTCTATGATCAACCTTACACATCTAGGTGTACACATGTATATATAAAAAATATACTTGTTTATTTATGTTTAAAAATGCTCATTTTTCATGGGACAGGTAAGTATGAAAAAGGAATAGTTTCAAATAGCTAAAATGTTTTAAATCAAATCTAGAATCAAATGTGATTTTAGCAGCAATTTTAAAAATCACATTCTAGTGGATAGTTCAACTTCTATATAGAATCTACCTTTTAAATTCCAGCTTCATAAATAAAAAAAAATTAACTGTTAATAATAAAATTTTATCTATTTCATATATTAATTACTATAAGCCACATTAAAAAAACAAAGTAGTCACTAGATTATTTCATATTTATATCATAATTAATAATTATTTAAACACAAAGAACTAACAAAAATTTTAATATTTTATAGAGAGATAATAAAGATAAGCACCCATATAACTTTTATGAAAAGCCACTGAATATTAGCACACCCAAACATGTGGTAGAATATATGAAACAGGAAAATACATCGTTTGATTCAGAAAAAGATGTCTCCATAGATTCATCCAATGTATTGTCAATTCTAGAGCTAGTAGACAGTGTGATAGAGGACAGAATAATATAATTTATCAAACAATAACATCAATATTGAAATATTCTTTAAAGAAGAAATCTTCCTACCGATAACTTTTCCTACTGACATAACATTTGTAAAAGATGGAACATGTAAAGAAGATCTCAAACGTGTTACAGAATTGGCAGATGGTAAATAAACCTATGTTAAATTCAATAAAATTGAATTGTTACTAAATGTTAAATTAGAAAATAAAGTATATCATATTTGATTTTTATATTTTTTACTATCTTGTATAGTAAACAATTTTTCATTGTACAAATTACCTAAGTCACATTTTTTGTTTTAAGCACTCTGATTAATAATGTACCTACTTATTTTGATTTTTAATCTAATTACTGTATTATTAAGTAAAGAGGATCAATGTTTGAAGTTATTGTTTTTTTTTTTTATTTTATTACTTGATTTATCCTTATTGTAGTTTATCGTGTACCTCTCCCTCCTTTTCATATGTCATTGCACCTAATTACCGTCATAATTTATAGGCAGACATTTTCTTTAAATATTTTCTAAGTATAGATGTAGAAGTTTACAAGTAGGTACCTACTAGACAGAAAGGATAATAACGGGGACTAGCTTCCCCTTTGCTAGCAACATACCCTGTCAGAACGACCTTTACGCTCCCCACCCCCTTCTCTCCCATGTGAAAACCATCGTGGTGAAGTTTTGATGAATTCGTCACAGAGGGCAAGCAGGGTTACCATTGCCTTATGGAGTTACGAGATGATTAAGGGGGAAGGGATTATTAGTAATGGGGATTAGTAGCTCCGTTAAAAGAAATGGGACAGTTAGTAGTGCAATTTAATTTCCTAGTTTTTTCTTCGTACAAATCAGCATTGTTTTCAGCAGTTATATATATATATATATATATATATATATATATATATATATATATATATATATATACACTTGGTCATAAATAATACGAAATCTAATTAGAACTTTATTTATAGGGAAATTAAAGTACCTACTATGGGCTAATAATAAGGATGTTTGACTATGCATTTAGATAAATAGGTGCCTATTTTTTTATAGCTGAAAATGTAATGGTAACCCCGCCTGCGCTATCGGTATACTCTGTGTTTTCATTTCTGTGTAAACAAAAATATTTTTAATGATTCTTAAATCGCCGTAATTTAATAATAATAAACTATATGCAGCAAAGTTCCGTTTATCCAAATCGCGTTTTTATAAAATCCGCTTTATGCAAACACATTATTACGTATTTTTCCTTACACGTTTTCATATATGTACTCTATCAACCAGATAAATTACGCGACTTAAGAGTAAGTAATTAAAACTCCATTTTTCCCCCGCTATCAAATAAGCTTTTTTTTTATTCTGTAAGAACTCAAACGAACTTTGTTACTTTAAAATTTCGAATTTTATCATATTTTAGCGCCTTCTTAACATGCCACACAAAATTTTCGATCAAAAACATGCAGGCTTATTAACAACCATATCAAGAACATTCTAAGCACATTTTACAATCATATTATATTGACGCAATTTAAAAAGTTTCAGCAAACTTAAGTTTATCTAAAATTTTCGTTATCCGAACCAGGCGTCGTCCCGATTATTTCGAATAAACGGGGCATTAGTGTATTTAGATCTTGTTCATAAATTCAAATTAGGGCCATTATATGCAGTAGGCAGAGAGGACTGGGCTTGATTGATACATAAAAATACTGAATATCAAAAATAAATGCAACCTACCCACATAGTAATTCTTTTGACACTTACCTACCGTTTATAATTCCTTTAAATATCAATGTCTATAACCATCAAATAAATAATTTATTGTCACGTCAAAACAGCCTCAGATCGCAGGCACTATCCTTAACCTATGCCCCAGATTAATTGTTTTCAATAATTCGATTAAATTTCAAAAGTGACAAATGTCTAAATCTTCATTTGGATTGCTCATTGAAGCCTGAGTGTTGGTACGGCCGTTATCATCAATTGTTCGTTTGTTCATAGGTAATCAATTTTAATTTACTAATAGTTAAATAAATGTCTATATAATATACATCTTGTTCACGCTAAGAGCACGTTGAAATTGAGATCTGTATAATTTGCATTTTGCATCGTTTGCATTATATTTTGCAGTCATTTCTCTCGCTCGCATTCTGTCGCCGGTAACAATGTCAAAACGCAGACATAAGTAGGTATTTTCGAATTTATTGTAATAGAGGTACCGTTTCATTAATACTAAGATTAATTTATTATTTTAAGGTACTTATGTTTTGACAAAGTATTTAATAATAAAATATTTACTTAGGTACTAACTTGTAATTTTACTTTTACCACTAATAATAATAAATATAATTGTTATAGGAAAGATGTCCAAGGATTATTTTAGTACATATAAAAGTCCAAACATTGTACTAACAATGCCATTTTGCGACGGCCCTCCTGCTAAGAAGTTTAAATGCAACCAAGACACGAGCCGGGCTCCAGTGGAATATAACGAAGCAAATCGTGCAGTCGCTTCTTTGCGGGAACATGCTACGGTGTCGTCAGATGCAATTAGTGCAAATATAGAAAACGCAAATATTGTGCAGGTAAACGATAAGCCAATTGAAGCTTTACAGACCATTGGAGAATCCCAGGATACAGTTTTAAATGTAAGTTAATATTTCTTTTTTTTTTCTCAGATGTGGGTCATTCAATTTGTGTGAAAAATGATTATGTAAAATTATTGATATTGTATGTACAAATATCATTAATTAATTGAACAATTTTATTTCTAGATATATAAAATACTATAATAATAAAACTTTTATTTTTTACTTTTGTTCATTATTTATAATTAAGTATTTATAATAATGCTTAGATATTTTTTTAGAAATATCTAGATAAGTAAATAACTGTAAAAAAAAAAAACTAAGTATTACCTATAATATAATTTGTGTAAAATTTATTTATCATCTTTTCTGATTGTTAATTGCCAATAAATATAGATTGCAGTTTAGGTATATTGAGGTCGATTGCGTCTTGTATTCTTTAAACTTATCTATAAAAACTAAAAAAATAAAAACAATTAAATTCTAATTGAAATTTATTATAGATTTAATTCACATTAGTCTTCAGAATAAAATTTCACTGCAGCGTGAGACTGAAATCGATTGCTTGGGTACCTCTGTCCTATTCGTGTTTCTATCGTGAAACAGTTGTGTTTGCATGGCTGTGTTTCGATTTGAAGGGTGGGATATGGCGTGAACTTACAGGGTACAGAGGAATTATATCTGAGTCCTTAAGAATGGCAACGCATGGGGGGTATCATGGGTGAAACAGTATACTCTGTTATGGTACTGCTCATGTCTGTAGGTTGTTTGCCATTCTAAGTCGTATACAAAAAAAAAAAAATTAACGACCCCATTATTTGTTGTAAACAATTCTAAAATATTTTTTTGCAATTTAAACATATTCCGCTATCACGTAAAATCTACTGCACCAAATTAGATGCGTTTTTCAAAATTGTGTTCCTAAATGCCTACTTAAAAACTACTGTATATTTTATATGTCATATAGAAGTGGTCTTTTTAATCTTTTTTTTTTTTTTTATTCTGAAATCTATGCGTACGAAGTAGCAGACAAAAAGCTAACATATATGCACATCTGTGTATGTATTGTATATGTAATTTAAAATGTTACTCCTAAACTTTATAAGTACAAATATTATTTTCAACTGATTTAAAAAAAAAAGTTTTTCAATTCCGTTATATTTTTTATGTTTGTTACTTCATAACTCCGTCAATTGTAAACCGATTTGAATTTTGTTTTAACCTGAAACCATTTATGTACAAATTGATTCTATAGAAATTTTATGTTAATCAGTTTAGTAGTTAGTAGTTTAGTTTTAAATCAAAAGAACTGGTTTTGACACAAATGTAGTCGGTTTTTTTATGAAAGAGAATTGAATATTTTTACAAAATACAATTGGAACTTTAATTTTTATTATATCTACTTTAATTAAAAGGAAAGATAGAGATACTATTAGTATTATTCAGATAGATAGATACTCTTTATTGTTTCCTCCATAAGATTACAATATATATTACTGTACATATACATACAAGAAAATATATATACAATATATTATAAATACAAGAAAATATTTACACTGAGGAAACAACGGGCGGCCTTATCGCTAAGTACGATCTCTTCCAGGCCTTTGGATGAAGACGAAGAGTAATTATAAACAGTTTGACTGTAGGCACGAAACTCTGTTTTTTTAATACACTTTTTTAATATACTTACCATACCATTTTCACCCTTCAAAAAATACACATAACACAAGATATACATATACAATAAATATATAAATACATATACATATGTAGTTACAAAAATAAAAAGAATTTGAGTATGTTACTCAGACAAACAAATTACGAATATAATAACTTGCTCAGATAGAAGTTCTTAATTTTTGTTTTAAAACTTGGAGGTACTGTATAGTTTGTACAGAAGTTGGTAGTCTGTCAAAAAAATTCTGAAATGTACTGGTGTCTTTGGTTACTATTTACTGTTTACAGTAAAGTATGTGAATTAAATTTAATAATTTTTTTTTATGCAACTTTGAATAACAAACGTGCATGGTGTTATACGATCATCTACGGGATATGTGAACTTATTACAATATATATGTAATAAGTTAACAGAGATTTAAAACAGGAACTGTTAAGTTTCTTGTGGGCTTGTAAACAAGTCTAATTGAATAAAGACGATTTGAATGGCAAACAAGCTGATGGCCCAACTGATGGAATGTGGCAACCGTCGCTTATAGACATGAACAGTATCACAGACATAACAGAATATACGGTTTCGCCCATGATACCCCCCTCCCCACTTGCGTTGTCATTCCTGAGGACTAAGTGTTATACGTTTGTACCCCGTAAACTCACTGCTATATCCCATCCTTCAAACTGAAACGCGAACGGTACAGAGCTACCCAAGCAGACTACTTTTGCAAAGAAGAGTACAGCTTATTCTGATAGTAAACGATCATTGTTGTATCAACGTCTACAACATCAGGCATAATAATCTTACATCTTTCTATTATAATAAAATTCTATTTAGACTGCGTCTCTACATGAAAGATAATAAAGATGTCTTAATAAGAGTAATAGAAGCAAAAACAACAAATTTTGGACAATGGGACTAAGGTACCCAAGCAAATGACTTTTGTACAGTCTTCCTCTGGTATAGTATGTAGGTACTATGTTAAAATATAAGATACATAAGATAATTAATATATTGGTAAGTATATAATAAGTAATAAGATATATCAGACGTTAGATTGTATTGGTATAAAATGTACTAAATTGTGCTACCGACGATACATAAACATATATTTTTGCTGTGTTATTTGTTTGCAATTAACTACTTTAGCATAATATGATGCCTATTTTATTAGATAAAACGCTTTGTTATTTGATTTTGTTTGATATATGGTAGTATCAAGTAACTGACGCAAATATATTAAAATATTTAGGAGGCCTTTAACATTTTTCTGCTTAAAGCAACGAAAAAAACAAAGTTATTGGGGTGCTGGTTCTAAAGAATTAAGGATTTGGTATAGGTTTTGATTGGTGAATTGTATAGTCGGATTTTTATCTTAAAGATGGCACTTTTTACCTTTTACTTTGTTCATTATTATATACTGTCTTTTTTAATTTCCAAAGCTGTATGTAAAAAAATTCAATCATTCAAGGGGTCGTCATTCATTATTATACTGATCTAAATTAGGTACAGTATTGTCATTTAAACTTATTCTCTAAATTTAGATTGTGTCCATATTTTTTTTTTATTTTCAACCCAAATACTATAATAAATAAATCGATCTTAATTAAACTCATCTTTTAACTTAAAAAAAAAATCATTAAGTATATATATAATTGTTTATTCCGTTGAATGTCAATAATCAATGGTATCCCCTGTTTGCTCTCTTACACATATTTCCGGGTACGTATTCGGTATTCTATACATTTTCTAGGTAAATTCGATGTAAATAGAATACTGGTTTATTCAGTTTGCCGGTAATATATATAACACAAGTTCTTTACATGTAAATCAGAAAATAAATAACAGCAGGAAGCAAATTTTGGAGCACACAAAGTGTAATATTATTTTTAAATATATGAATTATCATTTAATGATAATATAAATTGACACCTTTACACCAGTGAAAAGCCTACTAAAAGTACTTTTCATTCACTGTTTTGTGATTGAATTGTCCTTTTTTTTTTGTTTGTATATGAAAAAGATTATTCATATTACTTTACATTTGTTCAACATTTTATTACGAGTTTACAAACTCGAATACACTCATGCGGAATACTGTTATAGGTATTCTTGTTTTTGACCTGTTATAAATGTTAATTACTATGTTTTTACAATTTCAGCAAAGCATTTCGTTAAATCAAGAACCATCTGTGAGTTATAAAAGTAGTTTTGAAACATCAACACAAGCTGTGCCAAACTTATTAGCATGCGATAAAACCTGTATGGATACAGAGTCTCAGAATCAAAACAGTATAAACATGTATAAAAATCCTCTTAAAAATTTTGTTATACCTAAAATTACACATAATCAGGAAAGTGCTCCTCATAAACTATCAAAGTATTCGGATATAAGTAACGATATTTCTACGAATAATTCAAATAATCTAAAAGAAAATAACACGGACTTAAACCAAGATTCCATAAAGTCTAAAAAATATATAAAGGGGTCAAATTATATAAAGGGGTCTAAAAAAAATAGCGATTCGAAACCAACTAAAAGACTTAATAAAAGTAACACTGAAGAAACAACATTACGAAATCCTAAATGTTATAAAAAAAATAAACTGTCTAAAAGTATTAAAAAGGAATCCGCTGAACTAAAATGTAAAAAAGGTTTAACGGTGAAAAAAATTCATGATAAAACTAGGAAAAAAGAATCTTTAGTTCCCGAGTCCTCTATGAGTGATAATGACAGTTCTCAAACATTGAAACAGTCTATACCAAATCTTTTACAACACAATGAGTCTTATGTTAATACAGAGTGTAATAATTTAAAAATATATAAAAATCCAGAAAACAAATTTGTTATACCAAAACGAAAAAACAATTTAGACATCTCATGCTCCGATAAAAATAACGGAAAATCCATAAATGATGGTGACAATGATAAAAATAAAATAGATTTAGACCAAAATTTTACGAAAACAACTAGCAGTTTGGTCAAGAACGACAAGGGAATGAATAAATCAATATGTTATTCGAAATCAAATTACACAAAAGATTTTATAAAAGAGAGTGAATCAGTAACAATTAATCTTAAACACAAGACTAAACGGCATACATCACTGCAAAATCATGCAGATAAAAAAATACACACAAATTTTAATAAAGTTCAGAAAGAAATCTCAGAATTGAAAAACAAAAAGAAATTGGCATCGAAAAATGTTCACGATGCAATTAGGAAAAATAGTAAAAAAAAAGAACTAAAATCCTTAAAACATAAACCAAAGTCAAACGCAGGCAAAACAAAATCTGAAATCAAGATAAAAAATAAAGATGAATTTAAAGCTAGTAGTGAGCGTCAAATGAAAATCAAATCCATTAGTGATAAAATAAGCAGCAAAATAGTTAAGTCAGATTGTAAAGATAAAGATAGAAAACAATCCATAAAACATGAAAATATTGAGTTACAAAAATCTAAACGACAAAAGTCTGAAGTAGTAGATACACATGAATCTGAGCAAAATAAGCCTCATAAAAGTGTAATTAATACTACTAACCAACGTCTTTTAAAAAGACCTCCTAGTAAACATAATATCAATTTAAGAACAAAATATGATAATAAAAGTGAACTATTTAAACATTATAGAGAAGAAATATATAAAAGACGCAAAAAAAAATTATCCATGAATACAAACGAAAATGCATCACTCACAGCTGATAATATTCTAGTTAAAAAAAGTGATAATATTAAAGATTCGGTAGAAATAGAGGCCTGTAAAAAAGATTCTAATTCAGACGAATGTGAAAATATTAAGGTGATTATAAACGTATTTTATAAATCATCATCTGAGGATACAGAAAAAGAATCTGACAACGTTGAAAAAAAATCGCAACCAGTTACAGATGATATCTGCTCCAGTTTTCTAGATGATTTTAATATTGATGAAATTGTTGAAAGTTTAAATAGTTTCGAAAAAGAAAAGAAAGATTCTATTGGAATGGTTCTACCACATACGGTTGAAAGTATCACAATTACAAATAATGGATTAATAATTAATAAAGAATGTACTGAAACAACGAGTAAAATTGAAGAAAATAACAGCAACATTAAAGAAAATGCTTGTGCATTGGAAGTAGAAGATATTATAAAAATATTAAGTGAAGGGTAAGTTTATATTAATTGTACTGCAGTTGTAAAAAGGTATAAAAGGTAAAATAGGAAACTGGGAATGGGTACTTTTTATTGCTATGATATCAATGTTATAATAATAATATTAAATGTGTCATTAGTAAAACATCGATTGATTTGGATGAAGTACATATTTGGTATTCTAAAAGTAAAATCACAGCTTTCAGCCACATACGTCTTGTGACAATATCTCAACTGTCATTTATTAAAAATATTAAAGACCAAAGTGGCGTGTGTGAAATAGGTTATAAATATATTAAAAGATTCAATGAACTCAAACATGTGTGTAATAATTATATGTATATTATGTATATTGCTTTAAAATCTTGATTCCCTATTCTGTTATTGACTAGAAAATAAAAGAACGAACGAAGAAAACTATATTGTTCCCTTACAGATTATAAAGATTAACAATATGATCACAAACAAAATGAATTCTTAATTACATATAAACAAGATAAAGAGGGGCCGTCTGGACCTGGTATATAATAGGCTACCTTTTCTTTTCTCGTGAGTGGCGTAAGAGGCGACTAAGGAAGGGCGTGAGATAGGCAACAACGTCCCTCTTAAAACATCTCTAAAGCCTAACTGCGGTTACCATGAGCGTGGCAACTACTGGCAAATCTCCCCAAGGGGGAGGCTTATATTCAGCAGTGAACAGTTAAAGGCTGATATGATGTATAATGAAGATAAAGAGGCAATAATTATCGGTCTTATCCCTAAATAGCAATCTCTTCCTGGCAACCTTAAAAATATTATTTAAATAAAAATCCTATTATTTAAAATGTTAGTTAATAAATATAAAGTTATTTAAATTGTTTATTTTTCAGATCGCCTACTGAAGAAACAGAAACTTTATCGGACGATACCAACAAGAATAAATTGTCAACTAATAATGATACCAAATGTCAAAAACAGAGTTCAACATGTAATAATACTATACACAAAAGTGTTGTTGAGGACAAACATGCACGTATTAAGAACGATGCATTAAATAACACTGATACATCTTTAAAAAATGAAACAGTTATTATAGACTTAGCTGATGAAAATACTATACCCAAAAGTGTTATAGAGGACAAACATGCATGTATTAAAAATGATGCATTAAATATAACTGATACGTCTTTAAAAAATGAAACAGTAAGTATAGACTTAGCTGATGAAAATACTATACCCAAAAGTGTTATTGAGGACAAACATGCATGCATTAAAAATGATATATCAAATAACACTGATATGCCTTTAAAAAATGAAACAATAATTATAGACTTAGTTGATGAAAATTCGCAAGATGGTAATATACCTCAAAGGTTAAACGAAACTCAGCATAAACATAATGAGCAATTTGATAAAAAAAAATCTGCAACAGAAGTAAATGGAGATATAGTTATGGAAATCATAGATCTTACTACTGATAAAAAATGGGTATCAGATACATCACACATTGAATTAAATGAAAATGGAATTAACAGGAAACCCGGAAATTTACGAAATCCGGAAAATGAAGCTATGCTCACAAAGACATGCACAAATTGTGAACAAACACAAAATAACATGAATTCAATTCACTTAATTACCAAATTAAATGACAATAAAGCAAATATTGATAAGCTACCAGTAAAGCATAGTAAGAACAAAGCACTAAATACTAGCGATGTGCCATATGTAGATATAATTTCTAAAAGGGAAACCATAGTTATAGACTTAGTTAATGAAAATTCACAAAATAGTAATTTACTGCAAGATTCAAATAATACTCAGCTTAATAATAATAATCAAGTTGAAATTATTGCGTGTGAAGAAAACAAAGAATCTTCACGAAAGGAAGTCGCGGATCCTAATATTGGTGGAATATGCAAATCATTATCAATCATTAAACCAAGAGAAAGTAAATTTGACTGTAATTCGGATAGTAATAATTTGTTAAATATTCAAGATTCCAAAAAAAATATAATGGCCAGAAAGACGTGTACAAACTGTGGACGAATTAAAAACAATGTCAGTTCGAATGACAAAATTACTAATTTAAATGATGTTGGTAAAAAAACAATAATTAATAAAAATCCTGTAGTACACATTAGGAATGATACCCTAAAAAAAGAAACGTTTACTGCTTTACGAGATGAAAATTCGGAAGTTGGTAATATGCCTACAAAATCAAATAATACCCAACATAGATACAATGAACAAATTAATAAAACAGAAACGACCGTAGAAATGAAGAAAGACACTCCCGTTATGGTAATAGATCTTGTTACAGACGAAAATTGGGAATCGAATACAACATCAAAAATTAAAGATGAAGAAAATAAATGTGATTCTAATTTAGAAAGTAATAAATCATTAAATGTACAAGATCAAGAAAAAGATTTATCGTCTGAGCAAACACATACAAATCGTGAACAAATTCAAAGCTGTATCAATGCAAATAACACAAATACTAATTTAATTAATAATAGAGTAATTGTTACAGAAGAGACACTACAGAATAATTTAATCTCAAAAAATGATAATAATCAGTCTGCGGCCGTAACGGCTAAAACAGAAATTGAAAAAGTGGTAGAATCTGTTAATATACCCAATACCTCACAAAATGATTTAAATGTGGAAATGGTAAACATCAATAACGATACTAATGCAAGTTCGAATGCAAATTTAAATAGTAGAACCAAAGATGCTGTTACTGATGAGTTTATCAAGACTTTAATGGGAAAGATAGAATATGGAATGATGAAACATTTGGGGCTTTCAAGTACAATAACAGCATTAATAAAGAACGGCAAAAATTCAAGAATATTCCATTGTAAGGACACATTTGGAACAGATTTTGTTATTAAGTCTATAAAGTAAGTATATTTGTACAATGTTTAGAACACTTAAAATACTATAGATGCAACACTATCGAATTGTGAATCCATTATTATAAAACTAATTTAGAAAGTGTTGCAAATTTTGACAATATTAATTGGAGTAAATAATGTTAATAAAATCGCCTAAAGATATTTTAATTACGTCAAAAGAATGTTTATTAATTATGAAAAGTTCACAATGACGATGACAAAATTAAAATTTAATAATGTTTCGTAATTATATGAAATAATTTTTAACAATTTGTTTCTGGCACCACTTTTTTTCTTGTTTTATAAGAAACTATCTGTTGGTTTTAGTGCATATGGTTGAACATGGTTTTGCGGCTTCTCTTGTCACATTGTAAATGTTAAATTATCATCAAGTAAAACATAATGACTATGTAAGAGCTCCATTCTCTCTGCCCATCTCGTGAAAGACCTGATTGAATGACATCTAAATGGCACATTATTTTTTGAACTACGGGAAATGCTGGGTTCCTTATATCTTTTCCAACTAATATTGTGCAACTACTAATCTGGTACTTTATTTTCAGTAAAATGTATTCTGGATCATTGATAACTGATAGGCTAAGAATGATCCAAGATAATGTATTAAAACAAAATTTAAACATTGTGTACTTTATAAACGAGTTTACGCTTGACTGTGGTCGGCATTGCTTCTTAATGGAATATTACCCAAAGACATTGAAGGAGGCCCTTGAGGAAAATAAGAAACCATTCCACATAAATGTCGTGCAGATTCTGTCGAGGCAGCTGACTTCAGCCCTTCTGATGCTCAGACACAACAGTATAGTGCATTTGGGTATGAATTTGTATTTACATAATTATAAATATTTTAAACTAGAAATTTTATAGTAATTACAAAATCCATATAATTTTTGATTATTTTTTGTAATTTAAGTAGGCAGGCTAGATATTAAATATCATTATAATTGAGTACGTATTAGCCTACTTAGAAAATAGAGTACCATAAAACGGGTTGGCTACTGTCAATCACCAATAATTACAATACGCTATCTGTATTAGTTTTCATCTATATTATTCAAATATATTACTTCTAAATATATTATTTTACATAACTGCCTACCTATAATATTTTTACTACTATAATATTATTTATTACTCTAGGTTTAATTTATTTGATTGTAAGTATGCGATGTCATGTGCATTAGTTAAATCTTTTTTTTTTTTATTTGTGAAAACCTTTAATTGGCTTTTTGTCTTTATCGTTTTTTTTTATTATAAATTATTTTAGTTGTAGGTTTTTCTTTAATAAAATATAAAGTATAAAATAAAAAGTAATGGCAACTTTTTAATTGCAGACGTATTTTTAATATTATAAATGTGATAGTTTTTAAAGATTTTAAGTTACTCGATCACGCTCAATTTGCTGATCAGGTTGAAAAAAATGTTTACACTAACATATTGCATCCAAATTTAAATGATAGATTACTTTATCGAAGTACTAATGCACGTGTACAAACCGCATGAATCAGGTATGTATTTTAACCGGACTATGTTTTTCTCATTTCAGACATAAACCCGAACCATATACTTCTCAATCACACAAATAACAAACTAAAGCTATGTGGCTTTGACAATTCATACTTTAAGGATCATATAATTTATAGGCCTAATATAAGCTGTCCTAAATACCGCGCCCCAGAAATTATACTTGGCTACCAGATAGGTTACCCCGTTGACATATGGGCTACCGGGCTGGTCATGCACGAAATGGCTACAAACAATTCATTATTTCGTAATGGTAATAACCACCAACTGTTATATAAACAAATGTGCATATTGGGGAACATCCCTAGCGAAATGATAGCAAGATCCCTGTTTAAAGATGAGCATTTTTCTGGAAACCGTTTCGCCCAAACAGATGTATTTGGGCAGGTAAGAAAAGTATAATTTTCTAGATGTGTATGTAATAAATGAGAAAGTGAGAGAGAAGCCGTGTGGTCCTGGTGTAAAATAGGCCAACCCTATTGCTTTCACGAGGGTGTCGTAAGAAGCGACTAAGGGAGGGCGAGGGATGGGCAGTAGCGTACCTCTTAAAACATCTCCAAAGCTTAACTGCGGTTGCTAACACGCCTACCAAGTACCAAGTGTAGCAACTACTGGCAAAACCCCTCAAGGGGGAGGCCTATGTTTAGCAGTGGAGCGTTGAAGGCTGGTATGATGATGATGATGATGATGAAGCGAGCGCTTCTTTTATTGGTTTATACCAGTGGGCTACCAGTGCGAGATAGGAGAGGATAAAGTCATGTCAGACTCTTATAATTACAAGTTGGATCGAGTTCAGAAAATGGAATTTTTATTTTTCTTACACAAAATGTTATATACATATGTTTCTGTGAGACTTTTTATCCAATGACAAGAAGAAGAGATAAATTTAATACATTCGCGAAATTATTATTTTATAAACTATATCACTATCATCATCACTGCTCACTACATAGTATAAAACAATGTCGCATCCCGTCTGTCCGTCCCTATGTATGCTTAGATCTTTAAAACTACGCAACGAATTTTGATGCGAGTTTTTTTTTAATAGATAGAATGATTTAAGAGTAAGGTTTACATGTATAATACATGCCTAATGTAGTAGAGAAACACTGATAATCTTAGAGGTTTCTAATGTGATGTGATATAGTATGCACCCGTGCGAAGCCGGGGCGGGTCGCTAGTTTATTATAATTTTGACTTTAGAAAATTAGTTCATGTTAGTCCTTAAAGAAATTAATATTTAGAGATATGTCACCTCAGAATCCGCCCTGTTATATGTGTCATAAGAGGCAACTAAGGGAACTTAACGGTCGAGGGATGGGCAGGAGCGCTTATTATTTAAACATCTCCAAAACCTAACTACGGTTGCTAACATATCTGCCGAATATATTGTTACAGTACCATTATATAGTATTATATATAATATTATAGTACAATTAGGGCAGGTGCCATAAAAAATTATGTCTTAAATCGCAACGCCTTGTTGAGCATAGCGCTGCTACGCCATCTAGTTTACGCTATCTTATTTTACGGTGAAATTAATAAACTTTCCTACATACATATCATTGATATTATAATTATTAATTTCAGGTTAGGTACATAACTGTATTCAATAGAACTAATGCCCTGAAATCGTCAATCTACAAAGCATATTTCACTGTATGGGGTGACAGTAATTCTGAACAAAAACAGAAAGATCTTATTTTACTGAATGACTTCTGTAAGCTTCTGGAAGAAATGTTGGTAATGCACCCTTCTAACAGAATGCCCATAGAGTATGTCTACGCAAACCCTTTTATTTATGAGTAGTTTATTCTATAAACATTTTTTTTTCTTTTTATAATAGACATGCCAATGGTTTCCTATTTATTGTAGTTATCCTCCAAAGACTGTCTACGCAAAACCTTTTATTTATTTTTATTTTTATATAACAAGTTTTTTTTTCTTTTTATAATAGGCATGCTTGCATGCATTTTCTATTTAAAAGTTAAGTTCCTAATAGGTTTAAGTTAATTTCATGGCAATAAAGCTATTTCTATATTAAAATATGGTTTGTTTTATAAACGAACAACGAAAGTATTTCTTTATAGTGATAATAAGCTCTAGGGTTGTGTTTTTTTTTTCTTAATAAAAGCCTTTTTTTATTAAAATAAAAAATATTGGTTTATTTTCCGTATTTTTAATTTACATAATTCTTTATGTAATTGTTGAATGTAATAAATTTGCCCACAAAATAGTATTATTATATGGCATAGTTCGAATAATATAAAAACTATTAAATAAAACGTAGCGATTATTTGACTCGAGGTGGTCGTGGTAAGATTCATTGGTAAGAGCACCTTCCCCCATGGTGTAGAAGTTGTGGCTTCAAACCTCGCCCGCTTCGAAATTTTTTGAAAGGCAAAGAATGGTAGGCCTCTATCGCGACTGGTAAAACTTTGTTCTCAGAAGTAGAGCATGAAATTTTGATGCCGAAATGAAATCACGAGTATTGGGGTCGATTCAGAGACAATACTCTAAACCTATGTCTGAAACTAAAATATCAATTTGATATCAAAGCAAAATCTAAAATACATAACAGAATATAAAATAACTATAAAAAAAATATTTATTGGAGAAAAATTATAGTACTGAGAATTTCTTAGTGAATTATTAGAATGTAAAATTAAATACTTATGATATTGTATATTTGATATAGTACTAATTATTATTATCACAATTTTTACTTGAATAATAGTTTTTTTTTTCTTTAATGTATTTTATAATATGAATATTATTATCTTTAATTAATATTTTATATAATTATTAATTTGTATACCTTATAATAGTGAAACATTACACATAACAAACTACATTTCTACAACATCAAACTTAAACTATACCTTTATTTAAGCAAATAAATAATTGATTGATTTTTATTCTAAAGATAAATATAAATTTCCTTTAAATTCAATACAAAATTATTATAATTTTAGATTATGATTGTCCATAAAACAGTAATTTAGTGAAATAAATTAAAATATTTGATTAAAAAATAAGTTTAGAGAAATGACGCTTTTGAATCGACCCCATTTTCTATTGTTGATGGTTGGTGAAATTTTACACTCGCTTAATATTAAGTTCTCATAAACTTATTTTAGCTATTGAATTATTTTGTCTGTTTCTCTCGAGCTCAATTCTCAATTTGAGAGAAAGTAACAAAACATTAACAGTAAAAATAGTTTTGTAGAAGAATTCAGTTTTATTTAGCGAAGAGGCAATTTTATACTTTTTCAGATTACAAGGTCAATATATCTCAAGTATACAGAGTGCAAGGGACAGGTTGGCCAAAACGAAAACAGCTGATTCAGATAAATAATCCGAATCAGATGGTAAAATATTTTCCCATAAAATAACACCATATTAATAATAAGAGCATATTCCTTTTTAAAAGGCCAGCAGCACACCTGCAATGCCGTTGATGTTGCGGGTGACCATGGGCGGCGGTAGTCACTTACCATCAGGTGAGCCATATGCTCGTTTGCCCCCTGTGTTGTAAAAAAAAACACCAAAGCCATATAATTAACGATTCTCACTTTTGACGCCGCGTAATAGGTATATTTGTTTACAATCCACACGACGCGTAATACGTAGGTATCGCACAGTCAATGGCGCTTTACGAGGTCTGTCCGGAAAGTTCGTATAAAAGTGTTCTGGAATGCGAGAAAGAGGAGTGGGGAGGCCAGGTAAGCGCAGGACCCCTTCCTTATGTCCCTAACAATGCTTCAGTTCTGGTCTGACCGCCGTGCGGTGCGAACTGGCTTGTCACGCCATCTGTGAAGTTACCTCTTAACGAAACCCCGTCGGCATGGAGCCCGCTTCCGTTGAAGAGCAGCGCGTCGTAATCAAGTTTCTCTCGAAACTCGGCAAGAATGGCCGTGAAATTTTTGCCGATCTCAGAACAGTTTATGGGGATGATGCTGTGAAGGAACCAACCGTCCACAAGTGGCTAAAAAGATTCAGAGAGGGCCGAGACAATGTTGATTGTTTTTTTCGATGTTCGGGGGATTGTCCATCAAGAATTCGTCCCTCCAGGCCAGACAGTTGATGGAAAATTCTACGTCGATGTGCTCAGACGCCTCAAAGCTCGTGTGGCACGAGTTCGTCCAGAATTGGCGCGAGAGGGGCGTTGGATTCTTCACCACGACAATGCCCCTGCCCACACCTCTCTTGTTGTCCGTGAGTTTTTGAGTAAAAATTCCATTACGGTGACCGAACACCCCCCTATTCGCCGGATTTGGCCCCGTGTGACTTCTTCTTGTTCCCAAAAACCAAATTGGTACTTCGGGGGCGGCATTTGGGGGACATAAATGAGATAAAAAAAGCTACGACGGGGCAGCTGAGAAACCTATAACCAGAGGACTTTCAAGGAGCCTTCTCACAGTGGAAACGGCGTTGGCACAAGTGCATTATGTCACAGGGGGAGTACTTTGAAGGGGATAAAATTGATTTACCTGAATAATTGTAAAATAAAATTTTTAAAAAACTTTTATACGTACTTTCCGGACAAACCTCGTATATGGCGATTAATACGTATATTACATTGTTGTTTTCTGGTATTTCACACTATTTCACTATAAAATATTATTATTTCTTTATATTATGTCATAATATCATAGATTACATGATTTTAAATGAATAAACAACAGGAAAAAAAAATTTCCGGAAAGAATTTCCACTAGTTTTCAGTTCAGAATTCACTACAGAGTAAACAACAGGAAAAAATTTGAAATTTTCCGGAAAGAATTTCCACTGGTTTTTAATTCAGAATTCACTATATTCACTGTTTCTGTTTTAACCAATCTGTCCCTTACAGCCTGTATAAACAATCATGTTTATATGTATTAAAAATTAATTATTAAGAGAAAATAAAAAGGTGCCTAGACTATGTACAGCTGTCATCGTGTTTCTATATATTTTTCATATAGATTGCATTACATATATGGCAAATGACAGTAAAATTACAGGATACACAAGCATAACATCGTAATCTTCAGGAATGGCATGGCATGAAGAGTATAACAGGACACCTCAGATTACAGAAACAAATAGGGTCTTTATATGCGGAATAAGACAAGGAGTGTCCATATTGTACTTTACTACTAATATTTATACTGTGACAATATTGTATTATGTAATGTTCGTGGTGCTGTTCGTCTCTATAGACGACGGTTACCACTTTTTATCAGGTGGGCCGTCAACGGCAATGAACCATTCTAAGTGTTATAAAATAGAAAGATAAACACAAGTGAGTCTGTAACAACGAAAAGCGGGAACTTTGATCCGACAAAAAGCCGCACGTCTGCGTAGGCCATAACCCCCACTGACCTGTCCGGGCATTTCCTTGGTGTGTCCGTCCGGGACGTGGAACAGCACGAGCGGCGTGGCGCGCGCGGTGTATGGCGACGGCGGCGCGGGGGCCACGTCCACGCGGAAGAAGCCGCGCCGCTGCAGCTGTATCACATCGCCGACCTTCAGCTTGAGGAGTTCCGGCTCGCCCAGCATTGGTATCTCCCACTGAAAAGGCAATTGTAAACGTGTGCATATTATTTGAATCGAGATTTTTTTAATGGGTAAGAATGGAGTGGTAATTCCGTTTGCGCTAACTGTATACGCTGGCGGGACAACAGTGTGACATAATAGGTGAGGATAAAAGCAAATCCACAAGAATTAATCACGATCATTTCCAAGGAGACAACGTGGAGGTTGCAGAAGTTTGAACCTGATGCAGCAATATACCCTATTGCTAGCGGGGGGAAAGGGATTGTTAGTAATGAAGACTGAGAATCCAATTGCTAGCAATATACCCAACCAGGTCGACCTCCTCGCGGTTCCCCCTAAAAACTATCATGGTTAATTCCTGATGAATTCATCATGATGGGCTAACTGGCCTGTTTTCATTCTTATCAATCACCCTTCATTGGTGCTCCGCCAGCGTATCCCGTTAGCGCAGGCGGGGTTACCATTCCATTTTCACCCATAAAAAAAACCCTATTGCTAGCAATAAGGCTGTTAGATCCCATTATTAACAATTCCTTTCGCTCCTGTGAGTGATGTTTTTTAGATAATATCGGTACTAAGTGATTCTACATACATATATATATACATGCTGTGTCTGGCCAGTTATGTTATAGGATAAATAATATAATACTAGTACTGTACGCAGTGTGACCGAGTTTTCAAGAACAAACTTAATTTCCTTAGTCCATTATAGCGCATGAAAGGAAACAGTAACATGATGGATAACATAAATTATGTTCCGCAAAAACCAACTTTAATGGTGGCAGTATTTTCGTTTAAAAACTAAACTACTAAACCGATATTGATAAAATTGCTATGGGACCAATTTATAAGCGTATCCTTTCAAAAAAACAATAATTTTCCAAAACGGTTCACAGATTGACAGGAATATGAGGGAAGAAACATAAACAAAATACAAGCCAATTGTAAACTTCCTTCTCTTCGAAGTCGGTTGATAAAGTTCTAACTGATTTGGCCTGTGTTATTTGTAATCTACCAGGTTAATTTTTTCTTTTCAGGCAAACAACTATTCCATCTCTCAATATTTTTTTAAATAATTTATTAATATTTTTTTTTCAAAACTTCACTAATATCGGTTTAGAGGTCAGTGGAGGCTGAACATAGATATCTATGATGCTGATATATTGGTAACTTTTATTGTAAACGAGATACTAAGTATTCTTTTTTCAATTCCACTTAATAATTATAATTACAGTTTGTAATGATTAATTTCTTTTTTGTGTTACAATTTAATAACATTTTTTACGATGTTAGTACCCTATCACAACTTCTATAACGTGTTAGATGTTAACGTCCATATAGAAAATCTCTATATAGTGATGGGACGCAAAGTATTTTTAATCCTCGAGGATTGGGGGGAAAGGGATTGTTAGTAATGGAGACTGAGAATCCCATTGCTAGCAATATACCCAAACAAGTCAATCTCCTCGCGGTTCCCCCTGGAAACTATCATGGTTAATTCCTGATGAATTCATCATGATGGGCTAACTGGCCTGTTTTCATTCTCATCTATCACCCTTCATTGGTGCTCCGCCAGCGTATCCCGTTAGCGCAGGCGGGGTTACTATACCATTTTCACCCATAAAAAAAATCCTCGAGGATTAGGAAGGACGACAATAAGGATAACTAAAGATTGTATTTCACAAAAAAAAAAAAATCAATTTAATTGTGAAAAAATTAGTTATACTGGTTAAAAATTAAGCTACTTAGCCGATTTTGATAAAATTTCTATGACACCAATCTGTATATATATGCTTTCAGATAAAAAAAAGTGTTTTCCAAGTCGATTTGGAACTGACGGAGGTTATAAACATAAAAAAAAAAAACAACCGAATGAGAACCTCCCTCTTTTTGAAGTTGGTTGAAAATAAAAATAACACACTGGTGCAAGAGAAAAAAATAATAATAATTAAATTTTATCCTTGACTTTGTTTTTTTGCCATATAGCGCCTTAAAGGCTTAACCAATCAATATGTGGTATACACGTATAATATAGGACGTAGAAGAATATTATAGGCAACATTTTATCGCGGTCAGTAAACATATCTGTAGCTGTACTGTACATTTGAATCACTATATTTGTAAATTGTCTTGCTTATTTCTTATATCACAGCGAATCTTTATTGTCTAATATGTACTAAATTTCTATTAAATTTAAAATAAAATAATTATATTTAAATCATCTTTGTTAGTAAATATAGTGATAAAATATCGTTCTTTAAATAGATTTTATAAAATCTCAATAATGTTAACTATATAAAATTCTACACAATACATAATTAATAAGTACAATAAAGATTTTACAATGACACCTAAACATATTATTAATAAATGTGAATTATGAGCTTATTTATTTACATAATCTATATATATATATATATAAAACTAATATATTTCAGAGAATCACAAAAAAAAAATTAAAAAAAAATTAATGATCAGTCCCATTCATGAATTTATAAAAAATTGAAAAATTCATATTTCTTATATTGTATAATGAAAATAAAGGTATACTCATTCATTCATATCCTAGTCACGAGGACAAAGTGGCAGGTTAAAGCAGATACTGTTATAAAAGTAATCTGCTATACTCATTTAATAATCAGAACACTATCTGTGTCTACTAGTGGGATATGAATGGACCGTACAAAATTCTTTTATTGTACCTTGTTAAGTTGTTTCAAAAAAATTAAGGTGCCTATTGTATTAAGGTGGTTGTAGGCATCCATAGCCAATAGTGACTGTTTACCATCATATAAATTGTATGCTCGTATATATTATTTTATATAAAAAAAGTGTCTATATAATACCGGAAATTAATGAATTCAATTTTTTTTTCGTTTCCAAAAATTGTTTCAACTTCATCCGGAAGTCTTCTTAAGAAGACTTCGGAAATAACAAAAAAACACACTGAGTTTGCTCTCTCTCCTCCTAATCTAATCTCCTGTATTTATATAGACAGTAAATAAAAATGAACGCTTTTGTTTATTTTAATTTACATTTAAAAATAATAAAAAAGGTATAAAAAAAAGAAGTGAAAAACGTTTCTTTAGAAATATATTTAAACAATTCACAGAGAAATCTCACCCTTGTCTGATGTCCAATGTACTGTTTAAAGTCCTCATCCTTGCCTAATAGAGGTTTTGATATGATGTGATCGAAGTAAACGCAATACACTTCCACGGTAGGCGAGTTAGGGGTGTCCGCTAACCACGTCAGCTTTAGAGTTTTCTTGTAATCCTTATTGTCGAGGTTCGGAGTCCCGTCGACGCTAGTTACTGTCCCATCTGGTGCCCTATCATAGGACATCATATATTGTTTATTTTATTTAGCAAATCGTACATAATATTATCAACTAAATAAATTATGATTTTGTATAAAACTATATTTTACAAAACAAGAAATAACTATTTCTTAATATATTAAAAGGTATAATCATTTTTTTATGCAACTTAAGAATAGCAAACAAGCTGGCGACAGGGAGACTGTACAAAAGGCGTTTACATAAGTATCTCTGTCCCATCTGTGTTTCAACCGTGAAGCAATTGTTTGCATGGCTGTGTTTCGGTTTGAAGGGTGGGGTATGGCAGTGAATTTACAGGGTACAGAGGAATAACACTTGAGTCCTCAGGAAAGGCAACGCATGGGGGGTATAATGGGCGAAACAGTTCTGTTATGTCCATGGTACTTCTCATGTCTATAGACGATGGTTTCAATTTAGTTTTATTTTCCATTTTCCATTCGGTGGGCCGTCAGCTTGTTTGCCATTCTAAGTTGTATAAAAAAAATTACTTACTTATGGATTTTATCAATCATTATGTTTCCATAATTAATGAAAGTAGCGTTTTCGCCTTCTTTTAGCGTCTTAGCATCTGCTTGGTCTATGAGCAGTCGTTGCGACACCCATATTTTCTTGGTGCCCACATCAGCATTTTTAGGATGGAGCGCGACTGTGAGACTGCTGTCTGACGTCACGCCCTTTAGGTTCACTGGTACTGGGTTCGATTCCAAGGCGGTGTATCGAGGTGCAACTGGGTCAATAACCTGAAAATGGAAAAATGTAAATTAATTTTATTTTTTTTATTTTTTTATTCGCCCAGAAAAAAGTAGTTTCTGTCCTCTTTGCACGAAATGTTAATCCGATTGATAAATGCGTTATCAATATAAAACATATATCTACTAGATTTTAAGGTAGGCCTTCAGAAATGCAACTGTGAAAACTTCATTTAGATTGATAAAGCAATAGAATGATGCCGGAAATGTACAGACAGACAGACAAAATTTCTAATAATTTCTACCTTTTACTCTTATTACTCTTATTTGAAACTCTCATATTATTATTTTTTTATATCTTTCATCTACAGAAATAGTCTAGTTACAGTTTATTATATTAGTAATTAGTATACTTGGTTATTTACTACATAAGCGCAAGGTAAAAAAGTATCTTGGGAGAACTTCAGTAAGGTGCATAACGAGACCGCTAGAGACCGACCGCGGAGACAAAGCTCACCTTCTTGTTGATAGCCCAGATCTTATCCCACTCCATGAAGACGACGGAGCGGCTGGAGCCCTGCGCGCGGATGAACTGGCGCAGCGCCTCCACCGCCAGCCCGCGCCGCAGCACGCCGCGCACCGTCGGCATGCGCGGGTCGTCCCTGCACACACACACACACACACCACCCTCACTAGTTTTTTTTTTTCTTTTTTAATGTATGATAATGGAATGGTTACCCCACCCGCGCTATCGGTATACACCGGCGGGGCACCAGTGAAGGATGATAGGTGAGAATGAATGCAGGTCAGTTAGCCCATCGTGACGAATTCAACAAGAATTGTTCACGATGGTTTTCAGGGGGAACCACGTGGAGGTCGACCTAATAGGGCATATTGCTAGCAATGGGCCTGTCAAACTCCATTACTAACAATCCCTTTCCCCCCACACCCTCACTAGTTGTCAACACTCTTACATTGGGGGGAAAGGGATTGTTAGTAATGGAGACTGAGAATCCTATTGCTAGCAATATACCCAACCAGGTCGACCTCCTCGCGGTTCTCCCTGGAAACTATCATGGTTAATTCCTGATGTAAATTATCATGATGGGCTAACTGGCCTGTTTTCATTCTCACCTATCACCCTTCACTGGTGCTCCGCCAGCGTATCCCGTTAGCGCAGGCGGGGTTACCATACCATTTACACTTATATTGTCACTAATGTTACTGTCCACTGATGGCGCGGCAGGCGGATTGGAAACCGCAGTCAGGCTTTAGAGAGGTTTTAAGAGGGACATTGCTGCTCATCCCTCCACCATAAGCTACATTAGTCGCCTCTTACGACACCCACGGGACAGGAAGGGGTGGCCTATTCTATGCCGGGACCACACGGCCAAATAATAAGGACTTAGGTTTTTAAATAGAATGAAAAGACTTACCATCCGTCGACTAAACCCTGCTCCACAAACCAGGTCAGCTTCCTCTTTGATAATACTGTATTTGTCATACTCAACCTAAAAATAACAATAATTTTTTCATTTAACTAGAGATCTTAGGGAGAAAAGGGATTATTAGTAATGGGATCCAATAGGCCCATTGCTAGCAACCTATTAGGTCAACCTCCACGCGATTCATCCTAGCAAGCATCGTGATTAATTCTTATTAAATTTATCACAATGAGCTAAATAATCTGTTTCCATCCTCACCTATCGTCTCTCATTGGTACTTCGCCAGTGTATATCAATAGCGCAGGCGGGGTGACCATTCCATTTTTATTCATTAAATAAAAAAGTAACTAGAGATCTGACCCCGGATTCGCGTGGGTAAATAGAAAGATAAATTAGTATTTAATATTAGCTAATTTGTCTGTTGAGGCAAATGTTCAATACCCTGAGTTACTTTATTGTAATTTCTGTAGGGATTTTTTAAATTATATAAAAAAAATATATATAGTATATGTTATATAGTGGGATATGGCGTGAATTTACAGGGTACAGAGGAATAACACCTGAGTCCTCAGGAATGGTAACGCATGGGGGGTATCATGGGCGAAACAGTATACTCTGTTATGTACATGTACTGCTCATGTCTATAGGCGACGGTTACCACTTTCCATCAGGTGGACCGTCAGCTTGTTTGCCATTCTAAGATATATAAACAAAAATTTAAAAAAAAAAAAAACAATTATAATGTTACTTTATAGGTAATAATAAACTCCATTTAATAACTTACCTACTGTACTCCCAAATATAGGGCTTCCTTAGGCCGAGCGCATCGATGAACCAGTAGAACTGCGGGTCGCGGTCGTGATACTCCATGGTGCGGAGAACATGTGTCACCCCCTCCACGGCGTCCACGATCGGACACGCGAAGTCGTACGTCGGATATACTCTGTCCATATACAAGTTTTAAATCTATATATATAATCTATCAATATATTATTATATTTTACCCGCGACTTCGTCACGTGACCGGGATAAAAGTAGCTTATATGCTTCTCCATTTCATATATACCCATATATACTGGATTCCATAATGATTAGTTATGATGTTAAGGTTCTATTAGATAGATCCTTCATAAGATTACATTAACAATACTATATATGTGTATATTTACTATATATGTGTATTTTATGTGTGTATATTACTAAACTTAGTAAACTTAGTTGCTATTTAGAATATCACTTTGTAACTGAACCATAAATCAACTCCGAAACGTACTCGCTTCCCTACCTACTTAGCTGATATCTATAAACAATAGGTAAAGGTCTCCACACTTGCTGACCATCAGTTGCTTTGAGATTGATTATATATCTAATCATCCCTCACTTGTGCCCTGCCTGTGTATACCGATAGCGCAGGCGGAGTTACCATTCCATTGTCATCCATTAAAAAACAGTTATCTTGGAAGTCTTTATTATCTTAGTTAGTTAAGTCCTGTTTTATATAAATCGTAATATTTATGTAAATATCTTATGAATATATAAATAATAAAAGATTTGCATGCTATTATATATAGCGAAACATACTGAACACTTAAAAAAAAAAAGCAAATTGTAAACATCATATTATCTATGTTTGTGGCTTTATTACGATTGATTCGTATAAATTTATAACATAAGTTTGTATAAAATTCAACACCAGAGGGCGCTACTGTCGTAGTACACTAATATTGTATTAGTCGGTATACGTACTTATACTGGTTTCCGGTGCGCGGATGCGTCTCAGGCTTGCACCTGTAGATGGTCGGATCCCGCAAACAACCGTTGGCAGACTGCATGTCGATTTTGGCGCGTACACAACACTGGACGCCTATATCGGAGCCTTTCTTCATCTCCTCCCACAATTTCATATTCTTCTCTACGGCTGGGGATATGAATAAAAAAAAATATAAAATGTCAAAGCACATAATGCATTAATGCAATCTTTACGTAATAGGTAGTTATTGTCAATAACTACCTATTACGTAAAGAATGCTAGTGTATCCTAATGAGAACATCATTAGGCTTTTCAAAATACTAATATAATATTTAGTATTTCAAAATTTGAAAAACTTTTTCAAAGAAACCCCTGCATAAAATTTAATATTTTATAAACCCAGCAGATCCTGCTGTATTGTGATCAACCAATTTATATATTTAAATTAATACTAGTGATCGGGCCGACTTTCCACGGGCAGATAGAATTTTCCAAAATAATATATAGGCTTTTACTCACTGATAATGTAACTTTCTACAGGTGAAAGTATTTTTAAAATCGGATATGTAGTTTTTGAGTTTACACATTACAAACAAACGATCAACTTTTTCCTCTTCATAATATTAGTATAGACTAGTTGGCAAACACTATTTGCGCCTCACCACTACCTACCAGGTCCTTTTCTTTTTGGAATCATATAGGTCTCTTGATTAACCTATATGTACACACGTTTCTTCTGAGACCCCATTAATTAATACTAACATTAGTCTTAAGGGTGGAAAGGATTGTTAGTAATGGGGAGTTTAGTTCCCATTGCTCTTAATATACCATATCAGGTCGCCCTCCACGCAATTCCCCCTAAAAACTATAGTAACTAATTAATCGTTGAATTTATCACGATGGGCTGACTTACCTGCCTTTTCATCCTCACCTATTACCCCTCACTGGTGCCCCGCCTGTGTATACCGATAGCGCAGGCGGGGTTACCATGCCATTTTCATCCATTAAAAAAAAACATTAGTTTTAAGGAATGAATTTTCGTTAATTAACAGTACACAGTAGTGTATATTAAGTAAGATATTACAAAATTATAAATATGTATAAATACAAACTACCACCAGCACAAGTGCACTATTGCCCATAAAAATCTATGTATACATACAATTGTTTTTATTTTTGCTATCAATCTTCTGTTCTCTCTCGTTCTTCATCTGCTCAGCTGGAGTGTCGTCCACAAATGCTTTGCCTTCTTTGATCAACTTTTCACAATATTGCAACATCAGGTCGAAGTATTGCGACGTGTGTGTAAACATGTCTGGTTTGATCTCCAACATTTCAACATCCTCTAGAATCACCTGGAAATACGTTTTTGTAATCTATTAGCTTTTACCCCGCGAACTCGTCCTCCTATCCTATCGTGTCCTTGAGTTAAAAAGTAGCCTATATTCATTCATTAATTTTTAATTCATCTGATTTTTGCAATTGTGATTATGTAGTCAATTTTGAACCAATTTTAACAAATCTTTTTGCAACTGCTATCAATTGCAAAAAATAAACCAACATAGGTTTATGTAATGTAAGTAACGTACGTTTTTACATTGATATATAAAAAGAAATAAACCCCGTGTTCATTTTAAATGTAATAATTGCATGGCAACACTCTCGATAGTTAATAAGGACATTTTATTCTGTACGTGGCAATAAATCAATTACTGGAGGTAGAAAGAAAAAAAAGGTTGTTGGTGACATTTCTTAAAACAGAAATTGAACAGTTTATATGTTGTCCTTCTTTAAATACTCAAAAGGTGAAGAATTTAATTCCACAATTGTGAAGCATATCGGAATTTAAAATTATCGTTATTATCAACATAAAGTACGCAAATATTCAGTTTTTGTGTTGCTAAAAAGACACTTCAAGATTCAAACATCTATTGGAGAATTCAAGATCGAAACTCTTAGTACTTATAATATTTACGAGGTAATCTCAAGTAACATTAGCATGCTTTAGAGAACTGAGGGACCTGAGTATGTTATAAACTAGTTAAAGGTTTCGTAAATCATTTCGTAAGTCATTTAAACGTAGTTTGAATCTAAATAGTGACTTTTATAACAATTTATCGTTTTCGCATTTTCGTGTCTTTCGTGAATTTATTTTTAAACTTTGTACATACAGTCCACTTAATCATATTCTTGCACACTCCATTTTACTTTTTTAACTACTAAAGGTACTATTTATCATTGTGAAACATAAAAAAAAATGCTTGTTGTGTAGTAAAATCTATATATAAACATGCTACTTCACTTTATAAGAAAATAAGTAAAAAACAGAATTAAAATTAGTGAAATAAAAAATAATTTCAACACATTACAAATGAAGGCTTTGCTTTATAAAACAGTGATTTCCATCATAGAAATATTATATATGTAGTTACCAGAGGGAGACTTTGTACAAAAGTCGAATGCTTGGGTACCTCTGTTCTATTCGTGTTTCTACAGTGAAGCAGTTGTGTTTGCATAGCTGTGTTTCAGTTTGAAGGGTGGGATAGTATGTGAATTCACTGGGTACGGAGGAATAACACCTGAGTCCACCATGGGGGAGGGGTATCATGGGCGAAATAGTATGTGTGTGTACTGTTATGTCCATGGTACTGCTCATGTCTATAGGTGACGGTTACCACTTTTTATCAGGTGAGCCGTTAGCTTGTTTGCCATTCTAAGTCGTATAAGTTGTATAAAAAAAATCCTACCTTCTCAAATTCAGCATTCTCTTTAGCAGGATTGGTGTCATCAAATCTCATAACAAGCTTCCCTTGGAATGCCTGCTGATAGTACTGATTCAATAAAGCTGCCTTGGCATGCCCTATATGAAGATATCTGTAACAACAATTAAAATCATTTTTATATTTATAATTATACATATATTACTAACTGAATGCCATAGCTCTGCCTGCAGTATGCTAAATTTAAATAAAATCCATTTAGTAGTTTTTGTGAGAAAGTGACAAATATCTATCATTACAAACTTTGTATGAAATTGATGAGTTCCATTGTTTAGTCAATGATAAGTACATTATTTTATAGAAGTGAGGGATAGGGTTCAAAGCCATGTCGGGACTAATTCCATAAACAAACTTTTAATTTTTTTTAATCTGTTCAATTTCACTTAAATGTGTCTGGGTGGAACTATGTGTTTTGGGTTACATTTTGATTGCTTTTTTTTATTTTAAACAAAAATTGTTTCATTTGAAATAAATATGTAATTGATGGGGTCTTAACAGATTATTCTCGTTCACTATATAAATATGCACATAGTAACACATGTTTGAATAGTATAGATCAATGGCCTGATTTAGAATTAGTTTTTAGGGTAAATAAAATCTAATTACTTACCCAGATGCCTCAGGTGGGAACCGTACAACAACTTTTCCCATCTCAGCATGTGGCAGTTCCACAAATTTACCCTCTTGACGAGCACCACTTTCCGGATTGGTTGATGGGGATCTCCTTAAAATAATAATTTCAATAAATAATTATTCATTTAATACTACAATTGCAAAAGGGTGGTACCCACTGGTTTTTAGAGATCTAGTTTTTTTATTACATGATAATTTTACCATGGCTCCAATAATACATAATTTACAAAACAATATAATTGGTAACAAACTTTGTTTAAAACTTCGTCATTATCAGATCACCCATTAACTGTCCACTGTTGAACATAGGTCTCTCCCTATTAGAAGGTTTTGCCAATAGTTACCATGCTTAGCAGGCAGGTTGGCAACCATAGTTAGGCTTTTGGTGTGGTTTTTTTACCTTTAGTTTAACACTTAATTTAATAATAAAATTTATTTTTAAAACTTATGTGCATATATTTAAATATCAATAAGATTATTATTTTCCAGGAACATATTTTTTTTATACCACTAAGAATGACATACAAGCTGACGGAAATGCCCACCTGATGGAAAGTGGTAACCATCGCCTATAGACATGAGCAGTACCATGGACATAACAGAGTATACTGTTTCACCCATGATACTCCCCATGCGTTGCCACTCCTGAGGACTCATTTGTTATTCCTCTGTACCCTGTAAATTCACACCATATCCCACCCTTCAAACCGAAGCACAGCCATGCAAATACAACTGCTTTACGTTACATTTGTCTAAAGTATGTATGTTAATCAATAGATGTTTTAATTAAATAAGGCACAAACCTGCTTGATGCTTTAGATAAATTCTCAATAACATCAGATGGTATCTCCTTTAAAGCATCAGCTATTGGAGGCTGAGCCTGAATAAGTTTCATCCAACGAATTATATTATTTGGAGGGTTTGAATTTTTAATCTCTTTAAATTTAGCAGACACTGAAAAAAATACATATGAATATAAAAACCATCACTTAAAATATAATTAAGAATAATTAATATAAAGAAAATTTAAATTGTGTATAAATAGAAAAAAGAAATTAATATTTAACACTGGGATAAGAAAGTACTATACCAAATATATATAATTAAATAATTTGCTAATAATATATACATATATATATATATATATATATATATATTCCATAGAAAGTGTTATGAGTAATTTATTATTAGATCATAAATATAAGGAACTTACCATATAATATGCTAAATACAGCTAAATCAGAGACAGATATAGATTCTCCAACTAAATAGGTTAATGGCCCAAGAGTTTTGTCTAAGTACTCCACAGATTTGGGGATCTCATCATCCAAAATGAGACTGAATGACAACCAGTGATTCATAGTCACTTTCTGGAGCAGACCAGCGGATTTATTAAAGGAATTCTCTAGTATTCTTATCAAATCATTGCTTGTTCCATATGGCAAAGGTTTGGAGCTTTTAGGCAGAGTAACAGTGGACTCATTGCCCCAAGTAACTTCAATAGTATTTCCAAGAGATCGATACAAATTTACAGCTAGCAAACCACCTGAAACATTAAATATATTCAGCTATTTTAAGCACCTTGATGCAATGTGATGCAATTTGAATTAACCTATATAAATCAGGATAGTATACCTAAAGGCGGGTTGGATTTATTGCAGATAATCTTCATATTTCTGCCAATTATAGAACTGAATAATATTTCTTTATTTAATATAAATTTTTATTTATAATTAGACGTACACGTTTGAAATTTTATTGTATGGGAAATGATTTGTTCCACTTATTTGCTCTTGCAACAATGAGCTGTCATAAAATTCCTTCGATACAATGTAAATTCTATGAAGCTACTTAAGCTGTCAAATTTTAAAATGATAGATAATTGACGAAATTTAGAGAACAGGTGGAATAATGGAACAAATAACAAGATGTAGGCTTTTTTGACATTCACAACAAATGTCCGAAAATGACAATTCAATGACAGCTGTTACGTCATTAGACTGTTTTGAAACTGTTCGTATCTCTAATCACATTGTAAAATGTTATCATTATAATTTATAATAAATAAATATCTTATTGATTTTTTTTAATGCAATTTCTTGTATATTTATTATTGCCATATTTTTTACTTTTACCTCATTAAAATGTAATTCAATTATCAAAAACCTGACATTGCTTACAGTGACAGCGACGACACCGATAAGAAAAGTGTACAAAATATGATTACTGAACGCAGGTAGACTTTATTGACAAAAAAATCCGAAGCAAAACAAGAAATCTTTAAATTGTAAAATATTCGAAAAGTTTGCGAAAGTGCCATGGAAATTATTATATTTTTGTAAAACATTTAAAAACATATGACAGTTTTGTTTTGTGCAGCTTTTTCTTTTCATATATAGCGATACTATATATGGATATACATGGATTAAAAATTATTTTTTTTATCGCTAAAACTGTTTTAAATATTTATTGTTACAATGGATAATTAATTCCAGGTGAAATAACTTGTATATTAATATTATACGTAATAATTGAATTGTTTACTGCATTACTCTTCCAGTTAAATAAAAAAATATTTTCTAATTAATTCTACATCTTTTATTAAAAATTATACATAAAAATAACTAATATGTAATTATTTACAGTATGTTACAGAGTTCCCATTTCGAAGACTGTTCATTTATCAGATAAGTACAACAAATTATAAAAATCTGCAGAAATGAAGCGACAAAATGTCCGTACTCTGTCCCTGGTTGTGTGTACATTCACATACCTGCTGATTGGAGCAGCAGTATTTGATGCTCTTGAGTCAGACACAGAAAGTAAACGATGGGAGGTATTAACAGGTATATATTCTTATTTTTTTCTATAAAATAAAAAAGTATTAATACGAAATTATAAGAGATAAATTGTAAAGACCAAAAAATGTACACAAATATATAAATCATATGTTTAGCTTTATTTTAAGGAATTATGAAAAGTACATATTACATACATAGTTTTTAATGTTATTATTGAATATCTTATTTTGCTAAAGTTATGGAGCTGCTTGGTGGAATTCTATTATTCCATTTCATTCTCCTTTCTAGGTGACTAAGAAATTTAAAAAAATTTCCCTTGTAAATGGTATCCACCTATCTACTTTTGTCTGTTCTCCTTTAACCAAAGGTTGTCTGTAAGAGATTGCCTTAGCAATAAGACCACCTTTTGTACTTTTATGCATATATTTTAATCTGTGATTTACTTTACTGTATTTCACTTGATTTGTTTAACTGTCATTGTATATTTTTATGTTTATGGTGCAATAAATAAATAAATGATAATTTATATAAACATTCAAATTTTTCTCATCTTCAGATATGAAAAATGGACTAGTCCGAAAGTACAATATAACTCCAGAAGATTATCACATGATAGAAATAGTTATAATAGAGAACAAACCTCATAAGGCTGGGCCTCAGTGGAAATTTGCTGGAGCATTCTATTTCGCAACTGTTGTCCTTGCTATGATCGGGTATGGCCATTCCACTCCTGTCACTGTGGGTGGGAAGGCTTTTTGCATGGCTTATGCAATGGTGAGTATGTTTCTGTAATTAATAAAATTTATCTATGAAAAACTATTAATTATTATAAGAACAACAATAAAAATATTAAATGCAAAAAGTATGATCAAAATTTGCTCAAAGTTGGTGAATATATGTAAATATAACACAAAATTAATTGATAAGCTAAGTGTGGTAAAGTTTAAACAAAATACCATACAAAATAAAATAAATATATAATTAAATTGAGAACTACTCATTTTTGCAATTTTTTATATTAAAATAGCAATTAATTTCATAAAATTATTATCTAATGATTTTATATTACATGCTAAAAAGTATATATAAATTTATTGTAAGAGGTATTCGTAACCACTAATTACGATTATTAAATGAAAAACATTGATATTCAATTAACTTTTTTTAAAACGGACAATCTTAATTTTTTTATTATTTAGTAAAATTTTAAAGTTCAATCTAGATTTATTAATCTAGAATAGCTATAATAATTTTAAATATATATTCAGATTGCTGAGTACAATAAATACATAAGATTAAATTAGAAAAGAGTAAAAAAAAAAAATATTCTCTACAGGTTTTGTATAAGAATATATAGAAAACTTAAAAATTGTACAGAATAGTGTCTATATAAAAAACAATAAATAATAAAGAACCAATGAACAAAAAACTTGCAGGTGGGCATTCCCCTGGGTCTAGTGATGTTCCAGAGCATCGGTGAACGATTGAACAAGTTTGCATCTGTAGTAATACGACGAGCTAAGTGTTACCTCCGCTGTGATACCACTGAAGCCACCGAGATGAACCTCATGTTTGCCACTGGGATGCTGTCATCTATTATTATAACTACTGGTATAATTACATTTCTTTTTCAAATATAATCATTCTTATACATTAAGCAAGTCAATCCTACTTTTTTTGGGAAATTGCCTATTAACCTTCTGACCGTTAGCGCAAGCGGGGTTACCATACCACTCTCACCCATCAAAAAAAACCTTCTGACTGGGCATCCCGCAATTTCGACGTGATAGCATTTTTTATGTTTATTGACGTTGTTATCCTGCCATTTTTGTTTTCGTAGATTGATATTGTTTCTCAGAATCTCGTTAGATGGCTATTTAGCCAAATAGATACAAATAACAGTACAAGTACAACTCGTACTGCTATTTGTTGTCAAAGGAATGTGTTTTATTGTTGTGAAAAAAATACGCGGTCAGTGGGTTAAGCCTTTTACAAAAAAAGTTTATTAAATGAAATTGTGATTTTAAATGTTATTTTTAACTCAAAAGTAACTGAGTGCACCTTCATTCACACTGCTAGGCAGAATGCTACGCTTAAACAGCTACTAATTTTATGTAAAATTTTGTGAACATATCTGACCATTATTACTAGACTACTATTTTATCTCCTAGACAAATTGACAGTATACAGCCAACTTCAGAAAAATGAGTAAATTGATCAATTTTGTTATCAAAGTTAGTATATATTTATTATAACTATCATAGGTTCAAATTGTGCAAATTGTTACAGGTGCAGCTGTGTTTTCTCGTTACGAGGGCTGGAGTTATTTCGACAGTTTTTACTATTGCTTTGTTACACTCACAACCATTGGATTTGGGGATTACGTTGCTTTACAGGTATTTTCTACCATGCCTTTACCACAGTTAAAAACTCTACTTCCGGCACATTAGGCACCAATTTTGGGGTGGAAACTGATCACCCATCACCTCCATAATTACATTTTCAGTAATGAATTTTGATTGAATTCATTTAATCAGTTTCTTTAGATTTCTTTTTACAAAAATATTATAAAACATGTAAACCAATCCAATATGTCTGCTTTAGAAAAATTCAAAGATTTTTTGTTTTTCGAATTTGTTCTTATATTTTGTATTCCTTTTATAAAAATTTAAAATTATTTTCAGAATGATCAAGCGCTGACTAGTAAACCTGGATACGTCGCTCTGAGTCTCGTTTTCATACTATTCGGACTGGCGGTGGTCGCCGCTAGTATCAACTTGCTTGTTCTTCGGTTCATGACAATGTAAGTACAAGATGTTAAGATTTAAGTGGCTACCCATATTAAAAAAACGTCAACTCTTGATCTCTTATGAATTATGAACATGATCTCTTATGTATACTATAAATATGAAATTGTTACTTACTCGTCCAGGGATGAATAGCTTTCTAATAATAATTAAATATGATTTTATTATTTTTATATTTTCTATATGGGATAGTGCAGAAATGTTTTACTAAATAAATGATTGATAATTAACATATTCTTTGTCTTAACCACTAAAACATACAATAATAGAATACAATTAGAAATAATATAAACAAAATAGTGAATTTATCTCTAAAAAAAGATCTTTTATTATTGAGAATTTTTAAACCTTTCATGATTCACCAGAGAATGATTTTACATAGAAAACTTTATGGGCACAAATTTAAAATGTATATTATAAGTATTATACATATAAGAATATAATTTTATATGGTGGTAACACGTAATAGTGTTCTCAGTCAGTAAACGATAAGGTATACAGAGTACATTATATTATTAATATGTATATTTTAACCGTAGCTCAAACTTTTATCAAGATACACCATTATTTTAAAATATTGTTTATTTCATTTTATTAATTTATATTTGGAGGGTTAGTAATAAATAAATATTATTATAAAATTGGACAGGAAGTAAGGAAGGATTTGCACTAAGATGTTTGTCAGTCAATCTCATTTCAATATTCAGGCAAGCCGAGGAGAACGCGCGCGACGAGGAGAAAGATGGCTCCCGGACTCTACTGCCGCTCGATGCGCGTCGCGATCATGACGATCAGGCCTCTGTAAGTAATACATCACTCTCATCAACCTTTACGATTCCCATTTGAATCACACCTGGCTCATAACCTAAATCTTTAAAGATATTTTAGAATATCACCTCTCACAATACTTACTCCATTCGTAACTTCTATTTTTGAATTTCTTGACATTATTACTTTTTGTTTTAATGTTATAACTACCGGTTTAACTTACGTGTAATTAGATAGAAAAAGCTTGACTAGTTTCGGAAACAATTCGTGATCCTTAGTCATGAGTGACTGTTACACGAGCACGAGCCTGACTGCGTGCTTCGGCCTGCTGAGCGCGATTGTGGTTGTTGATTGTGTTTAGTTTTATTACTTCATATAATATGTTTGCAATTTAGACAATATAGATAGATTTATATTCATACCAATGTAAACTAACTTTACATAAAGGAGTCGCAGTAGTAGAAATTTGTGGTGGGGTTATTCACATGTCCTAAATATATTGACGAATTGGTTCCAGGTGTGTTCCTGCAATTGCCTCGGTAACAAGCAATGTGAAGGCGGCGCGTTGCTGGCGGCGCCAGTGCGGCCCCATCGCCTACTATCCCGCGCCTCACTTACACCCGACCTCATCGAGAGGGCTTCTGTATAAATTATTGATAAATATTTCAGCCCATCACAATAAAAAATCAATTAATCTTAGTTCTCAAGAATGGCAACGCATGGGGGGTATCATGGGCAACACAGTTTACTCTGTTATGTCCATGGTACTGCTCATGTCTATAGGCGACGGTTACCACTTTCCATCAGGTGGGCCGTCAGCTTGACTGCCATTAAAAGAAAATGGAACTCATTTATCTATTGTACATATAAAAAACAAAAGTTTTTATAACTGACTGATCATTCAACGCACAGCCAAAACCGCTTGGGTTAAAAAATTATTATATAAACTCATATCTGTCCTGTAATTTAAAAATGGAACGACCTTTTACTTCGGAACATGGCTACCAAGGAGGTAACTAATAAAAGGTTTTATTTAAATTTCGAATTGGCTTGCAAATAGAAAGCTGTTTATTGAAAAAAAAAAACAAAGAAACATTATGGCGCGTGAAAAATTATTATTGTTCGTTATTCGTCATTGAACTTAAAAAGTAAAATTGTGTTTTTGATTTCCGCGTATTGTTTGAGAAAAGTACTTTACAAGCCTTGGCCACAACTAGGCATTGATGGACTCACGTGTGTGTGCTTCGGCTACACCTCGGCCCTCATTTGCACTTTCGTCCATCAATGCCTCTGTTTCTAGCCGCTGCAGTAATGTACTATAAATTTTAAGTTTTTCTTATGACGTAAGCGTGTACTGAGTGAGTTTTCTCGAAATTTTTACTGCAATGCAAAATATATTAAGAGGCGTAGCATGAAGATTCTACATGGTACATTTACGTCTAATGTGTATAGATATACATATATATTATTTACTAATTATTGTATGCTATTATGATAACATATGTATCATAATTTAAATGGCTTATATGTTTCATATGTTTTTAATTTATGATAAATCATGAAATTAGTTTATTCATATTGAAAGATAGACCAAACGATTGTACTATTAAAATTTTTATATAGGTATATATTCTTTATTGCACTTGTAAATTACATAATGCATTTATAAATATTGTAAGCAAGGGTGGACTTATATTTGACAGAGATCTCTTCCAGTCAATCCAGTACAGTTGGTAAGTATGTTATTAGCAGGCATAAATGCTTTTGAACAATTTTGTAACGACATCTCTTAATTATTGTGGGAAAATATACAATTATTCTTTGCTTATACAAATATAATAATTCAAAGAGGTTTATAAAAATCTATCTACAAATAAAAGGGAATTTAATTTCTACAATAATAAATGAAGGGAATAAAGACAAGTAAAATAGTTACAAATACTTTGTTATATTCTCCGTTATAGTATGAAGTACCGAGAATCGATTAGGAAGAAAGGTTCTTAGTGGCGATCTCATATAGGTAAATGCAGTGTAGGACGCCCCTCCTTAATAAATGGAGCAACGAGCTCCAATGCATGGCAAGGAGTCAGTGAAAGCAGGTGACTCAGGATCGTTTCTTATGGCAGTTTCTAGGGGAGGTCTATGTTTAGAAGTGAACAGGTAGGGCTTATTTCGAAGTTAAATTAGTATGTGTAATTTGTAACTTATAAGGTTTCATCTGTTAACATTTTGAATGTTAAAACTGTATGTACAAAATTATTTAAGAATATTAAGGTAATGAAAGATGTTAGTAGATTTGTTATACAATACACACTCACAATAATAATGTATTATATACAACTGTCAAGTACGTATCGAATCACGCGTTATAAAGGGTTCCGTGGCTATTCTAATAATAAACTTTTAACATAACTAATTTGCCTGATCTGTGCAGTAAAAGTGGGCTAATGTTTTACTGTTGTGAGGAAAATCTCGATAATTATGCATTGTTGTAATCCAAAGGACAACGGCAAATCAGCGGCGGAGGATCGGCGACAAAAATCGTCGATGCTCAGTTGTCGATCTTCCGCCCCGAGAGACTTGTGGAAAATATCCTTTTTATAGTTAGTCTCTGAAATGCACAAACTGGTCATTGTTCATAATTACAGTTGCATTGAATAAAAACAAGCTTGAGTTTTAGAGACCACTGATTTTGTAGTGATTACAAACTATAAATGTATCAAAGATAAGCTGCAAATTATGGTTGACTTCAAGCAAATTACTTTGACAGGACATTGAGGTAATATGAGTATTGCTACGGAACCTTGAAACAATATGTATTGTGATAAATTTTAAATATAGTGCAAACCGCAGCTCACTGTATTGATAAATATTTTGATGTTAGGGTATGTAATGCACGTATGATAAAAGTGGTAAGGAAACTACAATGTAAGCAAGTACCAATAATAATATAAATATATTGTATTCAGAAAGCCTTGCTTTTTTTTGTAACTTGCGTAATGTCTATTAAAATTTCAATAACTAGAGTCTAATTGGCAAAACGGCTAATATTTTTTGTCACTTCTTTGTAGTAATAAATATATATTGAAAAATATATTTTCCTTCCGAATTATATAACATAGTCACATTTTCAAACAGAACGCAAGGTTCCAATTTTTTACTTTAATGCTATTTTAAAATAGTTTTTGTGTGTTTTTGTACGTTATATTGTAGGTAAGGCCCCTAATGTTATCTGGTCATGGCTGTGTTACCTTCGAAGCGCGACATAAAGTGCCCAAGAGAGTTTTTAATCTTTCAATTTTAGACGCTGTACTTGCATAAACTTTATACAAGCAAGGCTTTCAGGTAATCTTGGGGAGAGTTTAAAAACAATTTTATGCGAAATGTAATACGATTCATTTTATATAATTCACTGATTTGAATAGACATCTCGCAGTAGTTTCTTTTTTTGTGTGTAATTGAATGGTAACTTCGCCTGTGCTATTGGTATACGCTGCCGAGGCACTAGTGGGGGATGATGTGTGAGAATAAAAGTAGGGGATCTACTATGAAATCAAATATTGATTTTTCAAATTCAATTTCGTATTTGTAATAATTCTTACCATAAAAGTTCAAAGGAATGATATATTAACATATATAATATTTTTAATTAGTATGTACTATGTAATCAAATTTGTGTTTCGTTCGAAATGTATTATGATTCGCATAAAGCGACTCTTATTCCATATTTATACGTATGAAATTGAGATTAATTTAGAAATAACAAACGAATGTAGTGTGTATGTGAAATAAAATATAAGGACACATCGTAAAATAAGTATGACAGTGCCAAATATTTTATACAAACATTTTTAATAAAAACACTTGGTACTTATTATGATATAGATCATAGGCGTATTTAAGTTGGAGGGGTTATGGTCACTTCAGAATTAACTGATGCCCGCCTCAGGATGCAAGCAGAAATATGAGCAAAGACATGTTTGAGAGTACATAATATGCTTTTTTAAGGGGCCAGGCCCCTCTGGAAACTCTAAAATACGCCAATGACATCATAAATAATAATATATTTATCTGATTTGAATATTATAATTTAATCAATTTACTTGCGTATTGCTTATGCAATGATTATTTTTAACCCTTCTTTGCATGTTTTTTTTTATTGGTGAAATAAATTTTACGTGATATATTTCATGTTCAAAATTAAAAGAAAAATGGTTAAAAAAATAAATTTGACAGCTATGTTTTTTTTTTCTGCAATGGACATTAAAAAGGTATCCAGACACGATTCACTTAAAGTGAACTTGTTCTTTTATATATAATGTTATGATGGAAATTTCCACCAATTTGTTTAAGAAGGGTTAAATATAACTGACATTAGGTATTTTATACAGTTGCTTTGCGAATTTTTCTAGTCACATGAATACTCGTTTATAGAGTAGCTAGTGTAAGTTCCACTATTTTATATTTTGTACAAAGATTTACGTTAATGCTCCGCTAGCCACAGGCATATGTAGTTGGGGGGGGGGGGGATAGATAATCTCCTTTCCAGAATTGTCTAATATCCAATCAAGGATTCAAGCAGAGCTTTCGAGCTGTACACAGAAACATGTTTGTGATTACATACATATACGACTGATGTAATATTACAATACAGGAAGACTTTTAGCAAACAACTTTTTCCTTATTGAATAATTTATTTTAATACAGTACATGTGGAACGTTCAACAATGCGGAGCGAACAGAGAGAGAAAAAAAAATACACTTTAATACAATATAGAGGCATAGATCATAATCGTGTACAGCCATGGGTGTGAGAGTGTGCTCTATCTTAGGTTACAACAACGACTTTAAGAAAGCCTTTTCGGAAAACGTTTCATGGTAGACCCTCATATCAGATCGAAACTTTATAACGTAGACAATTTTAACGTAAATCTTTGAACAAATCACATTTGGCGATCAATATATTGTTGAATTAAATATACAGGCGCAGAAGATTGTAAGTGTAAGAATTTATTTATTATATACGTAATAATTATTTACAATGTAGGTATACTACACATCATAGGATTTTTTTCTACGCAGTGTCATATCCTGTCCTGCACAGTGAACACTTTGTGTATGCAACAAGTTGAATATGTTTTAATATTTGACAATAGACGTATCCGTACCTGTATACTTAATATTGTAACAGTCTGTATTTATTTATTTAATTATCTTTAATTAACGCATATTGTATATTTGTTCTGTGATATAATTTGATCTCTATTGAGTCGTTATAAACGCTTGATTTTTTTTTAATTAATGGTAAAAATTTATTTTAGGCTTTTTAAAAAAAATAAATTATTAATTCAGTGGTAATCGTAATTGTGCCAAATATTTGATGTGTTAATATTAATGTTATATGAATATGTTTTTACATTATTTACTTAGTATACTCGATGTATTAATATAATAATAAATGTTATATAAAATTTATATTGTTTTTACTTTATTTCTTATAATGTACCAATGTGAAAATTCTGTTCAACCAAATATACTTTTTAAACATGTCGCTCAATCATACCGGTAGTACACTAGTGACATCTGTGTATTTAGTTATACAATACTAATTACTATGCTGCTATGGTGTAGTACTTATAATATTTATTGATTACAAAAAATAGTGAAAACATTTTATTTTATAGGTATTTTGTTGTGAATAGTAAAATATTAAATCTAATTAACTGATTTAATGAATTTATATTAAGAATTGATGATTATTAATTAAAATTTATTATTAATGTATTAGTTTGTAATAAGTATTTGTTACAAAAAAAAGACAAATGATTACAGTGGATCACGTTTGGAGCTTATTCGTTTGATGTATTAATAAGTATTGCTATTAAATTATATTCCTACACTTTGTAAAATAATATAGGTCACTATTATTAGTGTTAAGTTTTGAAACGAATGTTTCTATTGTGCTATTTCTATTTCGTTACTTTATATATAGATGTCGCTATATAAAAACGCGTGGTTTCTACAACGCGATATTAAAGTTATCTCAGTTTTGATGACCTCAGCGCAGTGGTAATGTTCCGTTATCGCTTCTCGGCCTTTTGGCTAAGATCAAAGTGTAGTATCTGTTCTTATCAGCTTAATATCTGAAAGTTCCCTCACTGAGGGACCAGTATATTAAACTGATTTTTGTAAACCGACGGGATGTTCGGGGCTCGCTCCACTCCCGTCACGGGTCGGCCCGGCATTGCAGTGCCGCCGGGATTGGCCCACATAATTCATAAAATAATAATAGGGAACTTACTAATCATGATTGCTCTTAATTTTTCTGATCACATATGGATTACGTATATGTTTGAGCTATTTAGAGCAACACCTCTACACATATGACGAGTGATGCAAAATTGTTACGATTACTAATATAGCCCATATATACTGGAATTTACTGAATAATAAACTGATTTTTGTAAGCCGATAGAATGTTCTTTCTTAATGGATAATAATGGAATGGTAACCGCACCTGCGCATCAGTGAAGGATGATAAATGAAGATAGAGTAGGTCAGCCCAGACAAATTTAACAATGAACAAATTACAGTGGTTTCCAGTGGGAACCGCGAGGAGATATAACTGAAAGGATATAAAGTTAGTAATAGGATTGCTAATTCCCATTACTGACAATCCCTTCACCCCACTGACAGGATGTTGGAGATAGAGGGATCCATTTCTGTCATGGGACGGCCACATAGTTCATATAACGAATAATACGTAGTCCTGCTGTATGTGTGAGGTATATAAATATTATATCCTTTTCTTTAATATTATTTAATGGAATAATGGAATGGCCCCCCTAATGAAAAGTGGTAATCGTCGGTTATAGATATGAGCAGTACCATGGACATAACAGAGTACACTGTTTCGCCCATGGGTTGGCATTCCTGAAGACTCAGGTATTATTCCTCTATACTCTGTAAATTTATTGAAATTTCATTTTTTTTTAATGTTTATACTGTTTCTTAAGAAATAGAACATAAAAAATATTAACAATGACATTTATATTGAAATTTTCTAACACGTCGTCAAAAGCAATGTACTCTATCAGGTGGATCTCCACGCGGTTCCCTTCGGAAATCATCGCGATTAAATTACTGTTGAATTCATCATTGTGGGCTAACTGACGAGCTTTCATGGCGTGTTAGCCATTCCATTATCATCCCATACCTATCTCACTTTAATGTAGAATAAAATTATCTAATGGCACTGACCTATGTTCAATTAGTTAAAATTGTTTTATGTTTAGTCAGAGGTGACGAGCTGGCCTATAATAAATATCACTGCACAGTTAGACAACGAGCCATTTGATAAAATGTTCACCATGAAAACATTTAGCGTTAGTTCATTACTGTTAGTTTTTATTATGGTTTTAAATCAGTCCACTACAGCTTTGTTTTTGAGACCATTGTCCACAGAATTAAATGGTGTTAAGAAAGCGACCCGTTGTGAGTAATTTTTATGTTTATTTAATATATTCTACTAATATTTATTATAAATGTGACAGTTAGGTGTTTATTACTAAATCACGCCTTAACGGCTGCACGGATTTGAATGTAATTTGGTGCAAAGATGGACCATGTATTTGTATGACACATGGGATACGTTTTATCATAATTCATGCGGGTAATTATAGTAAATGGCTAATATTATAGTAAGGTACAACTCTAGCTATGTTCACGACTACGTTGGCGTAATTGAAATTAAAATAAATATAACAATAATATTAATTTGCTTTTATATTAATTATGAAAAATATTGTTTATACATACATATATACAAATTAGATTTGTATGACGTATTTGTAAGTACAGTTTATAAAAATATATAAATATATATTTTTTAATAAATTATAATACGATAAAATTTATATTTTATACAAATTCATAGGTACAAGCTGATTACCATCATATGTTGAAAATCTGACAAAATAAACATCGATTTAAAATTGTGCCTGTTATGTCGACCTCCACGCAGTTTCCCTAGGAAACCATCGTAGTTAATTTGAGGGGCCTGACTTTCTTTTTACCTGTCATCCATCATTTGTACCCCATCAATTATAGGATAAGCGGGTGAACCATTCTATCTTCATCCATTAAGAACTGTTAATATAGCGTTGAGACGGGCGAAGTCACTTTATTAAATTTTTTCTAAAAACGTTAATAAACAGGGAATCTGCCGTGGCTAGGAGTGGGCATGTGGTGTAACGGCTGCCCCCCGAGAAGCTGTGAGGACGACGAAGCCATCATACACGGGTACTGCTGTGGATGTGCTTATACTTTAGGTAAGTTTCAAATCTATTTTACAGAGACGATAAATAATCTCAAAAGTGATCCTATATTTTTGCCTGTCATACAGTACCGAACACGTATTCGTGCCAGTAGGTTACTAACTCAAATCGGAGGAACGAATTTATTTTAGTAACATACCTATCTACTGTCCGGTCGACGTCTAAATCGACTTCAATCTTTCGACATCATAATAATAATAATAATAGCCTTTATTAACAATCTTACAATATAGTTATAATAATTTAATTGTTTGACACCGGTACGTGAAGATTGTCTTGCTGTCCAGCATAGGCCTCCCCTAGAGTTCGCCACTGAATGCGATTCTGCGCTTATCTTTTCCAGGTGTGTCCCGCTATTTTTTTGATATCGTCTTTCCATCTACGACGCTGTCTCCCTTTTTTTCTCTTATATCGTCTCTGACACCACTCTGTAACATCCTTAGATCATTTTTCTTTATTTATTCTAACCAAATGTCCTGCCCAACTCCATTTTAGTTTCTTGATACAGTAAGTAACATCCGTGATTCCAGTGTCCAGTTTTACTTTATCTTTTAATTTGACGTTCAGTATACTTCGTTCCATACTGTGTTGGCAAATTTCTAATTTATGTATGTTATGATTAGTTAACCTCCAGGTTTGGCATCCATATGTCATAACAGGCAGAATACAAGAATTAAATATTTTGCTCTTCGCTTTCAGTGGTATGAGAGGGTTTTTCATTACCTCCTTAAGAGACCAGTATCTTTTCCATGCCAGCATGACTGTTGTTAATTTCTTTTGTTGTTAGGTCTTTTGGAAATATAATCGACATCATATCAGCTGTTAATTGTTCACTGCTGAACATAGGCTTCCCTCTGGGGACTACCCATAGAGGGGATGTCGTTAGTAATTGCCACGCATGGCAAGTGGGTTGACAACCGCAGTTAGGATTTTGGTGATGTTTAGAAAGGGATGCCCTGCCCATATTTCCAAGTCTAAATCCAAGTTCCCTTAGTTGCCTCTTACGACACCCATGGGAAAGGAAGGGGAACTTCAAGCTTAACATCAATATGAAACCTTAACTTCAACAATAAATATGATTTGAATTTTACTACATATAGACATGTTATTTTTTTAGACACACCTCTACCGCCTTAATAAACAATCTTAAATACTTTAATTATGTTTATATTTATATTTGCAGACAAATTGCCGGTGATGTGTCCAGAATTTCTACAATGCCCACTAAATCTGCACGGACTCTGTCACGACTATGAATATATGATGAGATGTTGTTGCTGATCTAATAACAAGTTTATAATATTAATAAAATTATTAAATCACAAAAAACTTATTAATTTGATAAAAAATTTGCTCCGACCTAGATGTGGTAGTCAGAGACATTGTTGTGAGAGTAACTGGATATATTAAGTCACATTTTTTTATACTTCTCTATAACCTGCTAAATTTCATAACGAAAAAGAAACATATTTTCACATTAATTAAATATTGTACTAAAGATGTAATTATAATATTATTGTTTGAGCTTCATCGAACGGCAACACTGAGAACTGTCGGGCGGTTTCGACTTAAGTCGACTCTGTAGGCCTACCATGAAATGATTTCCGAAATTTCGGGGACGAACGAGTTTCGGTACGAACAAAAACACGAAATTGAGCCCGAAAATTCGGAAGTTCATTTCATGGTAGACCACCTGTTCGCCATTTCATGTGACGCCACCGACTATATCTTACGCGTGCCTTTATTTTATATTGTTTAATGTTCAATTAACTACAATGAGAATTATAACAGTTTTACAGTCCACTGTTTTATCATTAAACCATCTTCCTTTATTAGTAAAGGCCTAAACAATTGGTCCTTCTAGCCGGGTATATACACTTATAGTATTTATATAAATTGTAACAATGATAAGGCTTGAAATAAAACATCTTTGTATAGCATACTGTTTTAATTTCTAAGAAACCCTCAATACAGAATTACAGTGGGTTAGCGGAATTGATTTATGTAAACTTAACTCTGACGTAATAGTATAAAAATAACGACATACATACGTTATAATTTCGACAGTTTAAAAGTAATGGTCGTGGTAAAATATTACAAATACCGAGAAATATCTGGATAACTTACATTTTTAATACTTAAGTTGAAGAAAATATAATGAAATAAATGTGTCCGATACTTATAATATTGTACCACTGTTAAAAATTAAAATTATCACATAATTGCTGTGATATATTATTATATATATGAACATATTTTTAGGTCGCGTTCACACCAAACATATTGTTAGCCGTCGACTATGAGCAGGCTCATTGACCGTCCCACTGTGATAGGGTCACAAATAATCTGCCGGAGAGTCGGTGACTACGAATAAATCGATAAAATTTCACTTAGTCGGCGGCCGACTATACGTTAGGTGTGAACATGCCCTTAATTAATATTATGATCCCGCTTTCTTTTAATCGTTGGCTACATAAGTTAATATAATAATATCTGTCTAAATTGTCTAAGGCCCATTTGCTATATCTACAATTTTGTGTTAAAAACTACGACCGGAGTCTCTAATTGGCGAGTTCTAACACAAAATCTTCAACACAGCATAACCCCAGTACGCAGTACGCTTCACGTTAATAATTATTATAATATATATTATGTATAGAGTAATGTAACACCCAGTGCATAGTTTGAAATTAGTACCTCAAGTGATAAAAATAACACAAGCTGGAATAAAATAATAGCCTACGAGATGGAACGGATATCTTTGAGAACGGTAAATTCTATATTAATGTGAACGTTGGCACACTACTCTATATCTGTATCACAGAGTACCTATAGATAGAGTATAAGCTTCAGCCAGCAATCAATCTAGAAAATATTACAAAAAAAAATTGTACTAAAACCTATGTCCTGATACGTTATTCTGCCATCAAGCAGCTGTGCTAATTATGTATCGGTTTGAAATTGGAATATGGCAATGAAATTACATAGTAAGGGCGCCAAATACAGCCTTTAGAAATAGTAACACAACAGAGATATAATGGGCATAATGCTGTTCAAGTCCATAGGCGACGGTAACCACATTTTAACAGATAGTCCATCAAATTTCCATTCCAAATTACGTAGAAAGAAAATGGTAGCCATCGAGAAATATAAATTTATTAAATACAGTACTGTGGTACCATCATTTCAGAGATATATGCAATTTCTAGATCATATACAATATCGGACCGAAATGTATTAGTATACCAAAAATGGTATCAATATAAGTAAGAAAAGACATTAGAAACCTTTTTGGAGGGAAATTAAAGACTCACAATCCTGTATATTTTACTGAATTAGGTGTTATTTTGAAGTCAGTTATGTATTTTATGTTACTAGTCCCATAAATCCTAATAGACAGCGGTTTTCACCTTCTAGATAGAACACTGGTTGTAAAGTTTACTCTACTTAGGTCCAACGTGCCAGTAGAACGCGTCGCAGTATTTCTATAGTGCATTGTTTATAATCTCACAGCGTCACAAGCATTTCATTGAGAGTCATTCGCTATATTATACTCTGTGTGCGTAAAATTATACATTTATTAAATTTCTATAACAATTATTATTACGTTACTTAATATTCTAACGTTAAGAGGCCCTTATTATAATTTACGACGTTGTATTATTCACCTATCAATTATTTTTCATTACTCTAAATTTATGATAGACATCACAAAATTTATTGAGTAGTTATGATAAAATTATATGCACAGTGTACGGAAATATGGTTTTTTATTAAAAAAAAAAAAAATTGGTTCCTTACGACTTTTATGACCACTGAGTGTTAGAATGTTCTATACATACTATACAATACACTGCATACAACTTTAGCATTACTATTAAAGTTTTTGTAATGTCTTAGTGATAAATCAGATTCCGTCGTTACGACGAGAAAGAGGGCCTTAAAACAAATTTAATTACGTACACAGAGTATAAAATCCGATATATATATAAATATATAATTCAGTACATTGTAGTGTGCGAGCGTTTCAACTATAGTTAGCTATAAGAACTCCAACGAGTACGATTACAAGGCTCGTCCCAGAGTCGCTATACGATACAAAACACGTGTGAATTTACCTCTCATACAATTAACTATGCTGCCCATAAGGTCGAACTTGCTAACGCTTTATAGAAACAGCACAAAATTAACCTACGATATTCATTATATATAAACATGTATAAACATACACCCATCTTTTTCACCTCGATCCAACAAAGTTTACGGACTGTAGCAACTTAATAGAAGTTAGCTTACGAGCGATGGGACGAGGCGTCGGCCCCGTCCGTACTATTTACTTTTTATAATCATAAAGATGCATTTTGAAACATTTTGTGGTAATTGCGTTTTTGTTGAGGGCGCGGCGGATTCCCACCTCGCTTGCGTGATGCCGCCGGCCTGTAATTATTCGTGTAAATAGTAAGTATATATTAAAAAACAATACAATTGCATATATATGTATAATATAGAAAAAAAAAATATTCGGGAAGTGTCTAGTTTTAAAGTATTTATATTAAAAAAAAGTAACATTGTTGGAAATGGGAAATAGTAGCTTTATTGCTACTATTACATCAGGTAGCAACTTTCACGTAAGAAGTTGCTAGCCATTGTGTTTAATCCTGGTGAATTAGTCACAACTTGAATTCATTCTCAAATAGCACCCCTTGTTGAGGAGGCAGGGATTGTTAGTTATGCAGACTACCAGTCCGATTGCTAGCCATATACCCTGACAGACCGACCTGCCCATGGTTCCTCCTGGAAACCATCGTGCTGAATTTCAGATGTATTCATTACGTTATCTGACCTGTCTTATCATTCTCACCTATCATTTCTCTGGTTTTTTTAATAGATGGAACGGTAAACTCGCTTGCGTTAATGGTATACGCTGGACACCAGTGAGAGATGATAGGGGAGAATGAAAAGGCATGTCATTTTGCCTATCGTAATAAATATACTTAGAATTCAGCAGGATAAATATGAGGAGGTGGTATTTTTTTTTTATACAACTTAGAATGGCAAATAAGCTGACGGCCCACCTGTTGGAAAGTGGTAACCGTCGCCTATAGACATGAGCAGTACCATGGACATAATAGAGTATACTGTTTCGCCCATGATACCCACTATGCGTTGCCATTTCTGAGGACTCAGGTGTTATTCCTCTGTACCCTGTAAATTCACGCCATATCCCACCCTTCAAACCGAAACACAGCCGTGTAAACACAACTGCTTCACGGTTGAAACACGAATAGGACAGAGGTACCCAAGCAATCGACTTTTGTACAAAGTCTCCCTCTGGTATTAGATCTGGTAATAAATGGTACCGCGGGGAGGTTGATCTGACAGGGTATATTGCTAGCAATGGGGCTGACAGTCCCCAATACCAGCAATCCCCTCCCCCCGGTCGATGAGCGTGTATCAGTGTACGTACCGTGACGCGGCGCGGCGCGGCGAGCAGTTCAGCAGCACGAGGACTTGCCGGTGTCGATGGGGCGGCCGGGGTCGATCCGCACGGAGGCGCCGGCGGGCGCGGCGCCGGCCGACGGCGGGCCCACGCGCGCCTTGATCTCCGCCGCCATCGTCATGAACGCCTGCTCCACGTTCGTCGAGTTCTTCGCCGACGTCTCCAGGAACGGTATGCCCAGCTGCTCGGCATATTGCTGCAATTTTAATTAATTTTGTTGCTTTACTTCTAGACCCGACATTATAAGCTATGCGTTTTTTTTAATCGGTGATAATGGAATGGTCACCCTGCCTGCGCTATCGGAATACGCTGGCGGGGTACCAGTGAGGGATGACAGGTGAGGATGAAAAAGCAGATTAGTTAGCCCATCGTGACGAATTCCACTAGAATTAACCACGACGGTTTCCAGCGGGAACCGCATAGAGGTCGACCTGATAGGGTGTATTGCTAGCCATAGGTCAATTAGACCCCATTATTAACAATCCCTTTCCTCCCCTATAAGTTGTGCGTTGTAATGCTATTGAGTGAGGGGAAAGGGATTCTTAGTAACGGGGGTCCAATAGCCCCATTGCTAGAAATATGCCCTATCAACTCAACCTTCACACGGTTCCCCCTGGAAACTATCGTGGTTATTTCTTGTTGAATTCGTCACGACGGGCTAACTGATCTGCTTCCATTCGCACCTATCAACCCTCACTGATGTCCCACCAACGTATACCGACAGTGGGGTTACCATTTCATTATCATCTATTTAAAAAATAAATGTCATGGAGTATCTACCGTATTATTAAATACACAATCAAACTGCCAGCATTACATCACTTGTTCGAAATTAACCTTTTTATATATTTTGATAATTATAGTTTTTTTATAAAAAATAATATTTATAAACAATTGAAAAAGAACAAAATATATACTATACATCAAGTCAACAGACGACAATTTTATTTTACAACTAATATAATTAATAAATGATATATACAAAACAAGAACCAGCATATTTTACAAACATAATTTAGTGGTCCTTCGAGCCGGTAGTTTTTTATAAAAAAAACTACAATTGTCAATATATAAAAAGGTTAATTTTGAACATCACTAAAACACACAATTTATATCCTCTCATAAGTATTAAAAATTGGACATGTCATATTATTACAGATGGCACAATATATTTTCTGAAGAAAAATATTAAATTTCAATACTAAAACACTTAATAAAAGATAATTATTTAATTATTATTAATTTACAATGCAGTTTTATATTTAGGTAACAGTATGTTAGAAAGCTGGCTGCTTTTTGCACATACCGGGCTCGTCTTTCACATATTTATTTACAGAATAACCACCCCTTCCTTTCCCGTGGGTGTAGTAAGAGGTGAATAAGGGAGGTCGAGGGATAAGCAGCAGCATCCCTCTTAAAACATCTACAAAGCTTAACTGCGGTTGCCAATATGCCTGCCAAGCGTGGCTATTACTGGCGAAACCCCAAAAGAGGAGAGTTACGTTTTTATGTTCAGCAGTGGTCTCTGTTAAAGGCTGTTATGATAATGATTAAGAATATATGGCATACTCATACACTGTGACGCCCATATTAGCCTCTCACGCCAGAGGGAGACTTTGTACAAAAGTCGATTGCTTGGGTACCTCTGTCCCATTCGTATTTCAACCGTAGAGCATTTTGTTTGCATAGCTGTGTTTCGGTTTGAAGGGTGGGATATGGCAGTCAATTTACTGGATACAGAGGAATAACACCTGAGTCCTCAGGAATGGCATACGCATGGGGGGTATCATGGGCAAAACAGTATACTCCGTTATGTCCATGGTGCTGCTCATGTCTATAGGCGACGGTTATCACTTTCCATCGGGTGGGCCGTCAGCTTGTTTGCCATTCTAAGTTGTATAAAAAAAAAAACGCGATGCTATATTGCGTTCTCGTAATGGACGGTGCATGCTTACGTTAGCCGTTGTGTAGTCGACCACTTTCTTGGTGGTGAGGTCGCACTTGTTGCCAACGAGCAACTTGTTCACGTTATCGCACGCGTAGCGGTCGATCTCCTCCAGCCACTGCTTCACGTTGCTGAACGAGTCCTGGAAATTATAAAACAATTTATATTTTTACTAGTTCATACCTGCGACTTTGACCATGATATTAATGGAGCTGTATAAACGGATGTTTCTATTAAAAATGGTGATAATTGACACCATCATTTTTGTTTATATCGATGATTATATATGCAACTTTGTCTGTGCCACTAGATAGTATTATTTGATCAAGATAAAAAAAAATAGCCAATGTCATTCTCTAACTTAAATAGTGACCACCTTATTAATGAAAACTAAAACTTCCTACAAATCTATTTTAGCTAGTAATAGTTTTGTCACTTTGTTTCAAACTAGAAAATTAGCGCGTTAGAAAAGGACATGACATTTCACTGAAATAGGTGTTATATTATTATTTGTTGTGTTATGCAATCACACATACTAATGGTAACGGAATTAAACAAAATAATTCTAATCAAATAACCAGTGATATAGACTTCCGGAAAATAAATTCTTCCTGCGTTTTTAGTTTTACTTTTAATTGATACATTATTACATATAATTTGAGTACAATATAACTGAATACATAGTTCGTCCGTTATTGTCTTACCCTCATATACATAAAAACAAATCTCTTTAGCTGCACAGTAACCTCGGACATTCTATAGTTTTCTTTCAGCTTCTAAAAGGTTGACTGTAAAAGATCCCTCTATGGGATAAGCCCACCATTGTATATTAAAGCTTTTTTATGTGTCTAATATAAATTATGCACAATAAAGATTTTACAACAATGACAATCTCCCATAAACCTATTTTTGACATTCAAGGGTTTTGTCTTTTACTTTTACACTAAATGAAATATGTGTATGTTTATGTATATATTTGAGATTTTTTACTTTAAATGTTTGTATATGATAGTATATATATATATATATATAATAGAACGCCACCTTTTGTCTTTTTCTCAATGTCCTCTACCCAAAGGTCGTCTGGAAATCAAGCAATCTCGCTTATATTATATATATCGATAAGGCCGCCTTTTGTATCACTTCTCATTTATATTTAAGTACTCTATTTATTATTTTTTTACTTGTTGCAATAAAGTGTAAAACAAATAAATTTCCAATTTGAAAAAAAAAAAGACAAAACACTGTAATAGTTAAAATAGATTTGAAAAAGGTTTTTATATGAATAATAAAGTGTAATATTTTGCAGGGAAAGATAAAAAGTTATCTAACTTAGGGATTCACACTTATGACAATAGAATATCTACACAATGAGTAATAAGGGAATTGAGGCTAACAGAGAATAAATTGTCTGCAATATGGAAAAAAGAAAAAACATTTTATCGAAGCAGTGCTGACTCATGACGCTCTGATCTTGACGTAATTAATTATTATTGAAAAACATTGTATGACAAGTGACGACATGTTGCAAGGATTTACATAATTAAATGTACGCAAATATACACGTGATGCATATGAACACGAGTCGAGTGTATTAATATTATAAATGTGAAAGTGAGTTTGTTTGTTACTTCTTGACGATTTAACGGCTAAACGTCTAACTTAAGTAATTGTCCCACGTATAAACGTAGTATTTAAAATGCAGATAGACGTAGAAACAATGCACTAGTGTATATACACAGCAAAACTCGAAACATTTATCTTGATATTATTACGTCGGTACAGATTACCTATATCTGAATTACAATTTGGATATAGTCATATTTCCTGTTCTAATATGTATGTTTGCCTGTATTATCTGTCATTTCCGTTTCTTTGGAATATTTACCTCATTACTGTTGAACATTCATCATGACATACATTAGACACGTATATACAAAAGCAATCATAAAGAATGTACGGTAATGACAATGATAGGCCTAATTCAAATTAATTTCCAAGTAGCTTTTTATGGCGTGACCCCCCCTAGTATGTAAAAAATTTTTGCGATCCCCTACACTACATCTGTAAATCTATACATTGTTATTTATAATACAATGTACAAATAATACATAATAAAATACCTAAAATAGACATTGATTACTTTGCATAATTGTTGTTTTTTTTTTTATGGCTTCGCGTTCTTCCAAAACCCCATTGTAGAGGCTTGGGAATTACCTAGGGTCCGCGACCAACACTTTGAAAAACACTGCCTTAACTAATAGGGTAAGATTTTTTTGTTTGAAAGTCATTAAGCTTTATGACTTTAAAACTTTGCTACAGTTGACCACATGTCAGTTGCAACTAGCACGGACTGCAGCTTGAAAAAAGATCTATTTAGGTATCCAACAGGTACAACCATGGTTTCTTATACTAAGGTTATTTTTTTCATGCAGTTATCAAGTCTACCCCTATTTTTGTCCGATTTTGTCCACAAATAGCACTCGAGTATAAATTAACAAAGGATTTTTTGTTTATTCTCGAAAGGTCTTAGTTCTGTAATGTTTTTATAGACTATTAATTTTTACCTGCAACTTTGAGTGACCAGGATACATTGTAAATAAACTCATTTAAAAAAATGAACTGATACTTATTTACATAAAAAAAAAATGTTGAAAATCGAATACAAGAAACATTATTGAATTTGCTCTGATTTTATAATTTATGCGATAAAAATATTCTATATAGAATCGGTCTCAAGTTATTTGCAAACAAAAAAAGACTTGTGATATATTTTTCTATAAGAAATTCTATTTTCTGTTAAAAGATTAATAGATTATATATATTAATTGTTAATAGATATTAATACAGCAAATCTTATTGTTTGCAAAAAGAATCAGCATAATCGATCAAGAATGGGTGAAAATAATGCATGGTAAAGTTAAAAATACAAAATATATTTTGCTATATGGTGTTAATGGATTCTTTTATATTGTTTTTTTTTTTTTTAACATGCTTTCAAACAATCTGTATACTTATTAAAATAAGGGAATGAAACATTTGGCAATATTAAAAGGACATTTTAGAGCAGGTTACCTGCCATTACCCAGTCACCGATTCCTAAGAAGAAACATTCAAGCGATCTCTGTTCAAGCCACAGTCCATACAAGTTGCAACTGATAACATGTAGTGAAATGTAGTTTAAATTTATATAGCTTAAATGATTTCCAAACAAAAAAAGTCTCTTTATTGATCAAGGAAACAAAGAGGCAGGATCAGCCATAGTGAACACATTTAAAGGAGATTTTTGTTAAATGGGCATGTATGGCTGTCTTTGATAGTACATCTACAGTTTTACATGTACTCTTCCAAACTGCCTGTGAGTATATATATTTACTTTATATGAGTATATATACTTATAATATGAACTTATAATTCAGAATTTTATTTTGTATACTCTAAGATAGTTATTTCATATTAAATGATAACATACAAGGTTAATATTAATGTTAACATAATGCTTAAATACAAGAAAACTAGGTTACTAATTCTCTGCTATATTCTTTGTTTACAAACTGTGACTTATATTTTGGCAACTAATCAACTTTGTATTTACGATAATTATGATTTAAGGCAGAGGTTGAAATACCCATCGAGTACTCTTTTATATACATTCTATAAGTTAATTAAGATAAAAAAAATTCCATGAACTTTTGAGTCTTCTTTTGTTCATAGTTTTTGCCATAGCAAACAAACATATTTTTACCTATGATAGATAGGAAATTGCTATAGCTCGAGGACATTAGCAATGCTAGAGTTGCCAACATGAGGGAGGCTTTTCCCTCTTATTCACTTGATTGTTTGTCATGGCATCATAGACAATGAACTATTCTAATTTAATATTTCTTATCAAACAATAAACTCTCATCAATGTACATTGTCTAATGTATTTTGATTAGGAAATAGTATATAAATTTACTTTGTACATTTGTACAATAATACATCAAGATAATAAATACTGTTTTGTGACTATAATTATAACAGGAAGTTCATGTACTTGCTGTCAATAAAACCAACCAACATAAATTGATAAATATTGAAAGATATTTCAAAAATGACTTTCATTTTTTAATTACACGATACAGGTGTGCATGCCTAATGTGTAATTTGTAGAATTAATCATCTATGTAAAAGTGTTTTTGGCAAATAAATATTCATTTCATAAAGATTGTACAAAACCTTTTATATCTGTACTTTTATTTCACTTCTTATATGTACAATCTTTTAAAAAAAAAATGTCTGAATAAAGGCTTATATTATTATTATATTATTATATATTATATGTACAACCACATTATCTAGCTGCCCATGCAGTAATTTACCAATCACAAAAAAAATGTGTTTACAATGTTATGAAATGTTTAATTATGATATTATTATTATTAATTACCATGCACACAAGAATAGCTAGAGAAGTATTAGATGAATAGATAAAAAAATGTGCCTGCTGCTTTTTTTTAACAGCAAATGGCTATAAAAATTTAATGAAGAAGCTTGTATCTTTCAATCTACACATTTTATATTAAACAACAAATAACCCAGATTCTACTGCATACTAAAAGAAAGTTTACATATAAATTAACAAGTGATTAAAATGTTTATTGCATAAATTAGATTTGTAATTAGATATGTTATTTGTGAAGTTACAGTATTTTTGTTTGTATGACTTTGAATAGCTCATATGATGGAATGTAGTAACTATTACATATAGACATGAGTATTTGTATATCTCAAAAAATTGTATATTAATTAAAAGAATTTAATTGAACAAAAGGATGAGCTCACTGTCAAGGTTTTCCCTAGAGACTATAATATGGAGTTCTTTAAAAAGGGTGTATTAAACTTTCTTCAGGGTCAGCAAAGTGCATGTGACAACTCCTAGTGTTGTAGGTGTTAATAGGCTGCAGTAACAGTTTACCATCAGACGGTTATATGCTTGTTTGCCACCTTTATGGTATAAAAAAGTTTTCCCTAAATAATTAAGATTATTTATATTTCAATACAGTTTCTTAGAAGTAATTTGCTTTTTAATACATAACAACAGAATAATATTTTGCATGTTGTACAGGCCACAGTTGCACCATGCTGTAATACACAAAACATATATCTAGACTAACCTGGTCTGTGCAATCATAAACAATGATAATTCCATGTGCTCCTCTGTAATATGATGAAGTGATTGTTCTAAACCGCTCCTGGCCTGCTGTGTCCCATATTTGTAATTTTATTGTCTTGCCATCTAATTCTACAGTCCTAATTTTAAAGTCCACACCAATGGTACTTATATAGCTCTCCGTGTAAGTGTCGTCGGCGAATCTGAGCAGTAGACATGATTTGCCAACACCAGAGTCGCCAATCAGGAGCAGTTTAAACAAGTAGTCGCTGGAAGTATCAAAAGAAGACAATTAAAGTGTGTTGGTGAAGTATTACAAAGACAACAATAAAAAAATTAACACGAGTAAATTATAAATTACAGATAAATCAGTGGAAGTAGGCGTATCACTATAAACAAAGACGTAGAGCGTAAGTTGCAAGTCCTTTCTTTATTATGTTTATAGTTTGTGATGTAGGAAGCGTAAGCAACATCTGTGATACAATCACGGTACAGTAACGCGTCAATCGTAGTTCATACGATTACGTTTTCACGTCGCTCCCACTGTTTCGTTAGTACCATGCAAACATGAGTCACCCGTGTTACTTTATATTAATTCATTATTAAACATTTTCCGTAACATTAAATAGAAAATCTAGTTAAAGATTAAAATTGAAATCTTATTCTAGGACAATGAACGTGCAAAAAAGAATGGATATAGTTCCTTGTACTTAAAAATCACCACGCAAACAGGAGATACTTACTATTCAGGATTCATATTTGTACTATAATTGCAACTTTTCCAAAACTATAAATTTAAAGAATATATTGAAAATAGTTAATGTCTTTGTTTCGTTTAGTACTAAACAGCTAAATTATAATTATACGTAGAATAATGGCCGCCGACCGAAACACCCACAATGACGACTGACGTAGTTCTGTCAAAACTCACGACAGGAGTGCCACCTGGCAGAAATGTGATGCGTTCACTAAACAAAATATTTATTGCACCATTTTTTACGTTTTATTTTGCAACTACTTTGTGAGGAGTGTCAATATCCTTTAGTTTCTATTATTTAGACCCTTTTCCGTGGAAAGTCCAATAAGCATTTAAAATGAATAAAAGTTATTTTTTTTATCAAAAATATGTGAAATATGTCCCTGGCTACTCTGGTTTGTTCTGTTTCATAATTGAATCCACAGATTAAATCTAATATTCTTGGAAGTTTTAGATTATATATGTACGTAAATATGTTTTATTGGATCTATGATCTAAATTGATGTACTTTATAACATGGTAATGAGAAGAACCGCGAATAACTTTATTTATGACAATGGTACCAAATGGCGGGAATGGTGTATATTTAGTTTAAATTGAACAGCTGTAGTTTGAATATACATAAATACGCTATAAGTCAATATGTAATTGTTTGTTATGATGATTTGGATATTACTTACATAAAAATAATAATTTTCGAGTTACGAGTCTCTTAACATGACGCTGGCAGAAATGGTCGTAAAAATAAAAACCGATAACCATTGAAGAAAAAAAATAATCGTATAATGATTTGTGTAAACAAATTTTTAAATTCTTCATGCATAGAAAGGTACTCCTCTTAATCTATTTTTCCACGGATTTCAAAAATTTGCATCTATAGATACGATACTCACTTTTGTCAGACTAGAAAATTAACTAAGGATTGCACTCATATGTATTATTATGGACTGTCTCTCGTCTGGTCTGAATTGTATATTTAGGGCTTTTCTAATTCATTTCTGCGGCTGCAGGATACCGTAATATGTAGAAATGTTTTGTATGGGAAAGTGCCTATGGATACTTTCTTCTATAAAATAGTTCGTATACGCAGACGAGAAAGAGAATAGCTTATACCTTCTTATTTCATAGTTGAAAGTTCACGTGAAGGTGATTCACTAGGTGATTTGTCACTAGGTATTATATTACCTAGTTACTAGTAACAAGATGTTACATAATTTCTGAACTGAGCTAAGATATCAGGCTAAGTTGAGGCAAATAGTAAAATAATGAAGTGTAAAACCAACTAAAATATTTTATTTAATTATGTACATAATAGAAACTAGAAAATTAGTGGGTTTATATTATTAGTAAATACAACTAAATATAATATGGTGAGATTTAATCTACAAAACATGTATAGACATTTACAAAATCATTTCTTGCAGGATACTGAGTGGAATTTTCCATATGTACAAATTTCTGTCTTTGTATCCAGCAATTATCTGTAACAACAAAAAAAGAATTAACATTAGATTTACTAAATTAAATAAATGTTGTTTATTATACAAAGAGAGCTCTCAGTGGAATATTATGTTGACTTAGAAATCACAAAGTTGGTAAGTTCAAATTGACCAAATATTGTAATTCCTTATTCTTAGGAATTGACAGATACCATAAACTTTTTGTGTCAGTTTTATTCATTACTGATAACTCGATCTTTATCCTTCCTATGAGTACACATATTAGGTACTACTCACTTTTATCTTTTTTTTCGTTTATTTATTTATTTTTAATTAGGTACACAACATATTATATATAAATTTAATAACTTTTTTTTGTGTAGTATGCTGATATGCATACCTATAGCCATTATATTTTTATTATTTAATGTGTTGGTAAAAAGTTTATATAATATTTAAATAAATTTATAAGTTTTTGGCTGGAGGAAGATGCATGAATTAGTTGCACCAACAAGAGGAAACTCTTAAATGAAAAGAGATAACTTTTTTAACCACAGTCTTTGTAAATCATTATAGGAATCATGTGAAAATTAGAGCTCTGTAATTGTCACTTACAGCATAATTCCGAGAGGATCCCTTTTGCGCCACTGTCTATTTGATATAATTATACATTTTTTGTTTCCTTCAATCTATGTAACTTTGTAGCAATAAACATATTATTAAGTTATTTTAAATTCCCGACTACAGTGATAGGTGTGTTTCAACCATGAAGAAGTTGTGTTTGCAAGGCTGTGTTTTTGTTAGAAAGGTGGGATATGGCAGTGAATTTACAGGGTACAGAGGAATAACACTTAAGTCTTCAGGAATGGCAACGCATGGAGGTATTATGGGCGAAACAGTATATTCTGTTATGTCTATGGTATTGCTCATGTCTATAGGCGACGGTTACCACTTTCTATCAGATAGGCCGTCAGCTTGTTTGCCATTCTAAGTTGCGTAAAAAAAAGACAACGAAATGACCGCCACGTTGGATATGCTAAGTGAAATGTGAGCACGTCGAATGTTACGTTTAACTACAATGGCAACAGTAAATGCAACATTTCTTGCATCAAATCATTTTTTCTTTTCTCCTCTTCTCAAAGGTTGTTTGGAAGAGATTATTTAAGCGATAAGACCGAATGCGTAGAATAAACAACTAAATAAATATTTTTTGCAATGAATACTAACATATATCATTAGCATCTATTAAATTATTTATAAAAGATCAAGAGTGCTAAAAAAAGGAAATCAGTATGAAAAGTTGAAAATTGAGTACGTATTGTATTTCGATCTGACACATGTTTTGTACTTTTACAGCATATACATGCATATAAATTTGCTCATTGCAAAATGTGTTAATTATTATTTTCTCTCCTGCAAGGTTTAGTATATATATCGTCATAGTCGTAGAATATTGACAGATATATATATTTAATATTTGTCAGATCCGTCAGTATTCTACGACTATGACAATATGTTTATGGTATAAATCCTGTAATAATGTATGTATTTATAAAAAAATGTATGTGATTTTATAAGTTGTTTAATACACAAGCTCTTAGTTTTAATTTTAGATGGCCCATTATTCGTTCAGGGTGGTGTGGTTACCGTTATAAGTCATGTTTTTATAGAAAATAATGTGATGTTGTAAAAGATAATAAATAAATCCTAACCAACTAGTACAATGTTTGGCTAATAACTTAAAAATAGGCGACTAAAAATATAGAGCAAATGATGCATGCTTTTTTAATTAAATTTAGAAGAATTTAAATGAATAATCAGTACCTAATAATCAATGAATCCTAATTGGAAGGTTATGTGTACAAATCATGATATAACTCACAAAGCAACTGCTTACAGTTGCTTCGAATGATTGCAAGTTGGCTAAAAAGATATTAAATAATAATGTGGGTATTTTAGTGCCGAGCATTGTAAACTAGAACAGCGATTATTAAACTGAGTTCCATGTAACCTAGAGGTTCAGTAAAAAATCATCAAGGTTCTGCGAAATTTTTAATACCGTGAAACAATTTCATTCTTCACATTAAAAATTTAAGGAAACTATAAAGTGTTATATTTAAAAAAAATATAAACTTTTGTTTTTATTTAAATTATTGTTGTTTACAATATGTTTTTGATTTGTAATCGTTTGATATAGGGTTCCATAAAATAAAAGGTTATTGGTGGGTGTTCCGTGATCATAAATTGTTTAGGAACCCCTGAACTAGAAAAAAGAAACTGGACGTACCTTGGTGCCCAGTATGGCAAGTGAGAGCAACATGAGGCCGGGCCCGCGCAGCTGCGCCAGCGGCCGCGGCTGGCCGTCGCGGTACACGTATACGCAGCCGTCGTAGCAGCCCGCGAACACCAGCCCGCCCGCCGCGCGCAAGCACACCGCGCCCTTGCCGCCCTCGTGAACGCTTGTGTGTGACCCGCTCTGCCGACACCATCATTCATCATGAGCCATCTCGCGGGGGCTCGCCTAATACTATGTTTGTTTGCATGAGAGCTCAAATGTCAAATATCATTATTGAATGTATATGATAGAAGCATTATTCATAAATACGATATACCCTTAATAACTAAGACCTAAAACCCGATAAACCTATTATCGCAAGATTTACGTTATTATGTTGCAAACTTGTCGAGTACTACAGACCATAGACAGCTGTCAAAAATATTATTGGATTTTAATAAAAATCTTGATGAATAGACAATTAGATATTTTTTTCAATAATAAAAAATATAATAATTGCTATTTTAATGAAAACAAGAATATATACATAAATCATATTAATAGATATAGGCCAGGTAAAGCAAATACAATGTTGATTAAATACGTCTTTAGGATGTGTGTGCATATCATATTATATTAATATAATTCTTCATAATTATTATCAGATTTGTAACTGATTCATATTTCAGATGATAAAAAAATAATAAATTGGATTTGTAAAATAATATATTAATTTGATGCCACTCATTTTAAGGTTAAAATGCCGTAAAAGTAAGTAAGTAAGCCGCAAGTAGCCATTATGACTTTATAGGACCGCTATTTGACGTTTTCGCATTATTAGTTTGATATAGTTGCTTTATAAATATAACTTTTTGCTATTATATAATAGGTTTATCATAGGTTTACAGATCATATATATCTGACGTCGCAATTCTACAGTTTATTTATTTATTTATTTCTTATTGCATTCCATAATATAATTTGTAGATGACATTTCAATTATGGACCCTGTTGGGCACAGCAAGTAGGAGAGAGAAGGACAACACTTTTTTCACTTTAGAAATAAGCTAAGGTTAGTTAAGTTATTGATGAGTTATAGTGTATTTCGGAATAAATTTTTATAATTACATTATTTCCTTGTTACTGAAAGCTTATAATTTTTATGTATAAGATAGAATAGTGTTATAATAGTAATAGTAGAAATATTTTAAATACTAACAGCATAATCAAAAACATGGATCTGATGACTGCTCGTTCCGCAGTACACCTTTCCATCTTCGTAAAGCAGGGTGTACACGGTCATCTTGGGTCCGACTAGAGTACGCAGCAGAAGGCCTGTTTGGGCATCTTTGATTGTGACATCTTCAGAGCGGGCCGCCACTAACAGCACCTTCCTGGGGCCTTCTTTCATTGCTCTTAACGCGAGAATCGACTGTTCGGAGAACTTCACCGTGCTCACTGGTATTAACATGTTGTTCTGTAACACAAATTATAACATTTTATAGATAGGTGATAATAAAACTACAATATGCTATCTATACATATTAAGCAATTATCCAGAATAAAATTAATTTTTAAATCCTATTTTGAAAATCACTCCTTTTACAATGTTTTGGAATTTTTAAAACAAAAAGTAATCAAGTTCTGATATTTCAGTGTTCCTATTCACATTTATAATTAAATGCTACATTAATAATTAAATCGTTTCCCGTGAAGGCGTTAAGTGACGTAATTGATGTCTGTTTTACGGACATAAAACAAAGAAATAGCCAGAATAAAAAAAGGTTTTTACATTCATTGAACATAGTATACATTTATAATATATAATAATACATTATTATTCAGGATAACGTTTGTTTATATTGGTCACAGTGTTTTCTGCATTTATATCAGTTTAGTACCCATAGTACAAACTCTAATTTGTTAGCACTAGATAGCACTGCGTAATATTTTGTTTATGTAATGTAGCCAAACAAGCAGATATCCCACCTGATGGAAAGTGGTAACCGTCGTCTATAAACATGAATAGTACCATGGACATAACAAATGTGTCTCTCATGATACTTCCTCATGTGTTGCTATTTCTGAGGACAAAGGTGTTATGCTTCTGAACTCTGTAATTTCATTGCTACTTTTTTTTTTATAATAAAGTGGGCAAAGAGCATGCGGCTCACCCGATGGTAAGTGATTACTGCCGTCGTACCTCACACCTTTCAAACCAAAACATAGCCATACAAACACAACTGCTTCACAGTAGAAACACGAATGGAACAGGTACGCAAGCAGATGACTTTTGTACATTCTTCCTTTAGGTGAAATATATACTACAAAGGTGGCGAATAAGAATACAGCCATTCTGATAATAAACGATCATTGTTGTATCAACGTTTACAACACCAAACTTAATAATATTGCTTCTTTCTATTATAATAAAATTCTAATTAGACTGTGTCTATTCATTAGAGATAATAAAGAGGTCTTAATAACAGTAATAGAAGCAAAAACGACCATTTTTGTCTGTCTGTATGTTTCTTATAGTATTACGCAAAAACTACTGCACCAAATTTGATGCGGATTTCACAGTTGTGTTGTTTTGAAGGTCTAACATCAAAATATGTGGTGTATCATGGGTTTAACTATTTCTGAAATCCACATGTACGAAGTGGGACGCAAAAAGTATAACAAACAATAGGTGTGCCACCTGTTACGTGAGCTGGTATATGCGCTTGCACTGCCCTGAATAAATAGCGAACCTGACCCAAACGCACGGTCAGCAGTCTCACAATGGCGTTAGTGACTCTATGCTTGGAAACAGTCCATATTAATTTTAAGAATTATTAATGCATCTGACTCATATCACAATACATTGTATTTTTTATATTGGTTGTAATTTTAAATGCATTTGTTTATAATCATGGTTACTTTCTCTGAAATGTAGAATCCATAATTCAGTTACATTTATTATTTGTTATATTTTGTTTATTTTACTTTGAACGAGCGATTCGGGCCTACTAGCTACTACTTTTACCCGCGACTTCGTCTGCGCAATCGGGATACGTTTATTGACCGAGATAAAAAGTAGCCTATATCCTTCTCAATCCCATATATTACGTGTACCAGAACTGGGCAAGTACATTCTTGGCTTTAATTAAAATACAAATTTTAAAATATCTCGTGTGTATTTAAAATACGTAATACGTACAACATACATTTAAGTAATTTGTAATATATAATATAGTATTTTCATTATTTTTATTTAAAATACAAATTAGAAAATACACTTAGGTATTAGGTAATATCAATAAAATAGAGCTAATCCAGCCGAGCCTATTAATCAGTAAAAGAAAAAATCAATTCCACGAATATGATACTTTGTTTACGAAACCTGTCGAGCGCTGTTTTCTACATATCTCACTCATTAATAAGATAGCTAAATGAACGTTAATGTATTTATGTTAAAATGTATTTTGGAGCCATAATTATTTCAAATATTAACTACAGAATGCTTAAGCGTCAAGTATTTGGAATACGAATTACTAATTACAATTTTAGGAAGCGATTGACATACAAACACCATAAATATAAACTTAATATATATAATTGCTGTTTATTTATTTTCAATTGCAAGTACTACCCAGCCCTGACATGTACCTGATATGTACCTATACTAAATTTCGTAGTAATTGGTTACGTCGTTAAGGCGTTATAATATAACAAATAAACTCACTTTTACATTTATAATATAAGTAAAGATGTTACACGCTTAAAATTTAGCTTTTTAAAGGTGAAAGAATTTTTAAAGTCTGTTGAGTAGTTTTTGAGTTTATCCATTACAAACAATCTTTCTTTTTTATAATATATGTATATATATGTGTATATATATATATATATATATATATATATATATATATATATATATATTAATGGGTGATAATGAAATAGTTCCCCCCGCCTGCGCTATGGGTATGCACTGTGCTGCGCTGTACCAGTGAGGGATAATAGGTTACTGTGAAAGCAGGTCAGTTAGCTTATCGTTATAAATTCCACTACAGTTGACTATGATAACTTCCAGCGGGAACCGCGTGGAGATCGACCTGATAGGGTGTATTGCTAGCAATGGGGCTGTCAAACCACTATTAATCCCTTTATCTTAATGTACAAGTATATATAGATTAGCTGATTTGATTATAGACCTCAGTCTATCAAAAGCTACACAATATTTATTTTATTATTATTATTAATTTTCTGTTATTCCTGTCTACTTACGTTCGACTAGTAGATAACGCCATATGGACTTTTTAAATTTTGCGCTTATCAACGGTTTTAATGATACATTTTTATTTATAAACTAGCGGCCCGTCTCGTCGTCGCACGGGTGGACATTTTTACATCTTAAAAAGTGGCCATTAAGGCTGCACACGCGAGGGAAGCTTAAAAATGGAGTAACTTACCCCGTTCTCTCAACATTCCCCTTGACTGCTCTGCTCCTATTGATCGTAGCGTGATGAAAATTATACTATAACCTGCCCAGGAGTATGAAGAATAATTGTACCAAGTTTCGTTAAAATCCGTCGAGTAGTTTTTGTTTCTATAACGAACATACAGACAGACAGACAAAAAATTTACTGATCGCATTTTTGGTATCAGTATCGATCACTAATCACCCCTTGATAGTTATTTTGGAAATATATTTCATGTACAGAATTGACCTCTCTACAGATTTATTATAAGTATAGATATAGATTTATTATTTATTATACTAGCTTTTTTCTCCGCTAATTCTTACTCGTACGCGTGATTTTCAGACGTAGAAATTGAAATAGACGATTTCTAGATAAAATATACATCAGATCCTAAGTTAGACCCTCAGGAATACACACATGAAAACCAAATTAAATTTGGTGCAGTAGTTTGTGCATGGAACAAACATACAGACGAGAAAAAATTCAAAAAAATATTGTTTTAGTATGTATTGGTTTTATTAAGACCCCTCTTATTTAATAGACTTTTCAATACACCTATAAAAATCAAATTAAATTTGGTGCAGTAATTTTTGCACGATACACACAGGACTATTTTTTTTATATCTCCGAGGTACAGACATGGTCTAGTTACAATTTTATTATGTTGGTAAGACGACGGTAGACCCTCCGCGCTCACGTTCAAAGCTTGCGCTCTCTTATGTAAGACGTGAGGTAAGATTTTGAAATGGCCTTCCCGTAATGTATTGCATTTATCCTATAACCGTGGATATTGTAAATGTTCACGCTATATATAGTCACGAATAACTTATTTATTATAATTTAAAGTTTTGAACTAACCTTACACTCAAACTGCAGAACAAATCCCGTCCGTGTTCCAACGAATATAGTGTCCCACGCTCTATCCATAGTCTGTATAGGACTAAGGACATTACACTCTGGTCCCTTCTCTAAGCCAGTCTGAAAGTAACAAGGTACAAAATAAGGTTTTATTATTATTTTTTTTTATAAAAAACTTATGTTTATTTTTTACCGATATACATACATACGTATAACGGGAAATTTTATATTATGTCATTTGATCAAATATAGACAAAGAAGATTTGTATATAAAGGCTTGTATGAAAAGGTTTTCGAGATTACTTATGTAAGTAAAAAAGAAATAATTGCCAATTAATTAATTCGAGTTCACCTCAATCAAATGACAACTTAGAATAGTCAATTTTAACAAATGATGAGTAGAGACAATCCTAAATATACGGGAAGTGTGAAAGAGAAAGAAGAGAAGGAATTTAAAGGTAAAATTTGGTTACTTACATCCAAATCGTAATAGCGTATCCTAGAATCTAAAGATCCTGTATATACTATGGTTTCATATTTTTCTTTGACAATGGTGAGGCATGTGACTGCTAAATTGGACCCTCGTAACGTCGTGATGAGTTGCCCGTCGCTGCTAAAGTGGTAGACATTGCCGTCCAGTCCAGCCGCCAAAAAGTCGTTTTCGATGCACTGTTGACCAAATATTAACTATACGTTATACATATACATACACATATATGTGTGTGTGTGTGACGCTAGTCCGCCGCTGTAGGTAGGCTGAAAAATGAAAATATCAAATGCTCCGATATAATTAAATTACTTTTGATAAGAGGTTTCTTCAGAGTTGGCAACGCGCGCGTAATACCTCAGGTTTTGCAGGCGTTCATAGGCTACGGTAACCGCTTACTATCAAGTGGGCCGGATGCTTGTTTGCCACTTCAGTGGTTTGAAAAATAAAAGAAACTTCGATAGTCTGCGGGAAAGGCATTGTTAGTAATGGGGATTTACCAGCCCCATTGCTAGCAATAATTGTCATACCCTATCAGGTCGACCTCCATTACGATTCCCTCCGGAAACCGTCTTGGTTAATTGTTGAGGAATTCGTCACGATAGGCCAGCTGAACTATCTTCATATTCATTTATCATCATTCACTGGAGCCTGGTGGTTATTATTCTGCAAAATTTCATGGCTTAAGGGGCATCTTTTTAATAGGCGAAAATGGAATAGTAATCCCGCCTGCGTAAATATTTGCTATACGTTTGCAATATCGACAGACGGGGTTGCCATTCCATTATAACTTATAAAAAAACTAGATGGTCTATCGGAATAATACACCCCTTCTAATAGTTGGTTATCGCACAATACAAACATTTAAATGTCTGTTTGTGGGTGTTTTCTATATATATATATTACATAATAAGTATGTACGTCTATCAGTTGTTTAGTATAAATAGTACAAACTTCTATCAGGCTCATATTTCCAACCAGTTATTTCAGATGATCTGGAATGTATACAGAAATATAATAGAAATGGGCTGAATCAATCACACTCATCTGTACAAATAACAGTTCAGTATTCACTCATCCATTATACAACAAATTACAAATGTATAAAATAAAGAACTTACCTCTACTGCTAATATAGCATCCGCGTTTCCAGCTACTAATACAGAGTCACGCTGCAACTTTTCGTCTGTGGAGTAATCATACATCTTGCATTCATTTTCCTCATGACCTCCAACGGGATTAACAGCTTCTTCTATTGACGACTGACTGTTATCCAGTATTATCTCCTCACTTATTGTGCCATCCATCCTGTCTGCTGCATCTTTATCCTCAGTTGATTTGACTTCATAATTATCACCAATGATTATGTCCTCTGATACATCCAACATGTCGAACTGTATATCATTCATAACTACTTCTTCAATGATGCTGTTTTCTCCTTTTTCTTCAACCATTTCATTATTTGTAACACTGGAATTGATGTGTAAGGGTTCTTCCTGATACTCTGACTCTATGTTATGCTCAGGTTCTTCATTTAGGTTATTTAAATACTTATCAATATCAATCTTTACTAAAATCACAGAACACTCTTTTAAGTAAATTTCAGTATTGCACTCAGGTTTTGGGGTTTTAACTTTTTTGGCAACTTTTTTCTTAGGTGTAACAGTGCGAGCTTTTTGTTTTAATGTTTTTTTCCTTGTCTTCAGAGGTGTATTTTCTAAATCATCCAGTGATATTATGTCTTCTAATGGTCTGTCATCTGTGATAATTTGTTCTATCAATGATATGTTTGGTGTTTTTATTTTTTTAGGATATCTTTTAGGACTCTCTGAAACTTCTTGATCCAAAATTTTCTGACGTCTAGTTCTTTTTGCTACTTTAATTGTTTCAATCTGTTCATTGTGAACAGATTCAAAAGCTATTTGTTCCAATTCTTCAACTGGTATGTTAGTGAAATCATCAACAATAGTGTCTTCAGAGATACTAACATTATCAGTTACATCTGTATCTCTGCATTCTTCCAAAGGACTCATGTTAACCACAGTCATACCCAATGTCTGCATGGTGTTATGTGGCGGATCTTTAGATTCTAATGAGTTATATAACTTGAACTTTTCTTGTAGCAAGACTTGTATTTCTAAATCAATTTCTTTCATTCTTTCAAAAGAATCAATTGATTTAAACCTAGATTTCTCAAAGGTAATAGGCTCAGTTTGTATTGCTTTTGTTATCATTTTTATTCTATCTGTTTGACAAAACCTAGTAGTGCTTGCTTTACTAACAAATGTTTGTGTCTCTTTTGAGAGCAGTTTTTTTATTCCATGTCCTTTTGCTGATTCAGATTTTGTAATTTTATTATTAGGAATAATCTTCGTTTTATTTGCCTCTGTAGGTTTATCAGAAACACTTGGTGGTAAGATAGTTGTATTTCTGTGTGCTTGATGTATACTAACTTTTCGTGGCTGTTCTACAAACATATCTATGTGTTTTAACTTACTTTTAGAATCAGATTTAGGTGTTTGATTACTAGTTGTAGTGGTACTAAGTTTTGGGCCAATGCTGGAATGACTGGAAGAACTAGAGAGATGTCTCTTCTTGCTTTCATTTTGTTTAGGTTTTGAAGATTTTGGCTCATCCTTCCTTTTTACATATTTGTCAGAATAATTTTTATCTGTACATTCAACTTTTTTAGACTCCTTGTTGTTTTCATCTTTGGAGGAAAACAAATTAAAAATAGATTTGGCTTCTTTACATTGTTCAACTTTTTTAGCTGCACAATCATTTATGTTTTTATTTAAGATCTGTTTATCAGTGTCAGGTAAACTGGAATCGCTTTTTTTACGTTTCTCTTTACGATGAGAAGGTTTTTGATCTAATGATCGTTTTCGTGCTGCTGTTGGAGTTGACGATTTAATTAGGGTGCCAGTGTTTTCTGATTTTCCGAGTTCCTTTTCCAAATGTTTTTGTTGAGATTGATCTTGTTTTAAATTGTCTTTACATACTGATATATTTTGATTAGGATCAGTACTTTTAATTGGTGAGATAGCAATTTCGTTTTTAATCTCAAATTCACTCTTTAATTCCTTTTTAATAGTAGATGGCTGTTTTAATGGTGTATTTGCTATATTTTGCAATGAACTATCAATCTTTTTTATAATTTTATGTGGAGTTCGTATTTCATTACTTTCAACTGAGGAGTTTATAGCATTAATTGATTGCTGGGGACTTAAGTCATCATAAGTTTCTATAAAGTTCGGATCAACAGCAACATGATACTGTTGATCTAATTCAGCAAATGGATCTTCATCATCCGAGAGTTGTTCTGTGTTTGTATCAAAAATTGGGAAAGGTGATTCAGTTTTTATATGTACTTCATCACACGACTTATTATCAATACTCCTCCTAGAGTGATTTATTAAAGTAGTATCATTATTTGGAAAATCTTCATCACATCTTTTAGAATCAATACTTCTTCTAGACATCCTTTGTTTTTCAATACATAATTTATTTTGATCTTGCTCACTGCTTTTTCTGCAAAGTCGTCTTTCAAATAGAGTGTTGGATGAATAATCTCTATCTTGATGATATTCATAGTTGTCATCTTTGTTAACTTCTGTATTTTGTAAGTTATCAAAACTTGCCTGTCTATTCCTTTCCTGATAATGGAAGTCTTGATTTAAGTCATCGTAGGTAAATGAATCATCATGATATTGTTCACAACTTTGATTAATATTAGATGAGTAATGATTTCCTTGGTCATCTGGATTATCACATCTCTGATCATAATTATCTAATTGAAGAACTTTACTTAATTCTGCCATCACTAATGGCTTGATATCTTCAAGAAAAATTGTGTCCTGAGGTTCTAATATACACTGCATCTGCTTCATAAAGGTATCTTCATACACAGTGTCATTATTAATGAAATCACTGGAACTACACAGAGATTTTTCTGCAACAGATCTGAGATGGCGATTTAAACTGTTTTGTGACTCTGTTATTAAGCTACTTATGGCATATTCAAATTTTGATGATGAACTTGGATTATCCATTAGTTTGTGTATTCTATCCTTATCCATTTTAAAAAGTTGATGAACAATTTGATCTTTTATTTTTTCACATTTTCTTGAATTTGTTGACCTTTGCCTTTGTATTCTTCTTTTTGCTGGTGGATCTTGTTTATTCTGGTAATCATTACTTGCATTATCTCTGGTTATGGAGTTGTCATCACACTGGTTAAGCGGTTGAATCTCAGTTTGCTGAATGGATTCATTACGATTCATTAGTCTTTTTCTGATAATGTCTACAGTATCATCAACAGAACGACTGAAAGTATTTGAATTATCAATATCTGAACTGGGATTCCCACCATAATGATCTGAGGCTGGTGGTCTGTGGCCCGTATATTCTAATGGTGGCAATTTACTTCCATCAATATTTTCTTGCTTATTATAGGATCTGTTATTATGGCTTCTATTATCATTATAGTTTCCTTTAAATTCACTAGGAGGATTCGTCCATGGGGAAATTCTATGAGGTTTGTATGTATCTTGACATTCTTGGTTAACTGTATATTGTCTGTGATCTATATCTCCCATATCATTTATATATTGATTTATTAGTGATTCATTATTATACACATTTGGTTCATGGTAAGGTGCAGAATGATTGGAGCCTTCATGAGATTTCATACGTTGATGATGTATGTGGTTAGGTTTTTGAGCATGTTGGTGATTAATCCTCTGATTATTTTGACGATTAAGTCTAAAATTGTTTCTGTCATGATTATCAAATACATGGCGGTTACTTGATGGTCCCATTCGAATATTGAAAGGAGGGACGGCTCTAAGCGGTCTGGGGGTGGGTGGCGGGAATCTAAAACAATTATAACAATTACCCTTGTAAACATATTCAATACATAAAATTGTATTCATCAATAATAAAATAGTTAATTCATGTCATACTGACATAATAAATAAATAAACCGACGTAATAAATAAAATTTAACTATGTCAAATATTTTTAATAATTTTAATAACAACAAAATGCAATGTAGGCGCGAATTGGGTAAGTACTAAAAATAAATTACGCGAAAGCAACAGACTTGTATACCTAGGCGCATCTAGCAGGCCATAGGGTCCAGAAGGTCTAAAATGCGGTGTCCCGCCGCTTCGTGGTCTGAAATGCCTTGTATTTTCGTTCCGCCATCCACCAATGCCATGATGACCTCGTCTCATTGTAGCAATATTAATTCATAATATATTAAAAACACTGATCACAAAATTTTCACAGTTAATTTTCTATGCAATGAACATCAGTTTATCCACAAAATACAACTGAAGAATAATATTTTTATAACAATAAAGTGTAAATGTCGCGATATTGAACAAAAATATAGTTTGTTTGACATTTTGTTCTGTGTTGCTATGTACCTAATAAAAATGTTAAACGTTTATTAGAAGAAGAAAAAAAAAACAAACTGCTGCGTTCAAAGCATTATTATCAAAAAGCTCCAGGATTAAAAATATGTAACTCACATAGTTTTTATTAAATTTCCTCAAGTTCTAATGCATTCTTTCAATGAACCCAGCTAAATATAAAAGAAATAAAAGAAAATGATATAATTTTAGAGAATCAATATTATAAATATTTATTTAATTTGAAAAATACATTGAGGATAACTATTTAGTATTTTTATTTACTGTGACAATATGAACTACAGATTAAAGATAGCGTTTATCTGCATAATATGTACAGAATACTATTTGTTAAATAATATTTGTTCTTTAAAAATGTTAAATGATACCATTTGTAGCCGAGAGATGGCGGTCAAACGTATTTTAGTTTCATCATCTAAATAATTGTTTTCATCTTAATTATAGTCTTTTTTTGGGATGATAATAAATGGTAACTCCGCCTGCGCTAACGGTATACACTGGTGGGGTACCTACCAGTGAGAGATGATAGGTGAGAATTAAAAGATAGCTTAGTTAGCCCATCGTGATGAATACATTTGGAATTCAACATTATATAGTCTTTATTTGTTGCAACTTTACATTTTTGTTTAAATTGTGTTTTATGATATGAAATAAAATATATATTATGTAATTATGATAATGCTTAAGAAATTTAGTGGCGTTATGTTACGTTATTATATAATTTTATTATAAATAGCTGATCTGAACTAACGCCAGAATGTGACGTTCAAAATAATGCCTTCGTACCTACTCTTAATTTTTTTTTTTTTTTTAGTACGTTTGTTCCGTTTGGAACAGGCTAAGGTCGGAGACCATGCTGCCTAGTCTTCAAAAAGATAATTTGTCTGGAATTTTATTTTTCTAATGTCGCTTCAATTATTGTCATAATCTTCAATATTTCATTTGTCAAATCCGGTAAGTACATTTTCATAAATATCTTTTCTTGAGTTTTCTTAAACCAGTGGATTTATCAAATTAAAAATAAATAATTATAAAAAATCATTGTCTTGCAATTCAATAAAAGTATTCTTATAGCTCCTTGAATGTTGTAGTAATATAAGTGAAAATAGCTTTGAAACAAGAAGGAAATCTTAAGAGAAGCGGGATTGAGTGCGGGATATTTTCGGGTTTTTTGAAGATAATCCTAAGTTCGTCAAACATAATGTGTCTTTGAATGACAAATTCAGAGCAATCAAAAAAAAGGTGATGTAGAGATTGGGCTGTATTTGAGTTACACCATGTGCATGATGGGGAAGCGATCATGCCCATTCGGTGCAGGTGTTCGTTGAAATGTCCGTGGCCGATTCGTAATCTACAAATATTGGTGTAAAATTTTCTGTTTGTGTCCTTTCCTTTGCAGAACCACGGTTTTCCAATACGCCAATTAATTTTGCGGTACCATTTGCCTTTAGTCTGTAATATTTGAGTCCAATGCTCCTCCCATTTAGTTGTAACGATTTTATGTATTCCAATACTACAATCTGAGTAACAAAGGGGTAAATCTTGAACACGAGCAGCACTTGAATTAATAATTTTAGCCAAAGTGTCTACTTGTTCATTCCCAAACACTCCAATATGTGAAGGGGTCCAGATGAAGATAATATCTTTTCCATATATAGTACAGAGATGATAATATTTATTACGAATTTCTTGAATTAAGTAGTTTGATGATGAAATGAATGTGTTATTTTTTAATGCCATAAGAACACTCATACTATCTGTAATTATAATCCATTTCGAATATAGTACCTGTTTTTCTATGTATTCTAATGCTAAAAATATAGCTTTTGCTTCTGCTGTGTAAATACTAGCCAAAGTTGAAATTTTATAACCGTGACCAAATCTATTTGACAAATCGTAAAAAGCCACTGAAGTGCTAAGTGCATTTTTGGAACCATCTGTATATATCTGCCTGTAGTCAATAAATTCTGATAAAGTCTCATACATATCGTGCTTTTCTTTTATGTCTTTACGTATAACAATTTTGATTTTACAGAACTTACTCTCATAAAGGCCATTATAACAAGGAAGTATCTTACTACTATAGATGTTATATTCATCTCGTAAATTCAAATCATTGACAATAGTTTTATTCAAAAACATAGAAATGGGGCAATTTAATAATTTGAGTATGAGTGGGTTATTGGAAACTGAAAAAACTTTGAAGAGAAATTTGAGTTTTAGGTATTCGAAACGAAGAAGGATAGGAGGCAAATTACATTCTACTTGCATTGAGATAATTGGAGAAGTATACATAGCACCTAAAATAAGTCTTAAATTCATATTTTGAATTTTTTCGAGTTTTTCTACTAATTTATGTTCTGAGGCATAACAAAAGAAAGCGTAATCAAAATTACTTCTAACAAGAGATTTGTAAAGTAAAAGGATAATTTTAGGATCAGCTCCCCAGTTACGACCAATTACAGATCTTATTATATTAGTGGCTCTTAAAGCACGATCTACTAAGCAATCAACGTATAGATCCCATTTTAAATTTTGATGAAAAATTACCCCCAGAAATTTAACGCTACAGTCTGTTGGAAGAGTTTGATTATTATATATAATATTCATTAATGGAACATATTTATGAACTTGATGAAAAACAACTACTTTACTTTTGGTTAAACTAATATCGAGGGAAAGAAGAGAAAAATATTTCTCAAGTCTTTTTAATGACTCATTTAACACTAATTGCATATCAATAATATTCTTTCCTTTTATATAAATTAATAAATCATCGGCAAATTGCAAGTTGTTCACACTGTTTCCTAAAACTAAATTAAGTTTATAGATATATAAAATATATAGTAGCGGGCTTAAAATACCACCTTGACATACTCCTTTAGAGCTTAACCTAGGTCCTATTAATTTACTATTTACTTTAACATACACTTCTCTATTACTAAGAAAATTATAAATCCATTCGATAAGTTTCATTGGAAGAAATGAGGATAGAATCGAAGATAGAACTGTTAAATTTACATTGTTAAAAGCTCCTACGACATCTAAAAAAACAGATAGAACATATTCATCGTTATTCAAAGCAGTACTAAGGTCGACATAGAAGTTCGCTAAACTTTCGCGCGCTGAATATCCACGGCGAAAACCAAATTGATTCGATGGTAATATACTATTACTTTCAATAAAGAACTCTAAACGCTGTTTAATTAATTGTTCGAATAATTTGCCTGCACAGGACGTCAATGTTATAGGTCTATAGGAGTCGAAATTTGTAGGATCTTTACCGGGTTTAATTACTGGAATCAAACAATCCATTTTCCATTCTGGTGGGATAATACAGTCCTTCCATAAATCGTTAAAAATTTGTAAGAGTTTAGTAAGGTTTATTTTATTCAGCAATCGAAACATATTGTATGTTAAGCGATCAAGGCCACTAGCTGTATCTTTTCTAGATTTTACTGCACTGGATATTTCATCAATTGAGAATGGGTCAGTGAGAAATTTTGGGCATGAATTAACAGAATTAAACTGTTTGTCATCAAAAGGTGAGTGTACAAAATCAGGAGTATATTTGCGTAAAAAATCATTGACCCATGATATATCTTTAAAATGATTTTGACGATGTTTTGAATTTAGTTTTCTCATATTTTGCCAAACAGTGGAAATTGGTGTTAATCTATTAAATTTGGAACAAAATTCCTGCCACCCCTGTTGTCTTACTTGCTTAATTACTAACTTTTTAACAGCTTGAACTCTTTTAAAATTTATGTAATTATCGAGAGTTGGATTTTGTTTAAACCTAAGGTAAGCCGCTTTACTATCATTGACAGCTGTCGCACACCTGTTATTCCACCAAGGTACTGCAATATGTTTGTGCCTCTTTGAAGTATTTGCACCGCTATTTGATAAGTTCCTACGTGGAACGGAACGTTCCACAGCTGTCAAAATAATTTTACAGAACCTATTGTAATTGTTTAAGGGTTCATTGACATCATACTCGAAATCCAAAAGTAATCGATTAACAGTTTCAGAATAAAGATCCCAATTAACGAGACGTAGGTTTATACGATTTAACAAAAGTTTATTAACTTCATCTATAGGAGCATGTTGTTCACCTGACGGAGTTGATGAAGAGTTCTTTGTGTTTATTTTAGTAAAAGTCGGCAGGTGATAACTTCCTAACGGATCATCATGAACCGACCACTCGCATTTTAATGATATGGATGGGGATACCATAGTTAAATCAAGGCCATTGGGTCTCCAAATATGAGAGCCAACAGTAGTAACTTGCTTATCATTTAATAGTACCAAATTACATTCATCTAAACAATCAAGAATGTCTTTACCTCTTGTATTAGTGGAGGTACAACCCCACATAGTATGATGTGCATTTAAATCTCCAGATATGATAGTGGGTTTAGGAAGAGACTCCAAAAAGAACTTAAATTTGGCTTTAGTAAAACTAGGTGTACTATTGGTAGGACAGTAAATACTGGCAACTGAATACCAAGAATTATTAACTTCAATACTAATAGCTATAGTTTGCAAAGAATTGTCGAAAAAAGAGTGAAGTTTTTTATATCTAATACTATTATGTATAATAATCGCTACTCCATTGTGGTTATTACCACAATCATTTCGTTCTATACAATAATCTTTAATTTTTAATTTGTAATGTGGTTTTAGCCAAGTTTCTGAGATGAGAGCAATGTGAATATGATGTTCATTTAAAAATTGTGTAAAAATAAGTCGATTGCTCAGTAGGCTCTGAGCGTTCCACTGTATGATAGTTAATTGGTCTCGATTGAATTTTGTGAAATAGGTGTATTACCAAAAGTATCATATAACACATTCAAAACACTTTTAGTGTTAATAGATGTGTTCTTTGTGTTATGTAGTGAAATAAGTTTGATTATGCTTTCTATTAAAAGTGATAAACTCTTGTTATCAGAATTTAGAATTGAAATTAGGTCTACATTTTTTTTAGGTTTGTTACCCAGTTTAGGAAATATTTCAGTGCTAAGTATATCTCCAAAAGAAGCAAGTCTGAATTTAGATCTATTTTCAGCAATTTTCTTTTGTTTAACAGGGCATTGCGGTGATACACTTGTGTGATTTCCATTGCAGTGTACACAAATTTTTCCATTCCAGTTGTACAAGTTTTATAATTATGCTCACCTTTGCAGATGCTGCAACGCTCAGAATTCTTACAGAATTTAGCTAAATGTCCATACCTCAAGCACCGGTAGCATTGTTTAACTGGTGGTATATATGGAGTGACATTGTGGCGCCAACCTCCAATATCCAGATATTCAGGTAATACAGATGCAGCAAAAGTAATTGTCACGGTTAGAGTTGGCTGTAACACATATCCATGAGTCAAGGTATTTTTTCTTAAAATTCTTTTAATAGCAATAATTTTCTTAGAACTCGATATCATAGTATATATTTTTTTATTAGATATATTTGTAGGTACATTTCTAATAACGCCTGTAACTTCTGTTGAAGAAGCAGGAATACTGGCCTTAAAATGGTAGTCATTTAAAAAAGTTTTATTATTTAAAAAAGCATTGGCTAAGTCTGGCTTTTGAAAGTATACTCCGATTTTGAATTTATTTATAGATCTAAGATAAGTTACCCCTTTATTAAAACGTTTTAAACAGGAGGAGAGTGAGAGCAAGTCTCTGGATCCAATGGTTTTCTGACTATCTGAGGATTCTACAAAGACAACAAATTCTGTCCCAGGGGATTCCTCGGGATATCTTCTAATATAATCTGTGACGTAGTAAGGTTTATACTTATCGGCCTTATCAATTTCAGATTCTGAGTCAGTAGAAGTATCTTCCGAATATATATCCTTGTCATTACAAGGTTCATGGTCTACATCACCTGAATCGTCATCTTTTTTTTTCCTTTTCCTACAACTGCGCTTCCCCATGAATGCTAATTATATTACTGTCACTGAATTTAGTGAAAATATAATATTTTATTCAATAATAAGAATTGATAGAGATAGTTTTTATAAATTAATAAAAAAAATTTAAAAAACCCGCTTGTTCTTATTCGAGTTTCCCGCCTTTTTTCCCTACTCTTAATCTCATAAATTAATCACAATTATTTTTTTTTTATTTTTGTTACATTATTTCTATATTTTATTCAACATGAAGTGTTGTCGTAATAAAAATTAAAATGGCGCTGAAATTTTTACTTCTAATTACCGATAATATAATAATAAGTTCGGTTCATTATTTATATATATCTAATATATCGTAATTTAAGATCGTTATTTTAAAATAGTGGATAGGCCTAGACAGAAAAAGAACAAAAGAATTATTCAAGTAAACTTGAATTAGTACATTACTGCAGCGGCCAGCAACTGAGTCAATGATGGACGAACGTGCAAATATGTGAGTCCATCAATGCCTAGTTGTGGCCAAGGCTTGTATAGTACTTTTCTCAAACAATGCGCGGAAATCAAAAACACAATTTTACTTTTTAAGTTCAATAACGAATAACGAACAATAATAATTTTTCAGGCGCCATAATGTTTGTTTTTTTTTTTCAATAAACAGCTTTCTATTTGTAAGCCAGTTCGAAATTTAAATAATACCTTTTATTAGTTACCTCCTTGGAAGCCATGTTTCAAAGAAAAAGGTCATTCGATTTTTAAATTACAGGACAGATATGAGTTTACATAGTAATTTATCTGGCCGCAAAACACGACAGATATGGATTTTCATATAAATTTTATAAATTTATGAATTTGTGTGAATACAAATTACTAAGTGGTAGATTTAGTGCTAAAATTTAGTGCTAGAGAAGCGTTAAGAACTTAGATTGATTAACATAAAATTTTATGATCTGACAAAAAATTTTGGTAGGTACTTAATAAATAAAATATAAAAGTATTTACAAAATCATTTTTATTTCTATAAGTATTTGTATAATATAAATATATTTATACATAACGTAATAAAAATGAGGTTTTTGTTATATTAACAATATAAAAGTGAGTGTTTTTGTATTATTTTTTTTTACAACACAGGGGGCAAACGAGCATGCGGCTCACCTGATGGTAAGTGACTACCGCCGCCTATGGTCACCCACAACACCTACGGCATTGCAGGTGTGTTGCCGGCTTTTTAAAAAGGAATATGCTCTTTTCTTGAAGGTTATGTTGTCGTATCGGTTCGGAAATACTGCTGCTGGAAGTTGATTCCAAAGAGTGGTTGTGCGTGGGAGAAAGTGCCTTGAAAAACGCACGGTGGAGGACCGCCACTCGTCCAGATGGTTGGGATGAAATTTTAGTTTATGGCGGGTTGTACGATGGTGAAAATCTGCAGCAGGTATCAATCCGAACAATTCTTCAGAGCACTCCCCATGATAAATTCGGTAGAAGATGCACAAAGATGCAACATCTCTACGCAGTTTCAGTGGGTCGAGTCGGACAGTAAGACGCCGATCGTCAACAATTCGAGCTGCTCGACTTTGAATGTATATGTAATATATTGTATGTGTAATATATGTATGTGTAATAGGTGTGTACAGGCAGATAGGGTATTGCTTGTAAAGAGTCAATATAGTAATGTTGTAATAAGTTAGTGACATAGTTTTTTAAAATTTACATAAAATATGAAGTAGCTACATAGAACATTGTAGTTGTATTGAGAATGTCCGGATCCTTGGTAAAACGTAGGTATAGTCTAAACAATTTAATGGGTTTTAATAAATAGAGTTGTACATGCATTGATAAATGGTATATCTTTAAAACCGATGTCATTCAGGTCTATAGGCGACGGTTACCCTTTTCCATCAGGTGAGCAGTCAGCTTGTTTGCTAATCCATGTTGGACAAAAAAAAATCCTTAACACATATTTTGTGACTTTCATCAAGTCAGTTTACCTTTTTTCGTAGATAGATAAGTACTGGAATGTTATTTGAAATTTAACTAAGTAAATGTCAATATCCAAACGCATATCTTACAGTCGAAGGACATACATGTCTGTAAAATGTAGGGGATATTTATTAGAGATAGTTTTATCACCATAGAGTGATACCATAAAATTGGTGATATATATTCGCTTTTTAAATATTTTATTGTTCAATAATAATTATTGTGGATCATTTTTTTTGGAAGTTATCTATGACGATTTTACTCACGTTTTATAATCGGGGATGCTCGATTAGACAAACAGAATTACATTATATGTATGTAGTTAGCCTTGCAGCTAAACAGAATGTTGGTTGAGCTAACGAGAGCTTCTAAAGAGTTCGATACTAGTCGAGCATCCTCGAATTTAAAACGTAAGTATACCGACATAAACAATTACAATACTGTAACTACGTCTCAAAGACACTGACTGAAGTGATTGTCTAAATATCCTATTATTGCACTAGTTTTTTCTACATCAAACTTAATATAAGTTTTGTATAAAATTTTATTTTAAAATCACAATTGTGAATTCGATCTTTCGATCGACTCTCTTCGAAATATCACTGTTTATGTGTGTTAAAATTATACACCAGCCAGAATTGACGTTGGGTCCTCTACGCCTGATTTGATTTTCTTCAAGAAGAATACCGCTTCACGGCCGTCGATCAGTCTGTGGTCGTAGGACAGCGCAAGATACATCATTGGCCTGATCTCCACCTGAAAGTAACGTGTCCACACCATAATAATCAATATCACCTATATGTTTCGTGCCCACCTCAGAATTCATAACCATAAATTTTGAGGTGGGCATAATTGTAGGGTTGTTAACTAATTACCCTAGTAATCGGAGGCTATATAATCTTGGAAATAATCGTTTTTAGCGATTAGGCCATCCATTGCTTTTTCATTGTAATCTCATTTGTATTTTTTTTTTTGTGTTTACAATAAGTTTACTACTACAATTTTTTGGAGGGAATAATAAAAATTACCCTATATTATATTTATCTATCATAAATGTAATAATAAATTTATTAACCTTGCCCTGAATTGCAACCGGTCTTTGGAATATGGCGTGCATTCCCAAAATGGCGGATTGTGGCAGATTGATGATGGGCATCGACAGGAGTGAGCCGAACACTCCGCCATTGCTGATTGTGAAGGTGCCACCTTGCATATCCGCTAGTGTCAATTTACCTGCGTAATTGTGAAAAAAATAATTTGACATTTTGCTCGACAAAAACAAAGATTTTAGGATTTTGATTGTGACGAAATTAGTATGGGACCTACATGGGAGTAAAACTCAATCGATTGCAAAATAATCGTGTAATAGTTTAAAACAATTTATCTATTTACAATCACAGATATAAATACAAAAATATGACGTTCAAACAGAGTCATATTTTTTACGTGTACGTTACGTAACATGTTCGAAATTCCTCCTCCTTAGAGTTGCTTAAAATAGATTTAGCGTGTAGATAGTATTTATATTATACATTTGTTGTGGCAATGCATAATTGCGATAAAAATAAATAAATATAAAATAGACAAATTCACGCCGAAAAACTTTCTATAAACTAGTTTGGAATTTAAGTCTAGATGTAAAATGTTAAGAAGATACATATTGTTAAAGCGTCAGTTTAACGGGCTTCTTTTTAGTCAAAGTGGGTTTCTAGTTTGTTCACCATTTCACGTCACATTAAATTGTCCATAGAAGTGTGTTCATAGAAGAGTGCACAAATGATTTTATTTATCTTATTCAATAAAGTTTGCGATTAAGAAGATTGGATATTTACAGCTGAATAAATTTGGATAAAAAATTGTGATGCACTGTGATAACTTCTTTGACTATTTTTTACCCTATTCTGGCGGTTTAATTGGGAATTTCAGGTTTGAATAACACATGTATGTTTAAAATCTTTATGATTCAGACTCTCACCACTTCTCGCCTTCTCGGCCAGCATATTCAATGCTAGTTCTATTCGCGGATAGTCCATAGATTCAACGTTCCTCACCACGGGAACTACGAGTCCTCTAGGAGTCGCTACTGCTACTGATATGTCCACATAATCTCTATTAACATAATTTATTAGATATTAAATGGTGCTATGGTTAAAAATATACCCACTATAATGATTATTACAATTTTTTAATGGATGATATTTTTTTTTATTTTTAAGACCTTGGATCCGAATCCAGGGCTGGCATTTGATCTCTCGTTCAGAGATGAAAATTTTTATTATACATTTATTTTAACTCAATAAACAACTATGCCAAGTCCCTGGTTTATTACAATTTTTCGATATTTGCTTTATGTTTCAGCTAGTTCATTTTGCTATTATGCTATTGCATATAAGTTATGAGATATTTATTATGAGAAGGATAGTTAATATTGTATTTACCTATAAATGATATCATCTCCAATGATAACCGCATTAATCACGGGTTGGTCCATCAACGCATTGGCAGCCGCTTTCAGGAACGGAGACATAAACGACAACTTTACTCCATATTTCTTCGTGAACACGTCCAAATTGGCCTTACGGAAAGCCATTAGTTTTCTAAAAAAAATTGTAGTCTTATAAGAAATAGTTCGAAACAAGACATGAAAAGACACAACCCTTCCTGTATTTAGTTAAACAAATGATTCGTTAAAAAAAATGGTGGAAGCAAAAATATTACAGGGAGACTTTGTAAAAATAGTTCGCATAGGAACTTGTCTCTTACACCTACTTGTGTTTCTATCATTAAACAGCTGTGCTTGCATAGATGCCTTATAGAGTAGGTAGCTTATATCCAAAATACGAAGGCATATCACCTTCGTTTTTACCAGAGGGAGACTTTGTACAAAAGTCGATTGCTTGGGTACCTCTGTCCCATTCGTGTTTCAACCGTGAAGCAGTTTTTTTTTTTGATGGGTGAAAATGGAATGGTAACTCCGCCTGCGCTAACGGGATACGCTGGCGGAGCACCAGTGAAGGGTGATAGATGAGAATGAAAAGCCAGGCCAGTTAGCCCATTATGATAAATTTATCAGGAATTAACCATGATAGTTTTCAGGGGGAATCACGAGGAGGTCGACCTGGTTGGGTATATTGCTAGCAATGGGATTTTTAGTCTTCATTACTAACAATCCCTTTCCCCCCTACCGTGAAGCAGTTGTGTTTGCACGGCTGTGTTTCGGTTTGAACGGTGGGATATGGCGTGAATTTACTGGGTACAGAGGAATAACACCTGAGTCCTTAGGAATGGCAACGCATAGGGGGGTATCATGGGCGAAACAGTATACTCTGTTATGTCCATGGTACTGCTCATGTCTATAGGCGACGGTTACCACTTTCCATCAGGTGGGTCGTCAGCTTGTTTGCCATTCTAAGTTGTATAAAAAAAATATTATTATTTCAGTCTGTATCTATCCACTCCTAAAGATAGACCCTTCGTTAATACTTTCATCATGTGAGCTCCATCGCTTTTTGCATCAATCCATACGAAATTAGTAATCAGAAATGATAACGAATTACTAACTGCATTATACGTATCACAGTGTATTCTGAGATGTGCATGAACTTAGTCAAGGCACTAAAGTACTTACTTTTTACCACTTTTCATTAGGTGGATCGTTAGTTACATTGTTATTTCAAGTTATATTGCAATTTAAAAGAAGAAAAAACAAAGTTAATTAAGGCGAATACTCCGACCTTGATTTTAGGCATACACAATGCATGTTTTTTTTTTTACGATACTTTAAATGGCTACCAAGCTGACGACCCATTGGATGAAACGTGAAAATACATAATGAACTGTGAAGCTAAATTAACATAATTTAGGAATAACATATAAAATGAGAGAGGAGGGGTTATTAGTAATCTAGCTTATATAGGGTTATAAGGAGTCTAGCTTCCTCATTGCTCTTGTAAATCATGTTTAATTCCAGGTGAATTCGTCATGATGGACAAATTGACCTAACTTTTCATTCCTATCAAACATTTTTCACTGATGCCCTTCCAGCGTATACCGTTAACAAAGGCGGGGTTGCCGTTATTAAATATTATAAATACATAAAATGCCCATAATTCGGATATTTGGGACCATAAAGTACTTACGTCATATCGCATTCGTTGAAAGTGGTCAGCATGGCTGTGGTGTTCTGAGCTTCCTTCAATCTCTCCGATATACGTTTCCGCATCTTGTTCATAGGTACAGGGTGCTCAGTGCGCGTGCCAGAGATTGTCTTCGTTGGATCACCGATTTTTTGTGCAGCAAGCTACAAATGTGAATATAATTTAAAAATAAAGCTTCGAAATAAAAACGGCGATTTTAATAAAAAAAACCTCATTAATATGGGATTACCATGGAAGTAGTTTCAACTGTCCATAGCTAGACATAAGTCTGTCTTATAAGGAGAGTTTTGCCAGTAGTGGTCACGCTTGACAGGCGAGTTGGCAACCGCAGTTAGGTTTTAGAGATGTTTTAACAGGAAATGAAGGGTGGCCTCTTCTATGCCCAGATCACACGGAGAAACAATAATTAACCACGATGATTTTTAGGGGAACCGAGTTTCGTTATAGTTCCCTTTTCTGTCAGTCCCTCTCCCCCATAAATGGAACTGGTTTTTTTTAAATAACCCCGCCTGCGTTTACAGTATACGCTGGCGGAGCACCAGTAAGGGATAATAGGTGAGAATGAAATGTCAGGTCAGCGAGGAGAGAGGAGGTCATACAACAAGATACAACTATTTACCGTCGGTCCAGTGGGCTTTTTAGCAGCGGTCTTGACAGCAACTGGTGTGGATTTAGCGGTAGGAGCAGCTTTGGCAGCGGTAACCGCGGGGGCAGGGGCAGGAGCTGGGGCGGCCACAGCCTTCGGGACTGCTGCTGGAGCTGCTGCGAGGGCCGCCGCTGGTGCCGCACCTGTTATATTCACCTAATAGATTTGGAGGTAAAAAGAAAATAGACTTTTAATAAGTACTTTTAAAGAGACATCTCTGTCATATCATTGGTTTGAGGGTTCCTTTTATGGATGAAAATGGAATAGTAACCTGCACTAATAGTTTATACTGGAGGACACCAGTACACCATAGCTATTGTATAAGATGTTTAATCATCATATCAGCCATTAACTTTTCTCTCTCTCTCTTTTCTTTACCTCCACTGCTGAACACAGGCCTCCTCCAGGTTCTGCAGGGTTTTCCTAGTAATTGTCACGCTTGGCAACCGTGTTGGTAACCGCAAAAGGAAACAATAAAAAAAAGATAAACGAGGCATGAATGATGAGGATGAAGTCAGGTAACCGATTAGCTAGTTGTGACACAACTATTAGAAATTAATCATGGTGAGGTTTAGGCAGACGCAATGATATAAGAAGCAACGAAACTGCTCAAACTTCATTATTGATAATCTTGTCCTTTTATGTTGAATTAAAAATTAATTCATAAAATAATATTTATGCTAGTGGTCAATCACGTGAGAAGGTTCCAAGTGAGAAATGAAGACATCTGTCTCGATTTCTTATAGGTATAGTCACCGTATACCAATAGCTTAGAACAGGGACGCCGGTTTCTAGAAAACCTCGTGGGAGCTCATGCTCTTTTGATAGCTAGGGATATCATTAGTATTTCAGCCGAAAGACGTACACTGCTTGCTGGACAAGCAAGCGCGACCGCGTTATGGGTACTCTACACCCATCATTTTGGGTGCTGGAATCCTTGAGAACCCACGAAGTCGGCACCCTGGCTCAGAAGCGGTTACCATTCTATTAAAAAATATACCTCAAAAAGAACTTGTTGCGACTTGACCGCTTCCCCATCCTTAACCAGCATCTTGACGATCCTGCCGTTGCCTGGGGACATCACCGGGAGTGCGGTCTTGTCTGTCTCTATTTCCAATACGACCTCGTCCATGGCTACGGCATCTCCCTGTTTTTTAATTAGTCTAGAAAATAAAAAAAAAGTTTCGTTACTTCAAAACGGTGGTAATCAGGCGATGATTACCATATCTAGATGGTTCATTGTTTTTGCTACTAAGTCGTATAAAAAAGTAAATGGTTAAAAGAGTTCATAAGAAAGTACACCAACATCGCAATCATCTGGAAATAAAAAAAAAAAACAATCCAACATTTTTCAATGCTGCTGATTGAGTGCTCTGTAACTGTATAATGTTCTTATTAAGCTGTCACTGAAAATTTAGATTTTAAAGCGTAAATGAAAAATTCCAAAATTTTCAATATTAGATTTTTATATATTGTATTCTATAGTTAACGTTTACGTTCGCACTTTTTAAATCAATCAATTAGTCATTAAAAAATGTTAATTTGTAAACGAACAAGTAAAAGTTATGAATGCTATTATAATATTTAATTTTGGACTCACTTGACATCTCCGGTGGTGACCGAATCTGGGAAAGTGGGCGCCTTCACGCTCTCAACAGCTTGCAGTCGAGTGCTTGTGTGAATGGCGCGTGTCATGAGTAAGTATCGTATCCTTGGAAAATGGTATCGGCGCTCATATCTGTGAATTTTAATTGATTCTGTCAGAAAATCTTTTATAAAAGGAGGTGTTTTTGCAAAAACAGCAAAAAGATTTTGGATTTTATGTAATGAAATTCTTTGTCGCGTTTTATTGTGTGGTCCCGGCAGCCAATGGGCCACCTTTTCCTTTCCATTGGGTGTCGTAAGAGGCGACTAAGTGAACTTAATAATAAATGTAAAAGATATTTATTTGGTTGGTCTTAGCGCCTCAACGTCTTACTTAATCCATAGTGAAGATATTTGATATGTTTCCTATTTATATAATAACTAGTTTTTACCCACGACTTCGTCCGCGTAAATATATTTACTGATTGGGGTAAGAAATAGCTTATATCCATCTCTGTCGCATACAGTACGTGGATGCCAAATTTCACTTTAAGTTTATGTTAAGGCGCTATAAACAAAATCTTTACCACAACAATATTGCGTAAATTGTCAACTTCAGATTTTAGCTACAAATAGAATAGTTTTTTTTTATTAATATTACTAACTGTATCCCACGATAACCATGTAAATCAGTATATATATGTATTTTTTTTTATACAACTTAAAATGGCAAACAAGCTGACGGTCCACCTGATGGAAAGTGGTAACCGTCGCCTATAGACATGAGCAGTACCATGGACATAACAGAGTATACTATTTCACCCATGATACCCTCCATGCGTTGCCATTCCTGAGGACTCAGATGTTTTTCCTCTGTACCCAGTAAATTTACGCCATATCCCGAAACACAGCCATGCAAACACAACTGCTTCACGGTTGAAACACGAGTGGGACAGAGGTACCCAAGCAATCGACTTTTGTACAAAGTCTCCCTCTGTATGTACTAAGTTAGGATGGTACTAGTGTACTAAATTTCATTTAAATCCATTCAGTAGTTTTTGCGTAAAAGAGTAAAACAGGATATAAAATACTGAAATTTATACATAATTACATTATATTTTTGACCGATGTTACTAGACTACGTTTTAGAATGCAGTTCATTGGTGTAGTGGTAAGTGACTTGCTTTGTGAAATCTGAAACAAAAACATTATTGGATATACATATGTCTCTAAAGCTTAATGTGAATTCACTCACACTAAGCTCACTGGATCCAAAGATTGCCGATTAAATAATATATATATTCTTTATTGCACTAAAACATACAGTAACAAAAATAAGTTAATAACAATGTTAGCAAAGGCGAACTTATCTCTAAAAGAGATTTCTTCCAGTCAACCTAATGCAGTGGCATAGGAAGTAGTGAGGAATAATAAGTGTGCTGACTCATTAATATTATAGGTACTGATCTCATATCTAAATTTTATCAAAAAGATTGCGTTACTCTAAGACCCTGAAGTTTTTTTTATAGAGGCTAGTCGAGGTGACGGTAAGTGGTAACTTCTCCACTCCATTTCACCTGATGATAAGTAGGTAATGTCGTCGAAAACATGAAGGCTATCACAGCAAATTATACTGTGTTGACGATCGTCATCTTGACAGTCTACAAAAACATCTCATCACGCCCTGTTTAAAGGCCACAAGATTATAGATAGAAGGAAACACGTACTATTTTTAATCTATTCCATTAAGAGAGATACCATCTATAACATTATACATGTTTGCCTCTGATATCACAGAAAATATGTAAATAGGTGCAGTCAGCCATTTCAAAGTGAAGAAAAAAGATGTGGCATATATTAAAATAATGTACAATATAAATCTAATCCAGTTTCAAAATAATTTATAGTATGTAGTTCCAAGTAAAATTCGTGCTAATACATTTCCGTGAATTATTACTTGATTATACTGTCATACATAATGACGCAGTTTAGTATGATATTCCTCTAATGATAAATCAATAAAATTATACTTACAAATCGTAAGATCTTTCTTCTGATCATTATATTTCAACTGTTATACAAAGTACATTATATAATTAATAAATCATAATAAAAATCTAAACACTTCATGAAGTAAATTTTTGAAGTTCTTTTTTTTTCTACCGTCCAGAATATTTCATGCCAATGACATAATTGATAATAATTAATAAATTATAATGCATACCTACCTTTCGAATCGAAGTGAAATGGAAAAAATAAAATGCATACCTCATCACAAAATGATTTTTTTAACCATAATTTGGAAAATATCTTACGCTTTCAGAATATTAAAACTTAAGCAAGTTTAGAATCATAGATTAAGAATTCTACATTTATTTCTTCATTTTTAAACTCTTAAAACGCTTTCTAATAGTGGTAAGAATTTGTCAGGAGATGGCGCTGCACTAATAGTACAACTACTAGATTATAGATGTCGCTATATAATTTTAAAGTCTGCTATTACACAACATCAGGGTGTATTATTAATATCGTTTAATTCTTTTATTTTAGTCATTATAAAATGAAATCTTATAAAAAACATTCTGTTTACTGTTTTCATTGAAGTATATGTAAAGATTCCTTACGTTTGAAACTTTGCAGCACCTTAAAGACTCCACCAATAGCAGTGACAATTGGTAAAAACGTATTTTTTTGTTTTACATTTGAAAACATACTAAGACACCACAAGATGAGATTTGTGGGGCATATCATCCTTGGTGATGATATGATTATAATGAATTGATAGGAATGATGAGATGTCCATTCATAGCGATTCTTGTTTGGCTTAATATATTGTATCGAGTATAAACGTAGCATTCGGGACGGAGGACGACATAAGCTAGATATTTTTCATCCCGGGTTATTAACGTGTTTTGTTGGTTTGGTTTGGTTAAGTAACGTGATGAATTCGCGGGGAAAATTAGTAATATTATTGTCAAAATGTAAACAAAGTTCCCAGTATGTGAATAAGATGGCAGTTTCTAATTACGAACTAAACATTATGTAGATCAATACAAAAGGGTTAAATCAATTCATTACTAGCGAAGTAGACAGTGGGTATGATTTTGTGCCTTTATGAACGTTGCGGCGGTGAGAGCCTTTGAGAGGACATTTAGCGGTCACTCAAGACACCGTTATGGCGAGCGCCTTGGTCAGGGTTGTACAAAATCTAAACTATGAATTAAAATTAGTATGGAAAGAGCAAAAATATATATATATATATATATATATATATATATATATATATATATATATATATATAAAATTCAGTGCTATTCACGTCGATAGGCGACTGTTACTACTCTCAATATGGTTACATAGTTCGCTTGCTTGTTTACCACGAAGGTGGCAAACAGGCATGGAGCCCATCTGATGGTAAACGGAAACTGTAGACACAGCTAATACAACAGTGTAGTGGCTGTAGCCGATGAACGTCTGCAACATTAATCAACAAAAATTAACAATCCAAATTACCTGAAACTGATACAGTGCATGATAATTCGAATTCCTACAGGAATAAATTGCTGAAGCACTTTGTACAATAATCTAATAAAAATTAACTCTAATTATCATAATATATATATATATTTTTTAATATTTTTTAATTCAATTCACTCATAATCGTATTTTCTGATATTGCTTACAACTTAGGTTACATGTTTATTTTTATTATTTACTTCATTCTCTCGCACTGTATAACTATGTTAAAGTGAATGCTGTGAATACCTATAATAGGCATGTGCATTAATATTGTATTATATTTAATGTTTGTTATACCTATATGTTATAATGCAATATGGTGTTGGTGTTTCTTAAATAAATAAATAAACATTAAGAACGTTTTGCTATTTAATTTTTCTTAGAAAAGATCGTCTTCATTGAATAAAATTAGGGCATTGAAGTACAGGCAAAGTAGGTATTGTAACAAGAAGATTATGCTCCGTGAAAATAACAAACGTTAGCATTTATTTAAGTGACACTTCTAATAGTAAAATTGAACATATCTATCAACTAACACCAAGCACGTTTGTTATTTTTTATTTATTTAATTATTTTGTTTATGTAGTTCGGTCGTTTAGTGTGTTAGGCTTTGCTCAATAAGTGTTTCTTAATAGCATAGTCAAATTTACCAAAAATTAAAATTATATAATATTATTATATTTATAATTATATATATAGTTAATTAAATTCTAAATGTCCTTTAGTATCTGGTTATAAAATTTAATGCCCATTCACCTTTTATCAAACGATTGGAATAAAAACCTAAATCTCCAACTCGCCAACCCTAACTACCCCAAGGGAAGTTCCCCTAACAATTTGCTAAGATTCGTGCAGCCCGCATCTTTGATTAGGAATCTATGTCCCTTCTCGTCCGGAATATTGCTCATTTGTATATTTAGTTTCATTAACAAGTAAGTACCTGCAAATTATCTATACTAATATATACATATATATAGTATAGATAAGTTTGTTTCGCCATGTGATTCCGATATAGAAAAGGCCATCCCTTCCTTTCTATCATAAGAGGCGACTAAGGGAGCTTAATAGTAGAGGATTGGGCGGCAGCTCCCCTTTTAAAACATCTTCAAAGCATAACTGCAGTTGCCAATCCGTCTGCCAAGCATGGCAACTACTGGCAGGAGGAGGTATATGTTCAGCAGTGGATAATTAAAGGCTAATATAATGATGATGATAGATAATTTTGCGGGCATTTACAGTTTCGTTTTATGAGAAATCAATGATAAATGGCTCAATTCTTGGGTTCCTGTAATGGAGGTTTCTTATTTATGCCTAGTTTTCTGTTCGCTACTTTGTACGTACAGATTTCAGAATAAGGAAAAACAAAATATATAAAAAATAGATTAATCGATTAAATATTCCGATTTATCACTTATTTTATTACTCATTTAGAGAGTATTTCTGTGGTAATTTCAACAAAATTTGATAACGTTTCCGTTAAGTTCTGTTAAGGCAGACTATGGTTTGAAGTCCAATAATTGTCCAGTTAATATTTCCAATAAGAAATACCAGGTGAGCAAGGTAGAACGCCTGTACAAGCCCAAGTTATCACAGGCAAGTTGAGTAGTCCTTAAAGTAGTTTAAACTTATTAATACTTCGGTGTTTAGGCTGGTCAGCGGACGAGCTTGCGGAGCCTGGCTTATATACAGCGTGAAGCGGTCCCCAAGTAGAAACGCGCTGATGAAATATGTTTAAATAATGATGAAAAAAATTTAAGTTTCAAAATTAATTTAAATTTCATTGTAAGGGATAAACGCAAAAATAAATATGTTTAAAGTTTTTTCACCTTTAGAAACCTATACTACCTGCGAAGATCATGAACTTTTAAAAAAAAGTTTAAAATAAACTACAGCTCTACAATAATTGCAATAATGAACTAATCATTGAAAATGGCCAGTGGCAATCCTAAAAAACTGAAGCCAAAAAAAAGAAAAAGAAAATGTACCTATTTACCAATGCCAAGAGACGTGTTGCTTGTTAAAAAATTTTTGAATTGAGTTTCTTAACCAATGTGTTCAAAAAATAGTAAATAGATTACAATAACTTTGACTTGAAAAGATTGCTTTCAATAATAAGACCGTCTTATTATATCTATTGATCATGTTCATTTATCTACGTTGTATAAAAAATTATAATTGTAAAATTATATTCATTTATTCACATCCTTTTTGATTACAAATTGCTTATCGAACTGAGCCATAAATTAAAAAAATAACCTTATTATTATGTGTATGTTTTTTTTTTATTGTAATTTGTGTGCTGTAAGTAATGTAAATAAATTATCTATCTATCTATCTATCTAACCTATCATAAGAGTCATGATAATGGGTTGGTGTGCCGAGTCGAGCTTTTTTTGATATTCGAAGCTTTTTTTAATGGATGACAATGGATTGGTAACCTCGCTTGCGCTAACGGTATACGCTGGCGGAGCACCAGTGAATGATAATAGGTAAGATGAAAAGGCAGGTCAGTAAGAATTTAGCACGATGGTTTTCAGGGGGACCACGTGGAGGTCAACCTGACAGAGGATATTGCTAGCAGTGGGATTGGTAGTCCGTATTAGTAATAATCCCTTCCCACCCGACCGTGTGGAGGTCGACCTGACTTGGATGTATTGCTAGTAATTGGGCTAAACAGATCTTCATTATTGATAATTTCTTTTCCTCAAATTGTTAAGTTTAATTGAATGTATTCTCAATAAAGTTAATTACAGAGGACATTATCGTATCTATACCTCAAAAGCGTCGGTCCGAACAAGTTATAACATCTCAGGTACGTGAGCTACTGTTTCAGCTTAAACGCTCCAGACTCGGCCCAAACAAAGTGCGCGACGCTCTATAGAGATGGGATGTGTTATTGTCTAGTAATGTTATTTAAATTATATTTATTTTTATTAAATCAGTCGTTAACTGTCCACTGCTGAAGTTCCACATAAAAGGAGTTTTACCAGTAGTTGCCACGTTTGGCAGGCGGGTTGGCGACGGCAGTTAGGCTTTTGGTGAAGATTTAAGAGGGATGCTGCTCCCTATTCCTCGACCATTAAGTTCCCTTAGTCTCCTCTTGTGGCACCAACGGGAAAGGAAGGAATAGTGCATTCTATGCCGTGACCACACATGCATCAGTTTTCCTTCGTGAATAAAAATGTGTGAAAACCGCATTCAATTTCGTCCGGCTTTGTGTATTGCTAAAACAAACATACCTACATACAGAAAAATAAAAATTCTTTCTTTAAATTAGGTACGTATTGAACAACCTATAAGCAATTATTTATTTATTTTTTCGCTTTTCTATATTCACTTTAATATAGGTATAAGGTGATAACAAAAATGTACACAGACGGACTTATCCCTTAAAGGGGTTTCTTCCAGTCAACATTAAAATTCCAAAATGAAAAAGTGTCTATAGCATATTAAAATTTTTCAACTTTTTTCTTTTCTCCTGTACTCAAAGGTTGTCTGGAAGAGATTGCTTTAGCAATAAGACCGTCTTTTGTACTTCCTATACCTGTACACCTGTTATTGTAGATATTTATTTATAATTAAAATAGCAACATAATTTTATGATGTTGTTTCTATTCACTTATTTTCCGCAGACAATATCTATATATT